ATATTTTTAAATTTTAAAAAATTTCATCTTATATTGGTCATCTCATGCCAATTGTATAAAATTTATCCTTTTACTAATAAACTATCACTGTTTCATTGTTACATTTTTCCTGCATTTTAAAGACTAAATGATGAACTTTTACACTACATTCTGAAGATTGTTGTACGAGAATCCTGTATCTTAATCACCAAGTGCCAAACTGTCTCTAAAGATGACTTTCAAAAGCTCCTTTCAACTGTGCCTGTAAGTAAAAATGTGTTTACTGAAAGGAAAATTATATTGTTTCTGTTTTCATTATCCTGCATTGAGTGGTGTGTACAGGCACACACATTTACACACTCACCTTACAATGATAGGCTGAAAATAATTTATGAAAATTCATAGATGATTGTGCTTATCTTAGAAATGTAGAACTAGATGAATCCACTTGAAATGGTTTTTCCCAAGACTTAAATTTGTGATAACTCATTTGACTAAATTTGTTCTTTTTTTTTTTTTTTAATCTAGCAACACCCCCTTCCAGTTAACTTAGCATTTTTTTCTAAACTGTTAGTGCTTTACGGAGACTCATAGGAATCAAAAGTTCTTTTAACGGTTTGGGTAGCGTCTTCTCAATGAAGATGCCTGTGAGACAGAGGGGGAAAGAAGAACTACTAAGAGGGAAAATTAAAGTACTTGTTCTGAGAGATTGATGAGGATTGTGCAGTGAAAGGCAGAGAGTATGGAAATGTATCAAAGTCTGGGTCGAAAGCCTTGTGTATAGAAGTCATCTGAGAAACTAACTTGGTCTGTTTTCTGTACTTTCTCTTTTTGTTTCTCTTGTCAAAATCTTTTTAAAACATGAGGATTACATGATCCCTTCTTTCAGTAGGGAATAGATCATTTAAATGCCCTTATTTGTATTAAAGGCTGCTTCCTCCTGCCTGCGCTATCTGATGGCAGTTCAGAATCACCTTCTCAGTAACACTATTTTGATTAAACCTGATGACAATGATGACAGTGACAACTCCTTGCAGGGAGAGACATTGAAGGTACAGGTAAACACCAAGCTTTATTTTAACGATGCTTTCTACCCAGTATGTAAAGCACAGTTTTAATTGGCCAAATTTCTGTGTATTATGATGTCAGAATTCACCATGTGACTTATATTCTTGTGAGAGATATTAGGCCACCCATTTCATAGATTTTTATGTCATTACACAGTGGTTGCCATATTTGTGACACTCATAGTGTGTCATCCATGTGCTCCTGTCAGTCTCTTTCTACCTGTGTTTATATTCATCTTTCTTTTTTTTTTTTTTTTTTGGTATTCATCTTTCTTTTTTTTTTGGCTTTTTGAGATGGGGTCTCACTCTGTAGTTCAGGCTGGCCTTGGACTCACAGCAGTCCACCTAACTCAGCCTCCCAAGTGCTGGGATTACAGGCATGCACCACCTCACCCAGCTCATCTTTTAAGAACTAAAGAATGGCACTGACAAGTGATCTCATCACACCTGAAAATTATGTATATATTTATATAGAGAGAGATCTGGGAGCATAATATTTTAAAGAGCCTTGACATTTTGGATGGTTTATTAATTTTCTTGATCCAAATAATTTAAAAGGTAATAATTTTCTCTCAGTCTTTGTAAAGAACAACTTAACTTTATAAACCTATAGCTCGTTTCATTTTCTGTCATTATTTCTAAATAAGCTTCTGTGTAAAATCAGTCATTTATTCCCACATAATAATTTATAGCACTCCAAAGATCTTTCTGTAGCAGTGGTGGTTGTAATTTTGACAGATGCTCAAGGCAGTTGTTTGCATTGTTGTTCAAGATTTCATCTTTGTGGGAAAAGTAGAGAAATCAGTAAGTTTACTCTTCCTTAAAATATTGACTTAAATATATTGAAAAATTAATCAAGGAAGCCATAAAAACCACTGTAGCTTGCCTTTTTAAAAAATATTCCTTACATATACTATATAAATCAGACATCTCCTAGTTTGTATGTATAAGTTTATCTCACCAAATGACCAGTTTTAAACAGGTAGACATACATGAATTATTAATTTAAATTGCTGATATTAACTTATTTTACTTTTCTTTCCTTAGTTTCCTAATTAGTATAAAGGGACAGTAGCCTCTGCTTTGTAAGGTTATGTGAGGACTAGAGACAAGCCATGTTAATGCCTGGCACTGAGCTGCCACATGGTATACAGTCAGTACAGGATCACTGATGTCATTAGTGTGACTCAATTCTATCAGTTCAGAATGCCTTTTCTCTTAATGATGAAAGTATTCTTAATAATGCAAAGAAGACTCCAGGAAATTTCAACAACGAAGGGTTTTTTTTTCTCCATTTGAAAGGTTAAATTTTATAAATTCTTAATTAAAGCATGAAGAGAAATATAAAGACTCAGTAAAGGCAGATAGGCTCAATTGTCTATATTTCCAACAAAAATTTTAAAAACACATAGATGTCACCTTGAGTTAATTTGGTTTTTTTTTAATAGAAAATAGTTTTGTAAACTAAACATTTATATCATATTAGCTAGAATTTACTAACACAGTATTTATATTCCATGAATTCTCTAACAGCTATTTTTAGTGTTTAGTAGCCCATAACTGTCTACTATTTAATTGAATTTTTAACTTGCTAGATTTTAAGTGTAATGAGTTAAAGATATTGAGTGAAAGGTCACTTGTACTGTTTCAGAATGTTGTGTTTTTGTCTCATTTTATCCACCGCCTATACATGCGCCTTTTACTGTTCTGTTTTTCTCTTTAGCTATCCTCATACCACCCAAGGCAGTCCTCCACCTGGACAGTTTCTGGGCTGGCCACCAGGAGCTCTCTTGTGCAGGATGGGATAGGAGCTAGGCCTTTTCTCCTATGCACGCAATGTGCTCCCTGTGAAATACTGCGTATTTCTGTCTGTATGCCAGACCTTGGCCTCCCAAATCAAATTGCTACTTGCCATCCTAGAGGAACTCAATGCTTTGGGCTTGTTCTGGCCACCTCATCATTTCATTTGGGAATACATCATTAAAGATTTCATTTCATATCGTCATTGTGAGTGTTTGTTCATGACAAAGCCTAAAAATAATATTATGATGTTTTCTATCTAGGAGCTAAAGGTCAGTATTTTGGCTCTTGCCACCCAAATCCTGAGTGGATGTGATGAAGTGTTGGAAATGCTACAGCAGGTGACCACTGCCCTCATAAACAGCGACATACCCGACCGAGAGCAAAGGTGAGGAAATGGATTGGGAGCTGTGTCCTGCTGCCCTTCAAGAAGAGAAATTTGCTTATGAAAGTGAAACCTTTTTAGAATGGAACATTGAATGTTCATTTTTGTGAGAATAGGTTGAAATGGCAAGGGTTTCAAAGCTAAGTGCTATCGAAGTTTCTAATGTGCTTTTAGATGAGATTGGGCCAACAACCATAATCTAGGACAGTGATGGCTTTCAATACAAACAGCCCACTGTGGCACACATACCATAGGTTCGCTGCCGCTGATCTAGGGGTACAAGGTTATGCTGGACAGCCTCATCTCTGGCACTGGGGACTTCTACTGTCATCACTCCCAGACTGGCGTTTGTCTTAATTCTGTAGCTCAGCACTGCACTGCTTGCTTTCGGTAGGAAGAAGTGACTTGGTGATACAGATAATTAGCTACTGCCTAAAAGACTACAGTGACATGATTTTACTGTAGATTACTCTAGATTTTACTGTAGTTTCACTTCTCCAAATATAGGAGTGACCTATATAGAAGGTAAACTTCTCTTTCACAGTAACGAAGCCCTTTTTCAGCCCTTCACATTAAAATTCCTACATAGTTGCTTTTAGAAATGAGTTGCATAATGTGTTTTTTGACAATTTATATGTTAGAGGTGTTGTTTTGATACCCAGCAGCATAATTTTTGCTTCAGTAACCTTGTCTGTCCCCATGTCTTTGGTTCTCTCCCACTTCCACAGGGAAGATGGCAGGTTGGGGCTGAGAACCCCAGTCTAACCCAGATAGGTGTTACAGGGCTTATTAAGAGGTGTTGTTGGTGTCCACACTCCACCCATGTTGGGAGCAGATGGAGTCCAATGGGAGGGCTAGTGAACATGCAGTTGGTTTCTAGTTCCAACACCAATATACTCAGTAGCCTTGGAGAGTTTATATGATCCATTTCTTTTTTTGGGAGACTTATATACTTTAATTTTCCTGGCAGATGATGTGGATATTAAGAATGTGATTTTAAAGACAAATTAAAAATCTGCTTCCTTAAAATAGTTAAAATCATAGAGTCAGAAAGTAGAGTGTTGGGACGGGGATTTAGCTCAGTGGTTTCGCCTCCTGCTGCACAAGCACAAGGACCTGAGTTCGATCCCCAGTACCAAAAAAAAGAAAGTAGAGTGTTGGTTGCTGGGGTAGGTGGGGGAATGGAGTTACTGTCAAATGGGGCAGAGTTTTGGTTTTACGAGATAAAAAGAGTTAGGGCCTGGGATTTAGCTCAGTGGTGCCACTTCCTGCCTCATAAGTGCAGGGTCTTGAGTTTGATCCCCTGTACAAAAAAAAAAAAGAAAAGAGTTACAGAGGTGGATGGGAGTGATTGTACATTATTAATACTACTGAAATGTATACTTGAACATGGATAAGATGGTAACTTTTATGTACTGTATATTTTACCACAATAAGAATATTGGGAGGATGGGCCGGGGATTTAGCACAGTGGTTTCGCTGCCTGCTGAGCAAGCGCAAGAAGCCAAGTTCAATCCCCGGTACCAAAAAAAAAACCACACACACACACACAAAGAATATTGGGAGGAAATCTGGCTGCCTCTGTTGTGCATGTGATCCTCAATTGCTTTAGAGAGGAATGGATTTCACAGCGACACATAGGTGAATGGTGTTCCATTCACTTCCTGCTTCTCTGAGTTTTAGCCAGCACAGCACCCACAGCCCCAGAAGCGTGGAAGGACTTGAGAGGTTGTAACTACCTAGAGCAGGCATTTGCACGTAGACCTTGTAAAGTGCTTTGAATGTGCTGTGAAATGCATCCCTACACTTTTTTGACCAAATCACAGGTTGAAGGTAAAATCCATTAATGGCTCTTTGTTTTTCCTCTCTTCCTCAGTAGTAGAAGGTGGGACATTTGTAGACTGGATTGCTACAGCATAAGTATTTCCCTTGTTTAAGGAGATGGGATTTGAGAGAATTGTGTGATACAGATGACATCAGCCACTTCTCTAGATGCTCAGCCATTGCTTAGACTCTTTTTCTCAAACTTTTTGTAGGCTGAAAGGCTTGGAGCAAGTCACCAAGGCTACAATGCTCGGTCACCTTCTCCCAGTGTTACTGACCTCCCTGATGCACCCCAATCTGCAGACTTTGACCATGGCCGACGCTCTGATGCCCCAGCTCGTGCAGCTGGTACTCTATACCAGCCAGGTGGGACCCTTGGTGCCCCACAGGCCTGTTCTCTGCTGGCCCACTTCACAATAAATGTAACAGTACCTTTCAGAAACCAAGAAAAGCATCATGCTCTAAAAACAAATTTGAGGGTTAAGGAAACACATTTTATTTGCTCCTGTGACTAAATGACTGCTAGTCTCTTAGCATGTGTTCATCTCTCATCAGTTGTAGAAATGCTAATCTACATGCATCTAAAACCTGCCATCTTGTTTAGTCTCCTGGGACTTTGCCAGCCTAGAGTAACTAACAGAAATGATGTGTTCCCTTCCCACATTAAGTGATGTAGAGGGGTCTCAGTAGCACAGACTAGGATTGTGAAAAAATGATTCAAGTGAGAATTCTAAGTTTGGCACCTGTAGTCCAGGTGATCTGACAGTGAGCTCTTTAAGACTGCTGATGGTTTTGTATTTCAGACGGCTTTGCTGCTTAAAACCCAGTGTCCTGTTTTTGCTGAGGTGGGCTGTTCCCCCTGTGGCACCTCAGAGCAGAAGTGCAGGCTGTTCCCTGATGAAAGGTAACTGGCTCTGCGTCCTGGTCTTTTGTGAAGCCTTGTTCTCCTTTTACAATGATGGTTTTTAGTAAGGATTGTCTAACTGGGAAAAGAAAAAGACTTTAGGGTCAAACTTGTACAGATAACTATAGAATTACTTAGATTTCTAACAAGAGATTAAAATAAATTTCCCTGTGAATAAAAAATTAGTTCAAGGGCCAGGGATTTAGCTCAGTGGTTCCGCTGTCTGCCTCACAACCGCAAGGTCCCGAGTTCAATCCCCGGTACCAAAAAAAAAAAAATTAGTTCAAAATTGACCTGAAATTCTCATACACTAATGGTGGGGACTTTGGCAAACAGTCTGGGAGAATTTTTGTGGGTGTTGTTTTTCTCTTCTTTTTTTGTTTTGTTTTTTCGTTCTATGAGACAGGGTCTCACTCTGTAGTTCAGACTATCAGACTGACCTTGAACTCACTATGTGAGTTAAAGCCACCACGCTCTACTTGGTTGTTGTTCTTAAAGAGACAGGTTCTCACTGTGTTGCCTAGGCTGGCTTTAAATTCCTGGGCTCAAGTGACCCTCCCTACCTCAGCCTCCTGAGTAGCTGGTACTACTGGAATGTACCACCACTCCTGGCTGGCAATTTTTTAAAAAGTTCAACATATGCAAACCACATGGCCCATCTATTCTTCTTCTAGGTATCACAAAAGAGAAAAGAAAGCATAAGTCCTTACAAAGATTAGACGTAAAGTTTCATAATACCTTTAGTTAGAATAGCCCAAAACTGGAAACAACCCAAATGCCCATTAATAGATGAATGAATAAACAAACTGTCTATATAATGTGATTCTCCTCAGGAATAAAAAGGTATGAATGGTTGGTGTATGCAGTAACATTTGTGAATCCCAGATACTTAATGCTGGAAAACTCCAGATCACCCAGGTTACATACTGTGTGATTCCATATACAGTAAACTAGAAAATACAAACTAACTCTCTAGCAGCCGACAGGAAATAAGTGTTTGCCTCAGGGAGGGAGTGGAGAGATTATAAAGAGAAAGAAGGAAACTTCATGGTGGTTTACAAGGGTCCGAACTTACCAAATTTAAATATGTGCCATTTATTACACATCTGTGTTTCATTAAAGCTGTCTTTTTCTTTTTTCTTTCTTTTTTTTTTTTTGTACTGGGGATGGAACCTGGGACCTTGCGCTTGCAAGGCAGGCGGTGGAACCACTGAGCTAAATCCCCGGCCCTAAAGCTGTCTTTTAAAAAAATTGATCAGAAAAGATTTTTCAAGTTTCTCAAAAGCAGTGTGCTATCCAATTGACCTTTTTGCAGTGATGGAAACTTGTATCTGTGCTGTCCAACACCATCAGCCAGGTTACTGAGCATTTGCAAGATGGCCAGTGCAGCCAAGAAATTGGATTTTATATTTTATTTGATTTAAATTCAATCTAAATAGCTACATGTGACTAGCAGCTACGTATTGGATAGCACAGCTCTGCAGAGAATTCCAAGGCAGCCAAGTTTAGGTTTTTTGGTTTTGGGGGGTTTTTTTGGTACCGGGGATCAAACTCGGGACCTTGCGCTTGCAAGGCAGGCACCGGAACCACTGAGCTAAATCCCCAGCCCAAGTTTAGGATTTTAGGATTTTGTGTTCCATAGCTTCAGGCTCTGTGAAGTCCTTCAGAATTCAATTATAATAGTTAGAGCTTTTGAAAGCAGTTTTTAAGAAAAAATTACAGTGACAGTTATATAAACTCCAAGAGTTTATATAATAATTTTAACAATTAGCATGTTGAAATCAACAAAAATTGCATAGGGCTGGGGTTATAGCTCAGTGGCAAAGAGCTTGACTCACACAAGGCCATGGGTTCAATCCCCAGCACCACCACAAATTGTGTAGGACACAAAAGCTGTGGGATCTGCAAAGTAGCTGATCATCATGGCCCTTTATGGTTGTTTTTGTTTTTGAGACAGGGTCTCAATATGTAGTTCAGGCCTGCCTTGAACTCACTGTGTAGTCCAGGCTGGCCTTGAACTCATGGCAGTCCACCTGCCTCAGCCTCCTAAGTGCTGAGTTTACAGGTATGTGCCACCATGCCTGGCTTTTTTTTTCCCCATGAGTAACTTTGAATGAGAGTTAGTGAGGTCTTCTCTTGTACATCAATTTGGCTTCTCCCTTGAAAAAAGAGGGTGAAAGTGCAAATATAGTACTTGAACAAAAAAAGAGGAAAATACAAATATAGCCGGACGTAGTGGTATCTGTCTGTAATCCCAACACTTGAGAAGCTGAGGCAGGAGGATCACTATTAGTTTGAGGCTAGCCTGGCCTACATAGCGAGTTCAAGGCCAGCCTTAACTGCACAGCGAGACTCTGTGTCAAAAACAAACAATACAAACTGGTACTCTTAAGTTTGTATATAGTCTGTATATTACTATACAAGTAATATAGTGCCTAATACCAATAATGAAAGAACTCAAATATAAGAAAAATTTTTTTATTTGAAGAATAACAGCAGCTAACATTTATTGAGTGCTTATGCTGAGCATTGTTCTAAGTACTTTAAAAATATTTTTTATTACTACATGTTTGTGGTATATAATGAATACATTCATTGTGGGCAGTTGTACATGACCAGGAATTTTTTTTTAATGTTTCTCATTGAGACTTAAGTATTTAAAAGTCAGAATGTTATGTTGCATGCTATGGACAACTTGAGTGCTTTCTTGTTGTATTCTAGTGTGTATTTCTATTTTGTTTTTCTTTGCCTTGCTACTATGCTAAACCACTTTCTCTGGCTTTAGAATGCTGGAAGAGAAGGAAGAGCCAGGCTTTCTCACTGGCTTGAAGATTCCCGCCCCATGGGCTGCTGGGAAGACTGTAGAAACAGTACACCCTGTCAGAGACAACTATAAATTCAAAGAAACTGTCCATATCCCAGGAGCTCGCTGCCTGTATCTGAGATTTGATAGCAGATGCTCCTCCCAGTATGACTATGACAAAGTAAGCAAGAACTGAGTTATTATTGTCTCTACCTCTAGTAAGCTGATTTTTCTTAGGTGCTTCTTATTTTTCTTTGCTGTTGGTCATCATTCCTGACTTATTTCTGTCTGCAGATATCTCTAAGGAGGACTTTCCTAAAATAATGCCCCAAAGGGTAGTAATTGAGGGGGCAAAAAAGCCATCACCTCTGCAGTCTAAAACAATGTTCTGATGACATGTTGACAGTGTCCCTTTGTAAGCCTTTAGAAGCTTAGATTGGAGTCAAAGGAACTTTCCCTTTTACTTTGCTGACTTTCTGTCTTTCCTCTGTGCTTGTAATTCCTGTAGATGACTGATGGCCGTTCATCTCAAAAGGTCTTACTGCCCAATTCTTGGGGCTTCTCATGTATCTTTTGGGAGAAAGTGGCCTTTTAGAAGGGTTTAAGATGGGCTGGGATCTGGCTAATATGTATTTATGTATTACTTCTTCTTTGCCATTACCTCAGAGTAGTTTCCAACCTGGTGGCTGAATAATAATAAAGAAAAGGAAGTAAAGCTGGCCATGGTGGTGCATACCTATAATCCTAGCATTTGAAAGGCTGAGGCAGGAGGATCACTGAGTTCCAGGCCAGCCTGGGCTATGTAGTGAGACTCTGTCTCAAAAACAAAGCAAAACAAAACAAAACAAAAAAGTAAGCATTTTAGGAGCTGAATTATAAATCATCATGTTAAACTTATGAGGAGAGGCTAATGCATTGGGATATGTAGCATGAGAAGGAAAAGTGGGGGATTATCTAATACCTTTGTACACACAAAATAGCATTGTACCTACTATCTTCATGCAGCTTGTTAGCTATGTGTTGTCTCTCCTGTAAACTGAGTAAGGACAAATGCTTTTAAATCCCATCAGGGAAGGTTTTTAGGGTAAAAATAAAGAACTTCCTAACTAAATCTGCCATGAGATGGTGAAACACATGACTAGAAGTTGTAGAATCTTCTTCCCCACTGTCTTTGATGATAGTCAAGGAGTCCCGGATGTCTAGAGGATTTAAGGCTTGTCTCCAAAACTCAGCATAACTGGAAGCAGGAATTCTAGAAGATGGTTTCTGGTGACCCTTTAAAATAATCCATTGCTTAACATTGGTCTGGCCTGCCTCATGGCTCAAAATATTAGCTGCCCCTACTTCCTAGGTTCAAGTGGAGTGACTATTTAAAGTAAGTGGAAGAAGTTGTCCTTTTAGTTGGTGCCATTTTGTTTCTCCTTTAAAAACAGTCATTTCCATCTTCTGATGTGTGCTAACTTATACCTACAGTAGACATTAGTGTTAATGATAAAGAACAGAGAGGTTCACTGCATGGATAAAAGTACATTTACTTTTCCAGTGATCCCTGGCTGGTGTCAGCAAAAGGTGCAAAAGGGTAAGAAACACAAAACAATAAGCATCTAGGGCTGGAGACACAGCTTTTAGATGCAAACTTAGATACAGTGTGAGGCGGTCAGAGTGTACTATAGGAGACAGGATTTGGTATTTACAGAAGCCAGAACTTTGTTTTTCCTACCAAAGTATTTGAATGCCAAATGAGCTATCAGTGTTTCTCCTCCATATTAGAAAGTCATTTGATGGGATGTAAGTCCATATCCTTATGGAAGAAAAGTATTGATACATGAAAACTGACCCAAGAGGGAGCAGCCCCCTTTTCTTGCTCAAATATGTGTTTTCCTTTTATCCCATTAAGCAAGATTCTAAGTTTATATGGCTTATTTTCAATTTGTTGCATTTTTATATATCCTTATTTGTTCATTGATTTATTTTTGGTGTGTTTATTTTGTTGTTGTGTTGAATATAACCATCTTTCCCTCTGTATTTGTTCACTTTATTAATTTTGGGGAGGTTATAAGGGTTCAAACTTTAGTTGTTATTAATGAGTTATATGTTATTGATTAGTATTAAAATAGCTATTTGAAAAATGTATGTACATATAGCTAGATATAACTATTTTAATGTGAGGTCCCCAAGCCAATTAAAGCATGATAATATAAAAAATATGCTTGTTTTAATCATTGTTATTTCTGTGTGGCTGTCCTGTAAATACCAACAGCTGATTGCTTCCAAACTAGTATCAATTCTACCTAAAAAATCAGAAAATATTAGTTAGATTATAATGACACCAGTGCCTGGTTATAAATGTATTTTTAAACAACCATTTTTTGCAGCCTTTTTATTTGTAGATGTTGTTTTTGTTTTTCTTTTACAGTCTAACAGTCTATTTTCTGTTTTGAAGTTGGTGATATACGCGGGGCCTAACACAAACAGTAGGAAGGTTGCTGAATATGGAGGCAATACTCTGGGATATGGCAGCCGTAGTGTCTTAGGAACTGGTTGGCCGAAGGACTTGGTGAAGGTATGGTATCCAGTCACAGTCACTTTGTAGAACAGAAAAGTGAACTTACGTTTCTCATGGGCCCATATACTGTACTCGCTCACCATGATCCTAGAAAACACGGGCCATGGGGGTTTTATCGAACTGAGGCCACTTGCTGGGCCTCTCTGTTCAGAATGACCTCTTCCACTCAGAATGACACTGCTTTCACTCATAGGACATCAGACCCCTGTCCACTCCAGAGTTGGGCTTTCTTCCATGGGTCACTCTGTGGATGGAGGAGCTGCTTTCTTCCAGCTCACTCCTTTTCTAGATTCCATGATGATGAGTAACCTAGAACCACAGGGCCACTGCAGTTTAAGTGCTGAGTTAATGTTTTCAAAGGAATTTGGGCCTTTGGAGACAATTAATGGCCATTCCCAAACTGATACAATTAGGGCTGCTTTGTGATCTGGGCCCTCTAACTACTTACTAGTATCTCCCTAGAAAATGAATATGAGCTCAGTTGCCCATCAGACCCCAAAATGGCTCCAAAATAGGCTTCATGAGCCTTAATTTAACATACACCATGCACCCTCTTTAATTCAGCCACAGATAGCTAATTATCTCCAGGTGTAATCAGGATGGATCTGACTCTGAATAAGCATACTCATCTGTTCTCTAATCCACTGCAGTTTGTTCCTTACTCATAGAGCTGGTTTGGAAATGCCAGATGTTCTGGCACAGCACTCTTCAGGTGTGCTGGTCATTTGCTGGCCTGTTGACAGAAGTGACATGGGGAACAGCAAGGGGGAGGGCAGCAAGAGTAGAGGTATGAGGCATTTATTAGAAATTATGCTTAAGATTTGATTAATCTTTACTCTGACCCTGCTGTTGGGCAGTCAGACCCATTTCACAGATTCCTCATCCCAAAGGCTACCTAGTCAGGAGGAACCTGAAAGGTTTGTGTCTAAATGAAAGGGATGGAATTGAATCAAAAAGCAAGTAAGAAAAGAAGTGAGCCATTGCTATGGACCTTTTGGAAGTACATCTCTAAAATTCATTGCTCTTTCAAAAGTTATGTGTCTTGTTTTTAAAGTGCATTTCCCCCCCCCTTAAATTTAAGGTGGAAGGAGATACAGTCACCTTCTCCTTTGAAATGAGAAGTGGCCGTGAACACAACACTCCTGATAAAGCTATGTGGGGCTTTGCTTGCACAGTTCGCGCTCAGGTACTTGACCCTAACCACTGCTGTGGGCAAAATGTACTTTCTACTATGTGCCTTGGTTACATTCATCATATTTGCCTTGGAAACAGGGCAGAATATGAGCCACTCTTTCATCCGTCTCTTCTATCTGGCAGTAGCAATCTACTTATAGTTAATAGTAGTTTTATGGTGTAAAGTGAACTGTTACCTGAAGTCAATTTAGCCGCACAGGAATAATCCATCCTTAGGGACTCTGTTATCCAGCTGTGGAGAGGTGACCCGACTTCAGCATCTACCTATAGGGCAAAGAAGATTCAAACACTCAATAGAAGTAAGCACTTGAGCAGCGAGACCCCATCTCAAAAAAACAAACAACAAAAAAAGAAGCAAGCATTTGAGAGTCAGGCATGGTGGTCCACTCCTGTAAACCCAGTACTGGGGAAGCCTGGGGCAGAAGGATCGCTAGGAATTCGAGGCCAGCCTGGGATACACAGTGAGGCCCTATCTCCCAGAAAAAAAAAAAAAGAAGAAAGAAGCACCTCAATTCTGGGTTTTAAGAATAATAGGAATTCTGCTAGTCCCTCTATATGCTGGATTTTAGAAAGGATTTTTGGGGGGAGGGGGTACTGGGGATCGAACTCAGGACCTTGCGCCTGGCAGCAGCACCACTAAGCTAAATCCCTGGCCCCTAGAAAGGTATTTTAGACATAGAGGCCACTTAAGGTTACCCAAACTGAGGCTCCAGAGTGGGAATCTGTGCTAGCTTTTCAGGGATCTTTTGTTTTTCCCTCTGATACAGAAGAGCGCAGGGGGCCCTTAAGTATTTCTTGAATGAATTCAGTGTAGACTGACAACATCATGGTTTGAGTATAGAATGGAAGCAGCAAAATTAAGTAGTGATTTCTAGTTGGAGAAGCTGAGCAGAAGGAAGCTACCTAAAGAATCTAGGCTTCTTGCATGTGATTCGTGCTGTGTCTGACCTAGAGTCTGACCAGCTGTTTTCTCTCCAGAATTTGTGTTGAGACCTCACTCAGTGGTCATTCCAGTGCCACCACCGACGCGTGATGTTGGGAGCTGTACCTGTGCCCCATAGCAAGGCACACAGTGCTGCTGTGTAAACCTCGTGGTGGGCACAATGCAGTGTGGTGCGGCACAGGTGGCAGCGCTCTGTCAGGGTCCACTGACCAGTGTGGTTTGCCCCTGTCTGCATTGTAGGAGTCCTCGGAGGACGTCTCAGGAGGCCTGCCCTTTCTGGTAGACCTGGCTTTAGGTCTGTCTGTGTTAGCTTGTTCCATGTTAAGAATCCTGTACAATGGACCAGAAATTACCAAAGAAGAAGAAGCCTGTCAAGAGCTATTGCGGTCCAAACTTTTACAAAGGTAACAAAAAGGTTCAAATTGACCTTGTTTTGCCCACAAAGGAGAAAGGACTTTCTGTGGAAAACTACTACTGTTGGTACATTTCCCAGCTAACTGTGCCCACTTCCTGACCATCTCTTGGCTGTCATTGTATCTGAGAAATAGATGAAAATGACACCATGGTGCTTTCTGACCTTTAATTTACATCTCTGAACTGCATAAGCTTTTCTCCAACCCAAATATTGTACAGTTAAATTGAAGGATCCCCAAAAGGATTGACAGCTGTGTGTAATCAAGCATATAACAAAATATTTTTATGGGAGTCCAGGCAGTGGTTATGTAGATATTAACTGTGTAATTCTTTCCACTTCTCTGTATGTTAAAAAGTTTGTATAATAAAATGTTGAGGAGATAGGTTCCCAGAAATGTACAGTACTTTCTTAAATGCTCATTTTTCTTTAACTTCTGGAAAAGGTTATAATGAATACATACTTAACACATCACATGATCCTTCAAGTTTGTTGTATTGACAGACATCAAGTAGCTTTCCAGTAATTTTTTTAAATTTAATTTTTATTAATTCATGTTTATAGTACATAATGGTTATATTTATTGTGGGGAGCTGGTACATGTTCATAACACCTCCGCAAGGGAATGAAGACCCTTTTTTCTGTCTGTCCAGGTGCCAGTGGCAGGTGGAAGCCAATGGTGTCATCTCCCCTGCCCTTACTCCAAGCCCCTCTCCACTGCCTCTGACCATAGAGGAAGATAGAGAATTCACCTACCCGTCGGACGTGCTTGTGCCTCCTGTTGGAAACTATTTTGACCTGCCCCGGATCAGGCTGCCTCCAGGAATCATGATAAAGCTCAGGGAAATTTCTGGGCGTGCTAGACCTCAATTTAGACCAAGTATAAAGTATGTAGCATTTTACTTTTCCCAATGAGAAAAAGTGTTTATAGATAATGAAGGACTATATTTCTTCTTGTGACCTAGCAAGTGAACCTCTACTAGAAAGTTAAATTTTATGCTTACTCGGTGCTTGGGATCTGGCATATGAGAGGCCATGAGTTTGATCCATAGCACTGCAAAAAATTAAATTAAAATGTTATGTTTAATGAAAATCAAGTGCTCTGAAGGGCCCACCAGGTGACATTTCAGCTCATGGTTCCCAAAGTGTGGTCCTCCAGTTAGCAGCATTAGTACCACCTGGGAACTGGTTAGTGCTTGTGCCCCATTTCACACTGATAGTATCAGAAACTGAGGGTGAAGCCCAGTTAGCTGTGTCTTAACAAGTGTCCTATGTGATTCTGATGCACGCTAAGGTTTGACAGGTTCTAGGTTGTTCTCAAGTAGTTTGACCTTCTACTAATACTCAACCTCTGCTTTGATTCCAGAGTGTAGAGACATGTCTTTATTTTTGATTCCTACAGAAATGGTGACTATTAAGTCTTATAGCTTACAAATGTGCTTGTGGTATTCTTGTTTAAAGTCTGTTTTATAGATCTCTATAAATCTGCCTTTTAAGGCAACGTTTGCCATTTCTGAGAGAAAAATTTAGAGAGAGGATGAAATTTTAAATGAAAGAAATACAGAAAACACAGCCATAGGAAACAGAGCCACTCTGGCTTATTCTCAGCCAAACATCTGTACACACTAAATACCATAAGCCTTAATACTAAATGAATTAATTTGTAGATAAATGGTGCGGAAGATTTTTTTCTTTTTTTTCTTTTTTGTTTTGGCCCTAGATCTATTCCAGCTCTGATATGACTCTAGCTCAAATCATACTAAATGAGGTATCTTTAACTTTGGTGTTCAGCTTTATCAAGCCAGTGTCAGTTTTTATCAGTTAATACACTGAATTGTTTGCCAACATGTAATACCTGTAATGCTGCCATACTATTCATGTCTCTTACTCTGTTGTAATAAAGAAGGCTTGGTGAATGTTTAATAAATTTAATAAAGCCTGCCTGCATTCTTCAACCTGTAGAAAGTAGTTTTGGCAAGTTGAGAGCACGACATAGATCTGACTAGTTTCCCTTGTAATCATAGAGAAGTGATTCAGCCAGACGTGATGGAGGAAATGGTGGTATCTTGTGTTATTAAGCACTTGAACTTGGTGGATGCACTGCAGTCCCTAATAAATTTCCAGTATCAAGAAGAACATGCTGAGGAATATGATTTATTGTGCAAAATTATGGGCGAGACCTTTAAGAAACTCAATGCCATGGAGAGACAGCTACAGGTAAGTGAAAGCTAAAACATTTATGTTTGTCTGGTAACTGCTGCAAATAATTTCTCTCCTAGAAAGTTAAAGAAGTCTAACGCATAATGTAAATTTTTCTAACTACTACTACAAAATAAATTTCTGAAAATATGCATTGCCTTTGCTTTCAATTTGTATTTATTTACACATGGTATTATCTTCATGTCTCCCACAGAGTGTTGCAGAACTGGAGCAGAAGTGGCAAAGTGAAGTTGAGGATGCCATGCAGGGGAAGCTGGAAAACAACATGCCTTTCTTCTATGATTACCATTTCAATGAGGTGAGCAAAGTGTATGATTCACCGCGGAAGCACTGCCATTTTTAAAGCAAAGGTATACAGCACATGTGTGCATGTTTATGTGTGTGTGTGTATAATGTCACTTCCTGAGATCAACATGTCAATATCCTTTTTTTGTTTTTTTTAGTTTTTTGAGACAGGATCTCACTATGTAGTTCAGGCTGGCCTTAACTCACTATGTAGCAGCCCCGGCTGGCCTCAAATTTGTGGTGATCCTCCTGCTTCAGCCTCCCAAATACTGGGACTACAGGCATGTGCCACCACACCCAATGGCCAAATAATTGTTTTAAACTAATTAATACTTTCATTAACAGTCTAAAGAAATTATACCGGCCCCTGCCTCGCAAGCACAAGGTCCCAAGTTCCATCCTGGTACCAAAAAAAAAAGCTATAAAGAAATTATAATTAAAGCCAGGGATTTAGCTCAGTGGTGCTGTACCTGCCTCGAAAGTGCAAGGTCCTGAGTTCAATACCCAGTACGAAAAAACAAAACAAAACAAAAAAGAAATTATACTTATTATCAAGTTTTGCTTTCAAGCCTTGACAAGGAAAAAAACAGGCAGAAATATAGACCTCAAAGAAATTCCCAAAAAAGTATCCCATTCCATTTTAAATAATTGAAATATCAATTAATAACTCAGAAATGAGCTTTAAGCAGAGAAGTGTGGACCACATGGGTGGTGTTTGTTCCCTGGCATTTTCTGTTCCCTTTAACAAATGTACAGTAAAACTTGGTTGTTGCACATCCTCTATACCATCTTTTCTTGATTTTTCCTTCTTTAGAACAAAATGAAAGAACTAGAACTTTTGTGTTCAATGAAGGAAGTCTCCTTTGATGGAAATGATCTTGAAAACATGGTCCTATCACTGAGGTTAGTGATGTTAATCATTGTTAAGGCTAATAAATCACCTTAAAGCTAAAATCACATTGTGAAGATCTAGTCTCTTGATGGATTTTTTTTTTATATTGTGGAGTCATCAAATATTTTAGAGTTTAGAATGCATTTGATAAGCTGGCAGTTTTTGTTTGAACCTTCAAAGGGTAGCATAGGAGTCTAAAACAAAAAAAGGGACTAGGAGCAGCCAGAGTTTGTAGCACTGCTCCCCTGGAATGGGGTGGGCAGGTAAGCAATATTTATTAGATTACTTTTGCTTAGTTTTCCCTCTGTCTTCTCCTATGCTTTGCCATTTAAAAAAATTGTTCTTGGTAAGCTAGAGAACCCCTCAATACATGTGAGTCTTTCTTTATAGGGAGAAGTTCCTACAAGAGGTGAATTTTCTTATTCAGAAACCCTCACATCCACTGGCTAAAACAAAAACGCTAGTGAAGAGTCTCATGAACCGAGCTGAGCTACTGCTGCATGTGACCATTGCAGCCCAGTCGGGCCTCACTAGGAGCATCTCAGGGACCCCGGCGGAGACACCAGGTACTGCTCCAAGAGCCCTTCAAGGCTTCTCATGTGACTTCATTCATAAAGTAGAGATTAGCTCCTTTTTTTTCTTTCTTTGTGGTCGTGAGTGTTGAACTCAGGGCCTTCATACTAAGTTACATCCTGAGGGTTTCTTCCTTCTTTAAAAATCTTTTTATTTTGAGATACCATCTTGCTAAGTTGCCCATCCTAGGCTCAAACTTGTGATCCTCCTGACTCAGCCTCTCAGAGTGCTGGGTTTACAGATGGCCCCACCACACCAAGGGGCTCTTGATCTCAGCGATGATAAATTAGTAATATCTGAGAGATAGCAACATCTTCAAAGATTATATAATACTTTATATTTATGCTAACTATTCAGACAGGTACAAAATGACTTTTCCACTTTTTCAATGTTTTTTCTTTCTTCTTTTTTTGTTGTTGTTGGGTGTTTTGTTTTGCTTTGTTTTTGAGACAGAATCTCGCTGTGTAGTTTAGGTTGGCCTTGAATTCACTATGTAGCCCAGGCCGGCCTTCAACTCCTACCTCAGCCTCCTGAGAGCTGGGATTATAGGCATCCACCACCACAACCCACTAAGGGAGAGTGTCTTGAGCAATAATGGCAATGTGTCTTTCACTGTAATAAACTTTTTAAAATGTCAATATTCACCATGTATTTTATCACCCTGTGTATATCTAATAGGAAGCGGGAATCACATTCCAGCTCAAGTGTGACATTTACTCCCTCCAGCAATAACCAAAGTGGAACTCTTACCAACTGGTGATAAGTAAGCTAAATACATCTAAAATTAAAGGGAGACAGAGGGCATTTCTAAAAAAATATATATATATATGTATCTGGATGGATTTATTTGAATTAAGAATTTTATGCTTTCAGAAATTATTTTGTGTCTTCTCTTGCTTTTTAGAGTGCTCATATTGAAATGAACAGTGATAGCTATGAAATTTTCACCTTTTCTTTGGGAACCAAATTAATTAACCAACTCAATAAAAATATTTTAATTTTTAAACCTAAAATAATTTTTAACCTAATATTTGGTTTAAAACAATTGAAATAGGTGTGATTGAACATGCCTACTATCCCAGCACTTTGGAAGCTAAGAGGATCATGAGTTCAAGGCCGGCCTAGACTATATAGCAACCTCAAGACCAGCCTAGAGTACATAATTAAACGTGTCTTTAAATTTAAAAGTTGTCCTAAATGGGCCGGGGATTTAGCTCAGTGGTTTCGCCACCTGCTGCACAAGCGCAAGGACCCCGAGTTTGATCCCCGGTACCAAAAAAAAAAAGTTGTCTTAAAACTCACCAGTATTCTGTAGTAGCTAGATTGGTACCTGAATTCCATTAGAAAACAAAGATAAACTCCATTTGGTAGTTCTGTGTTATATTTAGCCATTGCTGTAACTCCTTGCAAGCTGGATGGTAGAAATCTTAACCTTTTTATTGCTTTTTCTTCCAGCCTGTAAATCAGCTTCTGAAACAAAGGTGATATCTCATGCTGTCCGGCAGCCTATCTTTCTTCGCAGCATGTCGGCTCCTTCTGACCTGGAAATGATTGGTAATGAAGATATGGAATTTACTAGAGCAAATCAGAGGTAAATGGCTAATGGCCAGGGTTGAATGCCTATGTGCAACTGAATGCATTCCTCAAAACAAACTATTTTGTTTTCCCTGTAGACGTCGCCATGTGACCAGCCACCGCAGCAGCTCCTTCACACTCCTGCAGTCACTGGCCATTGAGGACAGCAGGGACAAGCCCACCTACAGCGTCCTGCTGGGGCAGCTGTTTGCTTTCATTGGCACCAACCCTGACCAGGCTGTACGTGACACTGCAGACTGCAGATGGATGGCACCCAGTAGCAGGGAGGGTCTTGTGACAGCAGGAGTTAGCAACTTCCTTCTCGTGCATTTCAGGTGTCCAGCAGCAGCTTTCTTTTGGCTGCACAGACAAGGTGGCGGCGGGGAAACACTCGAAAACAGGCCCTGGTGCACATGCGAGAATTACTGACGGCCGCTGTGCGAGTCGGGGGAGTGACGCATCTTGTGGGGCCTGTGACAATGGTCCTTCAGGGAGGACCCAGGTCAGTTTCGTTAGTTCATACTGTCCCCTCTAGACTGGGCAAAAGCCATTCCGGAGTTTATTCTCAGGACCATGGAGATAGTGTGGTATTTGCTAATGTTTTTCCTAAAATACTTTGTTTTTATGTAAATGGTACGTAATTTTACAAAACTTTCAGTGTATATAGCATTGTAAAAGTTTCTTCACCTAGCTTTCCTTCCTGAATTCCACCCTGTTCCTTGAAAGTTTGTTGTATCAACCATAAATGAATAAACAGCTACTTAATTCTCTTTATACAGATAGGTATTATACACACACTTTTTTTTTACATAAATAAGATTTTGTTATATATGTCTTTCTATAATCATGATTGCTTAATACATCTTGTATCTCTTTTTTTCAGTCATAACCTATAGTCTACTTTGTGAGGTTTTTTTGTTTGGTTTTGGTTTTGGTACCAGGGATTGAACTCAGGACCCAGGACCTTGCACTTTCGAAGCAAGTGCCGGAACCACTGAGCTAAGTCCCCGGCTGTTTTGTTTTTTGTTTGTTTTGAGACAGCATCTCACTATGTATATAGGCCAGCCTTGAACTCACTATGTAGCTGAGGCTGGCATCAAACTTGGGGCAGTCATCCTGCCTCAGCCTCCTGAGTGCTGGAATTACAGACGTGTGCCATGCCCAGCTTACTTGTCATCTTTAAGAGCTTCATAGACTCCATTATATGGATGATCTTTATTTTTTACTTTTTGGGGTGTTTTTGAGACAGAGTCTTATTATATATTTCAGGCTGGCCTTGAATTTACTGTGTAGCCCACAATCTGGCCTTGAACTCACAATGATCCTCCTGCCTCAGCCTCCCAAGAGCTGGGATTATAGGTGTGCACCACCACACTTGGCTTTTTTTTTTTTTTATCATACCACTGATCAAACTCCAATCCTTGTGCTTGTGAGGCAGGCAATGGCACCACTGAGCTAAATCCCCAGCCCACACTTGGCTATTTTTAAAAGATAAGTCATCCTCTCCTGATGGGCTCGTGGTGCATTCATTCTTTTTTTCTGTCTGTTTTTGGTCTGGTTTGGTTTGATTTTGACTTCTCAACCGTGTTACAGTCAGCATTCTCCTACCTATATTTTTATATACTTTGGTGTTATTTTTATTAGATCAGTTTCTAACAACATAGGTATAGATACTCACTGTTTGTACAAAGGTTTTGTAACTTATTTGGGAAGTTTTTCTATATGAGTTCCCTGCTGGGCTTCAAAGATCCTGACATTGAGACAGCAAAGCCTTTCCTGTAAGTCCTGGGCTGAACTCTGGGGCCTGTTGGTGCTCCTGGCCGTTCTTTGAGGAACCGTGGCCTGCAAGCAGAGGGTCAGTGGCTAGAGGCAAATGTGCTCACCAAGAGCTAAAGTGAATGTCTTAGAAAATTTCTGTCAATCAGGAGAGGTCAGGCAGTTCTTTGGAAATAACTCCATAATGTCAGTGGCTTAAAAGATAAAAGTCATTGAATAACACAAGTGAGTATTACAACTTACTTCCAAAATAATTTCTCCATAACCCTGGCAGCACTTTTCCTTTTCCCCTCAATTTTTAATATCATTTGTCAAAAAATTTTAAAAATGCAGAAAATCAGAAAGAATAAAATAAAAATCACCTATAGGGGCCAGGGATTTAGCTCAGTGGCACCGTGCCTACCTTGCAAACTCAAGGTCCTGAGTTGGAGCCCTGGTACCAAAAAGAAAATACAAAATAAAAACCCTATAAACCCACCATCCCAAGGCAATATTGACAGTTTAGTATATTTGTTCTTTGTCCTAACCATAGATATGCACTATAGTGTTTTAGTGGTGATATAGCACTGTATCATAGTCTTTATATGCAGTTTCCTATTTTAAACCTTATATAGTTTTATTAATTTATTTTTCCTACTATAAACGGTACTATGTTGTATATCTTTGTAGGTAAATTCTGACAATTTGAGTCCTCAATATCAATTGCTCTAAAATTGGCCCTATGTTCTGTTTTTACATTTGCTTGCTTTCTTTCTTTTTGGTACTGGGGATCAAATTCAGGACCTTATGCTTGTGAGGCAGGTGGCAGAACCACTGAGCTAAATCCCCCTCCCTTGTTTTTACATTTGAAAAGTTATATATCACATCAGCTGGCCTCTCATACTCGGCTACATGTTGGAGTGTGAACTTGATAATGACACTTGGTTAATTTATTTGAACTTTCATTTTGACATTAATACAGTTACATTTACGGTTTTGGTGCTGCATGGGATATTATAGATATGTTCAGATAAATGGTTTCATTAGCAAAGAGCTCTGGGAAATATTGGATACCATTCCTCTGCTTTCACAGTTACTGTGTCCTTTAACTTTATTAAAAGTCCTGAGCCAGGCATGGTGGTACACACTTATAATCCCAGCACTTGGGAGCCTGAGGCAGGAAGATCTCTGTGGATTTGAGGCCAGCATGAGCTAATAGTGAGACCTTGTCTCAAAAAAAAAAGCCCTGAAAAAGCCAGGCACAGTGGCTCATGACTATACACCTAGCTACTGGGGAGGCTAACGGGAGAACTGCAACTTCAAGGCAAATGTAGGCAATTGAGCAAGACCTTATCTCACAATAAAAAGAGCTGGAGATGTAGCTCCATGGTAGAGCACTTGCCTAGCATGTGTGAAACTATAGGTTCAATCCCCAGTACCATTTAAAAAAAAAAAACAAAAAGGTTCTGAAAAGTCCTGCAGTAGACAATCCTGCTTCCCTAAGCCAGAATTCTCCAACGTTTTCTTTTTTTTTTTAATTTTCTCCAGGGTCTTCTTGAGTGTGGTCCATCATGTTTGAGGGACACCTAGAAATCTGCCCAGTGGTCTCCTTTGCTCTTGTAGTTGATGAAACATTTAGCTTGCTAGTCTGCAAGATTCGTTCATTACTAGATTCATCCAGAAACTCTGGGTTCTCTAAAGAATTCTTCTGCCCTAGTCATGCTTATTGTTCTTGACATGTTCAGCATGGCTGCACCTTGGTTCGTTCCACAGGATTGAAGAACTTACCTGCGGAGGCATGGTGGAGCAGGTCCAGGAAGCTTTTGGGGAAACCATGACCTCCGTCGTGTCTCTGTGTGCCCGTTACCCAATCGCTTGTGCAAATAGCATTGGACTCTTGTGTACCATACCTTATACCAGGTAAGCCCTTTATCACATGTAAGTTATACCACAATAGAGTTAAGTGTAAAAGTATTTTTGTTTGTTTTTTACTTTAAAAATAGTTGTATTTATATTCCAGTTTGCTCAAATACTGATTTTCTTACAAACTTTCTTTTTTTTTTTTTTTTTTGGTACCGGGGATGGAACTTGGGACCTTGTGCTTGCGAGGCAGACAGCAGAACCACTGAGCTAAATACCCGGCCCTCTTACAAACTTTATACGGGATGAAATTCTTCACATTGTGTCTTGACTATGTACTTACGGAATTTCAGGGAAATAATTGTTTTTAATGGCTTCATTTGTACTAACAGGATGGCAAGTGGTCACATGCAGTCCATGTGTGATTCTAACATGACATTCAGTGAGTTTTCTGATGTAGACCAACCCTTGTTTTTGTTTATTGAGACAGGGTCTCGCTGTGTAGTTCAGGCTGGTGTGGAACTCATGGCGATCATCCTGCCTCGGCCTCCCAAATGCTGGGATTACAGGTGTGCGCCACCATGCCTGACTGTTGAAGTATTTCTGATGTATAAAATTGACCTTTTTTTTCTTTTTGTAACACTAGGGATTGAACCCAGAGCCTCACAGATGCTAAGCAAACACCACCACTGAGCTATACCCCCAGCCATTTTTTTTTTATTTATTTAATTTTATTTTGAAGCAGCATCTCAGTAAGTTGCCCAGGCTAGCCTCAGATTTGCCATTCTGCTGCTGCTGAGTAGCTGGTATTATACCACCATACCTCACTAAAATTAGATTTTTTGGTTTGATTAACCAGTGCTTACTAAACAAGCTTTCCTCTATGTAAATTCCTTATTGTTGGGTTCCTTTGTGACCAAATGCTACAGTAAAGATTGCGTTACACAGTGGTTCAAAGAAAAAAAAGTCCTTAGGAAATTACTTGTGTATTTGCCAGGAATCTTTTGCATGGGTACATTTATTTTCTCTCGTGGGCTACTGAATTTATAGTTTGAAGATGCCAGGAAGATGGGGTTATTCTTTGAATTCCCTAATGATAAAATATTTATTTTTTCTGTTATGGCAATTACTTGATTCCATCAGTTTTTACTTTGCAGTTCCACATGAACAAACCAAAACTCAAAGTTCCTTATTTTTTAAGGATGTCATCTAAGGGAAGTAGCTTTGTGTTAATTGTACATGACAGTGTCTTCAAGTGTACGTTTCTGGCCCTTGTGACAACCTGAAACTTCCTGAGAGGTCGCCCAGGGTGAGTCAGTTGTCTTTCCTGGCACCCATCCCTCTTTGCCAGGAGTGAAGAGAAGTGCCTGGTGCGCAGCGGGCTTGTCCAGCTCATGGATCGACTGTGCAGCTTGAGCAGTCAGACTGAGTCCAGCTCCAGCGAGAAACAAACCAAGAAGCAGAAAGTGGCCACCATGGCCTGGGCTGCCTTCCAGGTGCTTGCCAACCGCTGTGTCGAGTGGGAAAAAGAGGAAGGTGAGCACAGGACTCCTTTCTACTCTGACTTCTTCCCTTGGCACGAGTGTACATCACGTTGTTGTGCTGGATGGGGCATGAAGAAGGCACTGGTAAGGTACATAATCAGATGGGCTTTATCAGTCATCGATTTCATGAGGGCCTTGTTTTTGGTACCAGGGATCGAACTCAGGACCTTGCACTTTCGAGCCAGGTGGCAGCACCACTGAGCTACATCCCTGGCCCCTGTGAGGTTCTTTTCATCAGAGTGTTTCTGTGAAAACTCACAGCTGCCCTGTGACTCTGAACAACATCCTGGTACCCTGACGGAGAACAGTAGCTCCAGAAAATAGAGAGGATAGTTTTATTATTTTATTGTCAGTACTCCTAATGGTCTCCACAGTTTTGTAAAATGGCTGTTCAGTTGCATTTTCAAGAGTATATTTCTAAATTGTATTTTTAGTGACTAATCCAATTTAAAAAGTATACTTGAAGCTAAGTACAGTGGTACATGCCTGTCATTCCAGTACTGCAGGAGGCTGAGGCAGGAGGATTGTAAGTTCAAGCCTGGCCTGGGCAACTTAATGAGACCCTGTCTCAAAAAAAAAAAGGCTAGAGTTGAAGCTCAACAGTAGAGAGCCCCTAGGTTCAATACCCAGCGCTGAAAAAAAAAAAGTGAACTTAATAAATTTCTCAGGGATTTAGCTTAGTAATTCCACTGCCTGCCTCACAAGCACAAGGTCCGGAGTTCGATCCCCAGTACCCCAAAAAAAAAAAAAAAAAGAATAAATTTCTCCACAATATCTCAGTCTGTGCATATAAATGTTTATCTGTTTATCCATTCACTGTGCATTTTAATGTCTTGCGAGGCTATTATATTCAGGCAGATGATGAATCGGAAATTGTTTCTTTAAGAACTATGGTCTGGCAGAAAAAACAGACCACTGAACAAATAATTACAATAGTGTCAAAGCTATAACCAGGAATTAACGAAACCCTGTGGAAGCATAGAGGCTCCTAGAGACCCACAGTGCAAGGAATGGAGGGACTGGCCAAGGCTTCTGCGAGGAGGTGACATACGAGCTATTTCTGAGGGATAAAGAGGGTCTTGAAGCACAGCAAATAGCACATGTATGCTCAGGGATCCAGAAGTGTATGGGACATTCGGAAAATGATGAATAATCTCCTGTAGCTTTTAGAAGCATTATTTAGGGGTCTCTGGAACTATGGTGAACATGGAAAATGCAGAGTGGTCTTTTATTGTGTTTGAGGAGAGAAAAGTATGAATGAAGAAGTCAAGCTGATTTCAGTAAAGAATGATCCTTCCCCTCCATCAGTATATGTTCATCTGTTATGTATGGATTAGTTATATTCAGTTTTCATTAAGAGTAAGATCTTACCCAATGCAGCTAATTTTGAAGGAACTATTAGCTTTTCCATGTGCAGCTTTTATTGAATGAGGAGACACTAATTGGGTGGCCAAGGAAACATTGAGCAAGAGAAAGAAAAATTAGTCAAGGCTTGGACTTCACCACGGAGACGCCAAGAGGAGGACTCACCACACCCACAGCCTCATCATGGCTTCCTTGAGTGGTCACCATGCTTCTCTTTGTTTCTTTAATTCTGAAGGTGGCTCCACAGAGGCTGTGCACTCAGGTCTGGCCCGTCAGGTGTCCAGCCTCCTCACAAACCATCTCGCCCGAGCCACTGAGTGCTGCGGCAACCAGGCTGCTGGGAATGACGCACTGCAGGATGTCCTGAGCCTTCTCAATGACCTCTCAAGGTGTGGTGGGCCTGTCAGGAGCTGGGGAGAGCTGGCTTTCCCTAGGATGATTGCGGTGCCTTTTGTTGCGTTGTGTTTTTTTGGTACTGGGGATCAAACTCGGGTCCTTGCACTTGTGCAGCAGGTGGCAAAACCACTAAGCTAAATCCCCGGCCCAGTTGCGGTGCCTTTTGATTGTGGTTATCTTTAGAAATATCCAAATGAAGCCGGGCATGGAGTGCACACCTGTAATCCCAGCACTCAGGAGGCTGAGGCAGGATTACCATGAGTTCAAAACCATTCTGGGCTATGTAGTGAGTTCAAGGCCAGCCTAGGCTACATAGCAAGACCCTATCTCAAAAAAGAATAGAAAAGAAAAGAAATATCCAAGTTGCTAGGCTCTTTGACACACTTCTGCTTAAAAAGAAAGAAAAGAAAAGGCAATGAACAGAGTCATTAAAACATAGTATTTAGTCCCAAACTGAGAGGATTATCTAGGTGAAAAACTAGATCATGAAATAATGTATTATCATTTGCTTTAATGCCTGTGAACAACAGCTGGTACCCTTTTGAGTATATGCTTTTGCATTCCATAACCAAAATCTCACCCTCTGTAGGAGTCATGAAGTCGGGCCTGTGATTAACTCACATTCTCATGCTGTGTCTTTAAAACAAGTGATTCTGTAGTGGTTTAGTACCCTATGTATGAGCACAAGGCCTACCAAATTTTGTTTGCATTCAACTGTGTGCTCTTCAACCACTGCTGACTCGGTAAGATTTTCTTAGCGGAAAGTGACTGTTCAGCCACCACAGGTCCTCAGGTGTTGGAGGCTGTACACCGCTGCATGGTAGCTTTGTGCTCGATACACTCATTATGAAGGAATAAATGAGTAACTGAAAAGCTGCTAGTTTGGGTTTCTAGTCTTAGTGCTCTGTGAAACACTCTGAGTCTTGATTATCCATTAGACCAGAAATCTGAAAATAGTAAAAACAAACCTTTTGCCTAACGTATTATTGGCAGGTTACAAACTCTTATCAGATGTTTACAAAAACCTTTAATTCTCCTCATAGAAACATAGTGCCAAATCAGTGTGTTCTTCACAGAGCCTCGCTCTGTTATGTGTTTAACCTCTCTCTTGCGCATGTCTGTCAGCCCCCCTTTCCATTGCTGTAGACCTTTTCTTCCTCCTTTTGCAGGAGCCACATAGGGAAAGCCATCCTGAGCCAGCCAGCTTGTGTGTCCAAACTCCTCTCTCTGCTGCTTGACCAGCGCCCATCCCCAAAGCTGGTTCTTATCATTCTTCAGCTGTGCCGGGCGGCACTGCCACTGATGAGCGTGGAGGACTGTGGGAATGTAGAGCTCCCACCGTGGAGCTACTCTGTCCCTTCCCTAAACAGTGAGCAGGAAGATCCCAGTGACCCCGCCTCCAAGATCGCCTCCTTACTCTTAGCAAAGCTGGCAGACTATGTGGTTCCAGGTAATGATCTCCTGGGCGGGAAAAGGTACTGAATCAGGTCCATGAGGGCACCAGGGTCTCCTGCAATGAAGGAGGGAGTCACAGGAGAGGGGCAGAGCGGGAGAGATATTGAGAGATATTCCCAAACCAGTGTGTCATCAGGGAACTTCAGAAACAACACTGCAGTTTTTCTGAATGAGCATTGCTTTTTGATTTAAGGATGTCAGACAGTTCTTTCTCCAACTGCTTCTGAACCTGACACTACACTGACCAAAACCAGTCCCAAGAATTCCTTAAAAGGAGATAAAGATCCTGGAGAAGAGAGTGAGGCAGTGGATGGCAAGCTCTCCATCTTTATCCACAAGCGGGAAGACCAGTCCTCCCATGAAGTCCTCCAACCTTTACTAAGGTGACTAATGATTGTAATAGCTCCATGACACCAGGCACTGCCCATGCCTGGGAACTATGTAAAGTGAACTCCTTCTGTGCATTGACTGCCCCAGCCCTCTGAATAACCCTGCTGGCTACCCAGTTACTGTCACCCTATGGTGACATGTGAAGAAAGTGAGGCAGAACTGAGACACAGAACCCAAGCTCTGAGCCATAGCTCCATACTTTCTCTCCAACCCCAGCAGATCTGGAGCCCTTAGCAAGGTGTACTGCTGTTCTTGTCCTGTGGGAAGTCTACAGTGTGGTTTGGCCTTTGAGAAGGAATCATGCAGTTTGTTTTTTTTGCTTTCTTTTTTTTGGTACCGGGGATCGAACTTAGGTCTTTGCGCTTGCGCAGCAGTTTAGTTTTCAGTTGTTGGCATCCTTCAGCCATCAGAAAATTTAGAGTGAGGAAGAGAAATAAGAGAAACTTTTCTAAAGCTTGAATTCACTAAAATATGAATATGATTGTTCAACAAAGAAGTAAAAATGTAATTATTGCCCACATATTACAAAGCTACAGGCCCTGTTAGTGGGACCCAGGGCATCAGGAAGGCCTGCACAGGAGAATTGAGCACAGTGTTTGTGTCTTCACACAAGTGATCTGGCTGTGTTGTCACCCTCCTGATAGGACCCTGGTCTGCCAAGTGGTGGCCGAAAACACTGAGGGGATAAAGGTGAAATCTGAGCAGGGTCACAGCAGGTCAGTGCTTAGGTGAAGAAATCTCCAAGAAATGTCTTGGCATTACAAAGCATCACAGTCCAGAGCTGGTGAAAGAGTTTTTTGGAGAGTCGGTGTAGGTGGCAGGGGAAGCTGAATTCTTAGAAAGGAAGTCGATGTTTCACTTCAAGGCTGCACGGCTGTGGGGATCTGAGTACCTCCTGCGTGCCAGGCCTCACGGCAGCTGGGTTCAGTGTCACTTTTGTATATGCATCATTTTCATGTAGGTTTTTAGATATCATAACTCATAGAATTATGTAATCATTTCCTTTTTGAAAAATGGAGACTCTTACTATGGACTTTAAAAATCAGTTTTGCCAGGCATGGTTGCACATGGCACCTAATCCTAGCACTCAAGAGGTTGAGGCAGAGGGATCACCACAAGTTTGAGGCTAGCCTGGGCTATGAAAGTGTGTTCGAGGCCAGCCCAAACTATATAGTGAGACCGTGTCTCAAAGAAAATAATAAAAGTCAGTTTTGGAATCTAAGGGTGACCGTGAATGGGTAGCCTGGGGGCACACTAACCTTAGGATCACTACAGTGCCCTTAAGGCGGCTCACTTTCTCCTTTCCCTTTTTCAGTAGCTCAGAAGGACGGCCCTTCCGACTGGGCACTGGCGCCAACATGGAGAAAGTTGTGAAGATGGATCGAGACATGACCAAGGTGACCCTCATACAGGAAACCTGCTGTGACCAAACCTGAGATTAAGAGCATTTGCCAGGCTTTAAGAGAAATTAATTAATTAATTATTTTTATGGTGCTGGGGATTGATCCCAGGGCCTTGTGCAAGCTAGGCAAGTGTTCTGCTATTGAGCTACACCTCCAGCCTGAGGAATCTTTTTTTTTCTTTTTTCTGTTTAATTGGTTCCACCAGGTGCAGTGGTACATGCCTGTAGTCTCAGCTACTCGAGAGACAGTGGCAGGAGAGTTACAAGTTCAAGGCTTCAAGGCCAGCCTGTGTAACAGGCAAGATAATAAGATCCTCGAAAAAAGAAAGTTCAAATTTCCACAAAGAAGCAGGGTGAGAAATTGAAGACAGTGGCTTCTCTGAGACCAAGAGAGCTAGTTAGGGCTAGGATAGGTCAGTGTTAGCATGCTCACTTACCATGCACAAGGCCGGAGTTCAATCCCCATCAACTCCTACCCCTAGAGAGAGAGAACTGGTCAAAATCAGATGCCATCAATGTTAAAATGTAATAAATAGAAATCTCTTAGTTTTGACCTACAAATTTTTTTCTTAGCTCTTTTAAGAAAGTTTTTTAGCTTAAAAATTGTTTTAAAATTAAGGTTTGAAAGGTTGCTAAGAGAATAACAGATATTCAAGAATAATAAATAGACAGCTGGGTGTGGTGGTACATGCCTGTAATCCCAGCACTCTTGGCAGGCTGAGGGAGGAGGATCACCATGAATTCGAGACCAGCCTGGGATACATAGTGAGTTCAAGGCCAGCCTAAACTGCACAGTGAGACTCTGTCTCAGAATAAATAAATAGACAGACAGATACCTCATGAAAATTTATAAATATGCCCAGGCTCACAAATAATTAGAGGAAAGGAATAAAAGCAACAGTGATGTACCATTTTTTTTTAACCTGCCAGACAGGTAATGTTAAGAAAGACTGATATGGCCAGTATTGTTGGGGTGAGGGTAAGCAAACACTGTCAAGTGTCCAGAAAAAGAGCATAGAGTCAGGGAGAGCAAAACGAGTGGTCTAAATGTCTTCATACTGGTCCCTAGGGTGGCTGTTGTGAAGTGATTACAGAAGAGGCCACTGCTGCACTCCGGAAAGCGACCAAGTGGGCACAGTCAGGCCTCATCGTCAGTGTTGGGCCACCAGTGGAATCTGTCAACCCAGAGACTGTGAGCGGACTGTCCACAGGTGACAAAAAGAAAACTGCCCAGACCTCCATTTGCCGGGAGAGGAACTCTGAACTTGCCAGGTAAACCTTCCACAAGGTAGAACCACACCCTTCTCACATTGACTTCGTAATGGGTTTGATTTTAGAGCTTTTAATTTTCTACCATCCCTGTGACTTGCTGGAAATAAGAAATGAGGGCAAAAATCACCTATCTTTTGTAGACATTACTCTCAAAGTAGAGTCTGAGATGCTATCAGGGAATGAGATCATGCAGGTAGGTGGGCTGTCATGGAAGCATAGGTAGGTACTCCTGGCTGAGTGGACATTAGAGCCTGAGGAGTCTTCTGAGTACTGGTAAACTCCTACCTTCCTGTGTTTACATCTTTCAAATAGTACTTTCCCACTGTCCCAGCTGAACACATACATTTCTTTCTAGGAGTAGAAGGGACTGGTGAGTGTTGTCCTGGAGAAGTTGGTGCAAGGTGTTTTACACTTGTAAGCAAGGAGCAGCTGCAGCGCAGGGACTTGCTTTGATTCTTATGGCTTATGCAATAAAAAATTTGAGGTTTATTGCTTTGGAGTATATTAGCTTTTTTTTTTTTCTTTTTTTTTGGTAATGGGAATCAAACTCAGGTCCTTGTGCTTGCGAGGCAGGCAGCGGAACCACTGAACTAAATCCTCAACAAAAAATTGCAGCATGTTAGATACATGATTCTTTTTTTGGCAAGGGCGGGTACCGGGGATCGAACTTGGGTCCTTGCGCTTGCGCAGCAGGTGGCAAAACCACTGAACTAAATCCCCAGCAAAATTTTTCTTTTTTTTTTTTTGGTACCGGGGATCAAACTAGGGTCCTTGTGCTTGCACAGCAGGCGGAGAAACCAATGAGCTAAATCCCCAGCCCTGGAGTATATTAGCTTTGCATTACTGTAATGAAGTTCTTGAAACATCTAGCTTAGTAAGAGAAGAGGTTTGTTTAGCTCACACTTCTGCAGGTTTAGGGGCATGTTGCTTTCATTGGCCCAGTCTCAGTTGGTCACATCATAGTGGACAGCGACAGTGAGAGCACATTCAAGGGAAGCAAGTGATTAACCTTCAGCTATAACCCTCTCTGGAGAACCCCCTTCCAAGGATACACACCCCAGTGACCTAAGGACTACCAGAGCACCACCCTGGGGCCACACTTTTAATCACAGAAGACCCTTGAGTGACACAAACCATGTTCAAACCAGAGCATAGAGGATTTTTCTGATACCCTACCCCAAAGATTTCACTCTAGTGCTGATTTTGTTCTAGTGCTGATTTAGTGCACGTCTTCTCAGTCAACAAAATCTGCCTTTTCATGGATAAATAGGAAATATTTCCTCCTTCTTGGACTTTCAACACCACTTGCCCAGTGGCTGACAAAGTTTCCATATTGACCTCGCAGGACTGATCCTGTCCGACCCTTCATCAGTGGGCACGTGGCAAACAGTATGGCTGCAGAAGTGATTGCCTTGCTACACAGCTTGCTCATGGCACCTGAGTCAAATGCCGCTCAAATATGGACCACAACAGCAGAAAAGGTTAGTACAGGGTTGCCACTTAATTGAGGAAATCAGAAGGGAGCTTGTACTCCATGGCAACATTAGAATCATGCGCAGCAAGGGGGATTTCAGTAAGAGAGATTTCCCAAGTGAGCCAAAGCTACCTGTTGACTGATTTTCCCCTGAAAAATTGCTCTGACTTAATAGTTTCCATTCTGTTAATCTGTCTCCTGTCACTGCTGGCTTTGACTTTATAGAAGTTGAGACAGTATTCTTGGGGAGAGAATGACAGTCCTTGTTTCCCTTTAAAGTTGTACTGACATTTGGAGGTACTGCAGCCTTGGTTTATGGGATATGGTAAGCATGCTCACTGAGTCCTAAGGAAGCCTCTGTGTAGTTTTTCTTGCCGAGTGCTCTGTCCAGAATTAATTAATTATTATAAACAGAAATTTATTTGCCCAAAACCAGAGACTGTAATCAGCTCCCCATTTCCACAGCCACTCTTTAAGTAAACATTTTGTAACATATCCTGAGGGTAATTAACTGTTGAAATGTGGCCAGTATACCCTTGATGGTTTTCCTTCAGATAATGATTTCTTTAGTTTAGCAATTTTAGGAACACAATGTTTGATTCTCCCATATTTTGAAGTTGTGTATTTCCAATTTTGTCTGATTACTTAGGCACATGTGGGTGAAATGTCACTGGCCATACCTAGTAGTGTTTTGGTCCCTCCCACATCCAGAGTTCCATTAATATATGGGAAGCAGACACTGTTGCAGATACTTCCATCATCCTTGATATCAGAACAACCAAAGCTTTTAACTCCTGGTGCCTAAGATGTCTCTCATACTTAGGTTCTGTCTCGTGCGTTGATGTACATTCCACAATTGGGGAAATATGCAGAAAGCATTCTGGAAAATGGCAGCAGCAGTGGTAGAAAACTTGCCAAACTTCAGAGAATCGCCCGCCAGGCTGTCGCCGCACTGTGTGCACTGGGAGGATTCAAAGAGACAATCAAGATAGGATCTGAGGTTCAGGTAACTGACCACCATTTTCCCAAGACATTGCCTCCCCCATATATAAGCATCCATTGATTAACTGGTCATCTGAAGATAAGTATTGTCCACTCAACTGGACCAAAAAACTGCCTTCAAGGTAAATAAGAAATATGAGAAACTCATGAATTCTAATCCACACTGTGCTCTTTATTATTTAACTACTAATGTAATGCTGTATAATGTTAACTACAATATTTGTGTTCTGTAGTGTCATTAATGGGAATATTTTAGAATTGATAGTTTGAGATGGTAGCATATTGTGATCACCTTGTTGTGAGGTTTCGGACCTATTATTTTAGTTCATGTCCTGGGTTTGGTGTCACATTAGCACAGTTTGGTTTGGTATCTACTATGTCACAATTGAAGACATCTGTCAATAGACTCTTCCTATTTGCCACTGTAGATCGCTGCTTACACATCAGAGTTGGCAGGTCATACTAATTCATCTCTGTCTCTAGGTTTTAGGTAGAGGAATATCAGGAAGTATTGGAGTGGTGGCTTCGATCAACGAGCAGGAAGGTATAGCTACAGTCAGATTCCCACCCATAGACTGTCGCAAGACTTCCCAGGCATCAGACACATTGACCATTCCATTGTCTAGACTTTGTGTTCCGAGGTCAGAGGTAAGGAGATTGTTAAATTTTTCACACATTGTCACTACAGATGTTGGCTAACTGCATTGCAGTGAGTAACAGGCACACACTCAGGACAGAGCACTTGGACATCCTAAACTTTACCCATGATATACAGTATTTATGTATTGGTTGTAACTAATAGTAACATTTGTGAGAAATTTTTATCTAGATAGCAAAATTCACTTATTTGTTGGCTAGGGATATTCCACCATATTTTATACTTTTGATTGATAAGATCTTATTTGCATTTTCTCTGGTGATTTATTTCACACCTTCATTTCCTATAAACTGACCAGCTAACTAGCTTTTTGCCATTCCCTCTCCACCCACACTGTTAGGCTCTGCCCCTTCACAAGCTGTCCATTACCGAGAAGGTGGTGCAGGCGGTCCAGTCCATGCTGCTTCCGCAAGAGGGCAGCCTCTCCATTCACACCTCACTGCCTGCAGCAGGAGATGGGTCAGCTCCTGTGATGGCAGTCGTCCGGCTCCTAGCTGAAATTAGAACCAGGTGGGTACGTACCCTCGATAAATGGCCTTGGTTTGGAGGGTGCCGGTGATGGTGAAGCAGGGGGGCTGGGTCCCCAGCTTGCAGCTCTCGCCAGCTGAAGAACAAAACCATTGTCTCACACTCTGTTTACCACAGTTTGCTGCATTCCCCAATTTCTATACTCCAAAATAAAATTGAGATGTTCACCAGGCATAGTGGTGCACACCTGTGACCCCAGCAATTGGCAGGCTGTGACAGGAGAATCACTGCTAGTTTGAGGCCAGCCTGGGCTACACAGTGAGTTCAAGGTCAGCCTGAACTGCACAGCAAGACCTTGTCTCAAAAAAAAGATAAATAGTTGATAATATTTTTTATTAAGACAGGGTCTCACTATGTAGCCCAAGCTGGCCTTGAACTCATGGTGATCCTTCTGCCTCAGCCTCCGAGTGCTGGGATCACAGGTGTGCACCACACCCTGGACTAGCAAGTAGAATATTGAAATATGATGTAAGGAACTCATATATGAGGCCATACTGGTTTACTCCAGTAAAGGGACTTTGTTCTATCACAGGAATAACTGCCACTGTTATTTTTTTTCTTTTTTTGGTACCAGGGATTGAACTCGGGTCTTTGCACTTGAGAAGCAGGCAGTGGAACCACTGAGCTAAATCCCCAGCCCAACTCTGCCAGTTTTTTAAATGGCTTAGGCCACATTGATACATGTCTATCAATCACTTTATAAACTGTTAATAGGAAAACCGAGGAATGCTCACAGTCTTAGTGTTGGAAAGGAGCACAATCTCCTTTTGCACATACATACATTTCCTATTAAACAGGAGTAACACATGTTTTCTTTTGGAGGGGTATGATTTGTTTTGTTTTGTTTTTTGAGGCAAGGTCTAGCTATGTAATCCAGGCTGGTCTTAAATGCATTATGTGGCCCAGGCTGGTTCAACTTCATGGCAGTCCTCCTGCCGCAGCGTCTGGAGTACTGGGATTAAAAGTATGCACCAGCATGCGGCAGAGTAACCTGTTTTCCTTTTGACAACAAGACTTGTGGTATACGTGTAGAATCAAGTGAGTGCAGTCAGCACACAGATTTAGTAGTGATGGCCTGCGCAACTCAGCATCTACTAGGGGAAAAAAAGTCACCCATACAGTGCTCCCTGGGTATCTGTGGGGCTGAGTCCAGGGTCCCCTGGGGTACCCAAATCTGCACATGTGGCACATTGGACCGGGTGTGGTGGCACACACCTGTAATCTCACCACTCAGGAGGCTGAGGCGGGAGGATCACCGTGAGTTCAAGGCCAGCCCGAACTACATAGACCCTGTCTCAAACATAAAAAAATAAAAATGAACGATAAAATAAAATGGCACAGTATTTGCACAGAATCTGTAAACATCTCTAGGTCATATCCTCTAGGTCATCCCTAGGTAACTTACAATACCTAGTACAATACACGAGCTGGGAAAGTAGTTGTGGTGCATTGTTTTGGAGATAATGACCAAAATAAATGTCTGCATGTGTTCAGTGCAGGTGCAGTTTTTTTCCCCAAATAGTTCCTACCTCTACTTGGTTGAACCTCAGAGGATATGCTTTTTGTTTTGGAACCGGAGATCGAACTCGGGACCTTGAGCTTGCGAGGCAGGCGGCGGAACCACTGAGCTAAATCCCCCGCCCAAACCTCAAAGGATATGGAGGGCCAACTGTGTATTTCCAAGCCAGTCCAGTTTGGAAACAAGAGGAAAGGGGGTATAGACTGGGGGACAAAATTGATTGAACTGTTTTACACAGTTGACTTTTTAGAGAATGAACACTGATGACTTTGAACTATTGTAAATCTTTTAACATTAAGAGCATGCCTGGTCATGGCCCAGCTTTTAGAAGACAGCTTATTTTGTGAAGAATTCATACAGCAGTGTCCAGCAGCCGTGGAAGTTCTTAACCTGGTAGCCCAGGAGTGCAGCGCTGGTAAGTACCTGACGCTGTCCTCACACCCTCAGGGAGTGAGTTTGGTCAACACCCTGCGGTTTGATAACATGCTATCTGTGCTCTCCACATCAGATGGCTGAGCTCCAAGGGCCACATCTGTCACAGTTCTCCTTCATCCCAGACCCAGAGGTGTAAATAAGATACTTTCAGTCCAGAGCAGCAGGGAAATCAACAGTTTTCAGTTTAGTTTTAGGACTACATCATGTGCTTTCTTTTATCATTCATAATGACCACTTGCCAGTCCAATTATTTAAATACAGGATGAATTTTTATAAGATAATATAACAGGAAATGTAAAAACGACAATTTTATCAAATTTATTCAATATAAGAATCTACTGGTTGAGCCAGGCATGGTGGCGCACACCTGTAGTCCCAGCATTCAGGAGGCTGAGGCAGGAAGATTGCCTTGAGTTTGAGGCTAGCCTAGGCTACATAGTGAGTTCAAGACCAACCTGGACTACATAGCGAGATCCTGTCTCAAAAAAAAAAAAATGGACTGGGCCGCGGATTTAGCTCAGTGGTGCCACCGCCTGCCTCGCAAGGCCAAGGTCCCGAGTTCGATCTCTGGTACCAAAAGAAAAAGCATCTATTAAAAAAAAACATGGACTGGTTGCAATGACACCTGCTGAGCAACACTCAGGATACAATAGTACATAAACAAATGCGCTGCCCCAGTGGTGCTTGGGGTAAACTGTTAAGTGGTTAATATGTTGCCTTCATTTCCTCCTCAGTACTCTTTATGAGCTGTCTGTGGGGATGCCATATACATTCTGACCATTGTCACTGGCTACATTTGACTTCAAAATTAAGAGTTTACACTGATATCCTCTAGCAGGGTGTGTGTGTTCAAGAAAAAATACAAATACAAACACAGGGAGACCAGCATACTGATCCCTCCTGCCTCCATGATCCAGTATCAATAAGTGGCATCTCATGGCTAGTCCTGTTTCATCTGTGCTTCACCTCCCAGGATTATTTTTAATTCTAGATACAATTTTATCTGTAAATATTTCAGTATGTGTCTCTAAAAAATAAGGATTATTAGCCAGGCATTGTGGCACATACCTATAATCCCAGTACTCTAAAAGACTGAGGCAGCAGGATTGCAAATTCAAACCCTACCTGGGCAATTTAGCAAGATCCTATCTGAAAATTTTTTTAAAAATACTGTGCTATAAAGAAGGATAAATTTGAGCTGGGTGGGTTGGTGCACCCCTGTAATCCCAGAACTCAGGAGGATGAGGCAGGAGAGTCACCACAAGTTTGAAGCCAGCCTGGGCTATGTGGTAAGTTCAAAACTAGGCTGATCTATATAGCATGACCCTGTCTCCAAAAAAAAAAAAAATCCCCCAAAAAAAAGACTTTAAAAAAAATAACCTTAATACCATTATCACATCTAAAATATTAACAGTTCTGTAATATTAAAGTTTCTAGGTTTTTTTCAAGGTCATACTTGTCTTAACATTTATTTGAATGAGAGTCCCAAAATGTCACACATTATGATTTGTTGCTATGTCCTATAACTCTTTTGAAATCTGGCTTTCTCCTGTATGTCTCTCTTTTTTTTCCCATACAATCTATTGGTTAAGGGGTTTCCGGCAATCTGGATTTTGCTGCTTGTATGTGTCTCTGTTGGGTCATTTGGCATGCTCTTTCAACCTTATTATTTTTGGTTTTTGTTTTGTTTTGTTTTGTTTTGATTGGTACCGGGGATTGAACTCTGGACCTTGTGCTTTCGAGGCAGGCACTGGAACCACTGAGCTAAATCCCCGGCCCTTCTTTCAACCTTATACTTCCTATGAATTGGTGGTTGATGTGGGTATTTTAAGTAGAATTAGTCTTTTGTCCCCAAGGATAGAAACAGGAAAAAAAAAAGCCAAATGAAATGGATCACAATTTAATTAGCATTTCTTCAGTGTTCTAGGCTGGCATCCCCACCAACTATAATGAGGAAGTGGCATCTTTAACTTTTTTAACCTTTAGTCATTTTATTTTATCTTTTTGGGGTTCTTTTTCTTTCTTTTTTTTCTTTTTGAGACAGTGCCTCAAACTCTTGGCAGCCCTCCTGCCTTAGCCTCCTAAAGTGCTGGGATTACAGGCATGCACCACCACACCTAGGCTTATTTTTTTAATCTATATTATTTACCATTTCTCAGGGCATTTACTCTGTCAGTAACTGTCTAATATCTTTTCTGTTCCTTAATTTTTTTGTTCTTTTACATTGTGGTGATTTCTGGTGTTGTTGTTCGTTTCTCAGTTCACATTTATTCTGTGTCTGGTGCACTTTTCAAGTCTCTGCCTCTGATAAGGAGGGTGCATGGACTCACAGCAGCCCTGGCTGGGAGACTGGGTGACACTGATGACCCTGGAGCTAAGACAAACAGAAAAAGCAAAGGCAAGGAGGCTGCTGGGCTGCTAGGGTGAAAAACGAGGCAAAACTTTTGCTGTCTCTGCTTTTTAATATTCTTGGTTAGATTGCATTGCGAGACAGATTTCAGCTGATTGTAGCTAGCATATTGCTTGCTGGCTTAGTTACTTGCTTTTCTGTAGCACCCTTTCTAGTTTTCCTTTTTTATATATTTTATAGAATAAAGATGTCTTAATTTGGGAAATTAATATTGTTGTTTAATGTACAAGCTAGGATTTATAGTGGTTTTTATTTTTTGTTAGTATGTGTTGGCAGTACATAGTGATTACATTCATCATGGGGAGTTGGTATGTGTACATGATACATTTTGATTCTTTTTACTTCCTCTTCCCTTCCCCTTTCCCCACCTCTCTCCATCTCTAGATCCCTTTTCTATTTGCACATGATCTAACTCCCTGTTTCCTGTTATCCAGCCTAATTTTGCTCTTTAAATTATGTATACTTTGCAGTTTCACATATATCTAAGTTTGTGGGTCTGATTTATTTCACTTAACATTATGGTCTCAAGGTGCATCCATTTTCCTATCAAATTTATCCTTCTTCATGGCAGAGTACTACTTCATGTAGTAGTTTAGAGCAGTGGTCTCATGTGATTTTGATCATACCCACTACCTGTGTTTCCTAGTGGAAAAGAACAAAGAGTTAGAAATGTGTAGGAAATATTTTACTGGTTACACCACAAAAGAGAAGACTGTGAGCCTATACACACTGGCTGTATTCTGAAATAGTGCCCTAGGACAAGTTTAAGAGTCCTTAATAACTCACTTATTAGGCTCCCAGAAATAGCTTTGAGAGCCCATCCTGGTGGGCACACACCTGTAATCCCAACTACTCTAGAGCTGGAGGCAAGAGAATCAAAGTTTTGAGCCAAGCTCAGGCAATTTATCAACATAGCAAGACATTCTCTCAAAAATAAAATTAAAAAAAATAGCTCTGAGGCTTAATATAATTATCAAATTTTGCTGGCTCCAGAGTCATACCCATAAAAATAAAACAACCTGCACTCTCGGCTACTTTCCAGCACAGGAGTTATTTTTATGGTCTAGGAGAAACACTTTTCATAAAAGATATTGGGGTGGGTAGAGGAGAGAGGGCATTCATTCACTCATTTGCCTATTGCTGAGGTCTCTCTCTGCTACCGGGCTGGTCCTGAGCATCTGGTTCAAGTGACCCTTCTGCCTCTGTCCCCTGAGTAGCTGAGACTACAGGTACACACCACACATGCACTTTAGAAATTTTGTGTGTTATGTTTTTGGTTTTTGGTTGTACTAGGGTTTGAACCCAGGTCCTTCTACATCTCTGGGCCTTTTCATTTTTTATTTTCAGATAGGAGTCTCTCTAAGTTGCCCAGGCTGGACTTGAACTTGCAGTCCCCCTGTCTCCCCCTCCCAGAGTACTGGGATTATAGACATGTGTCTGGATTTTTATTTTTATTCTTTTTATTTTTTAATGCATTAAATTTTTTATATGAAAATGTCATGAATTTATAAGCAATAATTAATGACTTTCAAAAACAGTTTAATAAATTTCTTCTATTTTACTTCATCTGTGATTAATTGTGCAGCAGACATGGCTACTATGATATTAACTGAGTCATATCTAAATTTTATAGCTTCTATATGTAAGAGGGTACACCTAATTCCTTGTGGGAAGGGAACACCCCTGGGGGCTTTTCCCATGTAGCCATTCTCCTGAGAGGTTACCTGGACTCCATGATTGAAACAGCATAGGAAGCAGATTTTCAGACCTGAGAACAAGGCCCACAGAAAGTGAGAAAGTTCTCACCTTGATTTCACACTATCACACAAACCAGGATCCCCAGGTTCAGCTGTTTTCTCCCAACTGTGTGATGCATGTATTCCCTGAACCATATGCTCTCCAAAAAAAACCTTTTTGTTACCAGGGATTGAACTCGGGACCTTGCGCTTTCGAGGCAGACAGCAGCACCACTTAGCTAAATCCCCAGCCCCCCCAAATTTTTTTGAGACAGGGTCTCACTATGCAGTTCATGCTGGCCTTGAACTCACTATGTAGCCCAGGCTGCCCTCAAACTCGCAGTGATCCTCCTGCCTCAGCCTTTCTGGTGTTGAGATTATAGGTGTGCACCACCACGCCAGCATCAAGCTTTGAGGGTTCCCAAGAATTTTTAAAAAGTGTGTTTAAAATGAATCCAGGAAAATAAAGAAAAGTACAAAAAAACAAAATGTTTCCCAGGCTCCACCAGAAAGTCAGATTGTTAACTCCAGGTGGACCCAGGTGGCATGACACACTAATGGTCAGACCTTGCTGGAAGAAGCGGTGCTCCAGGTTTCTCCCTGACCGGTCTTCTACCTGCCCATCTCCTGAATTTTCATGGCTCCTCTCTGTTGAGATCAGTCTCGGGAGCTGTTTCTCGAAAAGCGCCCCCTCCCCAGCCTCATGAATACAGCACATTTGAAACAGAAGTCCTCATTTACTCAGGAGCCAGCTGTCCTCCTGACTTCTCTGCTCCATTCAATTCTCAGTCTGTTGTGGACACCTCCTCCTCACTTCTCCGTTTCCAGTCTCTTGCCACATCTGATTCTCCTTTGGAAACGCTCCTGGAATTGATCCTGTCCTCCCTACTTCCCCAACCAGCTCCTTAAGGCAGGCACTTTTTATCTTGTTCTAAGACACTGGCATTATTCTCCTAATTTTTCCCCTTGCACTTTCTCTTTTCATATTGCAATCACAGTTAGCTTCTGAAGACCCAATTGGAGTGAGTGACTGACGAAAGCATGGGGTGCTCTCAGTGGCTGGCTTTCGTAGGGTAGCTGCTGATGGGAAGTCATGTATGCCCAGGAACAAGTTTACAGCTGCTTCTGGCTGTTACTGCTACTTGTTACTATGGCCAAGAAGAATCTGTCTTTTGTGTCTTGGATTTGAAGTACAGAAATATAAACTCTCTTACATTAAGCCTACTTCTTAGCTAATGTTCCTCAACTATCAAGGAAGCCCGATCTCTGCCCTCTTCCCCCCAAGAATTGCTTTCATCTGCTATTTAGTATGAGTCCTCCTGTCTGCATTGAGCTACCACCATGGAATGTGTTACTGTTAACTAAAAGGACACCGTTGTGGTTGTTACTCATTGTATTATCTGTATGTGAGGTCACTCAGAAGAATTTTCCAAGTCATTTTAACAAAACTACCTGGAAAGTGTTTATCAGACATTGTTGGGCTCCTCATAACCAGTTGACTTTTATTTCTGGACTTAGTTAAACAGTTTCACTCTCTGATTTTGCCACTGGGAAGCAAAGACTTCACCCCAAGTCTAAATAAAGGAATGAAGGGCCCGGCCATATCTCATGGCCCAGCTTCGCTGGTGGCTCCTCTGACTCTGTGTTATTGCCTTGTACTTCTCATCCACTTCTAGCTCATACCAGTGAATGTACCTGATGTGTCTGTCACTACAGTAGAAGTAACAGTCTTTCCCCATTATTTTACATAAACTGTGTTTTACTTTTACTGAACTGGATACACTGTAGTCTTCCTAAGACATCTTTTGTTTTTTAGTTGAGGAATAATTTACATACCAATTCACCACTTGAAAGTCTACAGCTCGGTAGGTTTTAGTATGTTCAGAGATGTACAGATATCACCACTGTCTAATTCCAGAATGTTTCCACCTTCCACCCACCCCAAAAACCACCATCATACCTATTAAATAGTCACTTCCTACTCTCCCAGCACTTGTCCTCTGGCAGTACCAATGTCCTTTCTGTCTCTATGAATTTGCTTCTTCTGGGCCTTCTATAAAACTGGAATCATGCAATATGTGGCCTCACCCAAAAGCTTCACTTAGCATAATGTCTTGTGGTGGTGGCGGTGGTGGCAGTGGTTGTTCTGAGACAGGGTCTTGCCATGCAGTCCAGACTGGCCTTGAACATGCAGCAATCCTCCTTCCTCAACCTCCCAAGAGTTGGGATTATAGGCATGTGCCACCACATCCAGTTCTACACTTATATTTTCTTTTAATAATTTTAGCTATGGGGTTTTTAAAAATTAGGTCTTTAGCCAGGGATTTAGCTCAGTGGTTCCACCGCCTGCCTTGCAAGCACAAGGTCCCAAGTTCAATCCCCGGTGCCAAAAAAAAAGAAAAAAGAATAAAAATTAGGTCTTTGATCCATTTTGAGTATCATATGGAGTATTCCTACTACCTCTCACACTTGACTATTATAGACCTTTTCTCATAGTAATGAGCCACCTAGAATTCCCTTCCTTCTCTGTTTATTGAAATTCTATTTTTTCCCCAAGATCTAAGTTACTGCTGTCTTCCATAGAATGAAGTCATTGACCACTCATCTATGCCTGGGCTTGTGCTTTGTATTACATCCCTTTTCTTAAGTGTGTGTGTGGAGGTGCCCACATGGGCATCTACTTGTCCTGTGTCTTCGTATTCGCCAACATCTCTAGCAATTTGCCTGGATCATGGGAAGTATCAATAGGCATTAGTTCTTTAAAAATCAATTTAGATGTGAAGAATTAAATAGCCTTCATTTGTTAGATGATAAGAATAATGACTGTCATCTAGTGAATGTTCGCCCTGTGTCAGGGACTTGGCTATGGGCTCTACTTGAGTTATTTCATCTCATCTTCCCAAAACCCTTACTGCCATGGCTTCTATTTCTCCCTCGTGTTGGAAGTGAGATGGTAAATACTGAATAATGGAGCCAGGGTCTGAATCCAGCAGTCCAGTTCCAGAGTCATCTACTCACCCACGATGCCATGCTGCTGAGTCACACATAGTAGACAAAGATGTCTCCGGGTATTTGCTCTTTTGTAAGCGTTCACATGAGCTGTATGAGTGAATTTATTGTTTTAGGTGCTACCCTAGCAGAGTCAGCATCCTCTTCGGAGTTATAGGGTTTTTTTTCACAGATGCAAATGTCCCTCTGCAGGAGAGCGTCTTGCTGTTGTGGAGGTGCAGTGTGAGCGGCTGAGGATGCTCTACCGGGACTGTGCTCGGCCGCCACCACCACCCTTGCAGGCTGACCGGAGACAGGTAAGCCTTCCGTGGCGCCTCACACCTCCCCTTGAGGCATTGGAGGATGCCAGGCAGCATACTTAGAACGAGTGTTTGGAAAGACTTTTGGAAATATACACTCTGTGATGACGTCCTGTCATCTTTGAATGTCATAGCCTACTGAGCTGGCATTCTGTTTTTTGTTTCTTGGGAGTTTTTTTGGTACAGGGGATCGAACTCGGGTCCTTGCACTTGCTCAGCGGGCAGCAAAACCATGAGCTGGCATTCTGAATAGTGAAAAATTACAGTGAGGAGCAGAATTTACTAATTTATACAGTGTTTCTCTGTGTTAACAACAAAGAAAGATAGCTTTTTAAAAATCTTAGTTCTCTAGTCCACTTTATAATAAATATAGTTAGAGAGAGAATGAAAATAATTAAAAAAACAAAAGTAGCAGGGCCAGGGATTTAGCTCAGTGGTTCTGACGCCTGCCTCGCAAGTGCAAGGACCCAAGTTTGATCTCCGGTACCAAAAAAAAAAAAAAAAAAGCAAAATATTAAAAGTTGTTGGTACATCTTTGAATGTTTGTAGCAACATTATTCACAATAGCTTAAAGTGAAAACAGCCCAAATGTCCATCAGCTATTCAGTGAATAAACAAAAATTTAATATATCCAAGCAAGCAAATGTTATTTGACCATAAGAAGGAATAAAGTACTGACACATGCTATGACATGGATAAACCCTGAAATTAAGCTAAATGAAAGAAGCCAGTAACATAAAGAGACCACATATTTTATGATTCCATTTATATGAAATTTCTAGTATAGGCAGATCCACAAATAAAGCAAATAGATGGATGATTGCTGGGGGCTGCGCTGAGGAATTAGAGGGACAAGGACCAAGTTCTAATGGATACAGATTACTTTTGGCTGGGAAGAAAATATTCTACAGTTAGATCTTTTTTTTTTTTTAATTTCTTTTATTGGTACATTTTAGGTATACGACACATTTACATTTCTCATTGGGAATTGTACCTTTATGTGATGCATCTTGGTTCTCATTTTTTCCCCATTCCTAGCCCTCCCTTCACCCCTCCACCCTACAGTTAGATCTTGGTGGTGGTTGCACAACTTGGTGAATATCCTAAAAACACTGACTTATACATTTTAAATGGGTTAATTGTATATTTTGTGAATTATATAAAATAAATTGACAAATCTAGCTAAGGATACAAGACTTATACTCTTGCAATTTTTCTGTGATCTTAAAATTACTTCCAAAAAATAAAGTTGAAATACATTTTTGAAGGGACCAGGGTAGGATAGACCAGTGTAGTGTACACACAAGGCCCTGGGTTTTATACCCAGCAATGAAACAACAAAAATACATAAAAGAAAAAGTCAACAGAAATTGCATCTTCTCCAGTTACCATTGCCAACACATAAGTGTATAGTATGAAACAAAATTAGGTTTTCTTCAGACTGTCTAGTACCCAGCTTTTTCTCCTCAGTAAATGGTGACTCCCTTTCCATGCCAACCAACAGCAACTCAACGGTCCACCACATGCTTGGGCCTCGACTCATTCCCTCAAGTCCCTGTGGACAGACATCTAAGTTAACTTGAGCTTTTGCTGTTGTGACCTGATTCACATCCTAGGAGCTGACACTTCACATGCATCTTTCAATTCTTTCTGTAGGATATAGTGAAATTGATGGATTAAAAAGATATGCTTTGTGGGGGCCAGGGATTTAGCTCAGTGGTTCCACCGCCTGCCTCACATGCACAAGGACCCGAGTTCGATCCCTGGTACCAAAAAACAAAAAACAAAACAACAACAACAACAACAACAAAAAAGATATGCTTTGTCTGATAGAAAAGCCGGAAGTTTCAATGATTAGGTTGATTAAAAATTATGAAAAGAAGCCAACTAACCTAAAAGAGAAAGTGTTGTCATAGTACCCCTGCGTAGCTTTGAGCTGAACGTTAAGTCATAGGAATATGACGTCTGATTAATGACTGAACTGAAATCGTCCTGTAGCCACATGGGACTCTGAGAATAAATGTGCGTGCGTGTAAGGATGCGTAGATAAGTAAGAATTCCACCCACAGTTCTCAGAATAGAAGAAAACCAATGCCTAAGGGGAAAGTAAAAATAGCGTAGTAAGAAGAAGAAATACAGAGATAAATATTAGAATTTTTAAAAACTTAACAGTTACAGAGTTAAAAATGATTATTTCTAGAGAACAGGTCTGGACATAGGAAAAAAATATGTATATACAAGGGTGGGGTATACTCAATGGTAAAGTCCTTGCCTATCATGAGAAAGGCCCTGAGTTTAACCCCTGGCACCACAAATATTTTTTACACATCAGCATTTTCATACCATAAGACAGAAATTACTTTTCTTCTTTGAGAGGGTAGTGGGACTTGTGCCTGCAGTTCTGTTGAACGTGGGTTCCCCCTTGTAGCCCAAAGAGATCACTTGGAGCCCTTCGCGAGTGTTTCCTCCCGTTCGAGCCTGCATGTTCTCGTCTCACCTGACCTCCGTCACCTTCCTGGCCGACCCCAGTGCTGGAGGAGGTCTGCCTCGGGGCACTTTTATCTACGCCACGTCACCTCTGCCAGTTCAGGTGAGACAGCACGTGGCACAATGTTGGTGAGAGGGAAAAGCCCATGGTTCGGCCCTGAGCGACCCATCTGACTGTCACCCTGTACTGGTGTCTCTTCAGGCCCCGTCTTTTTACTGGGAAATTGAAATTGTTTCCTATGGAGATACTGATGACGACACCGGACCAATAGTTTCCTTTGGCTTTGCTACAGAAGCAGAGAAACGAGATGGGGCTTGGACTAATCCAGTGGGCACTTGCCTTTTCCACAAGTGAGTGGCTACTACTGCTTTTATTTTTAAAAAGAAAAGTGGGGGGCTGGGAATTTAGCTCAGTGGCACTGCACCTGCCTCACAAGCACAAGATCCTGATTTCAGTCCCCGGTGCTACAAAAAAAAAAGAAAGAAAGAAAAGTAGGTTTGCATTCCAGATAGCAGTAGCTTCCTACAAAGTGTTTGTAGGTATTCAGAAAGCCAGAATTGAGTTCTATCTCCATTCAGATAAGTTTGGAGAAAGGAATGTGTTATTTTCCCTGTTTGGATATTTGTGCATAGTATATCACATGATTGCTTCCTAGGTGTTCTGCAGCAAGAAGCCTATTTATCTTTGTTTCCTGAGTATATCTCTGTGAGCCTATATCCCTTTTCTAGGAAGACAGCCTAGACCAGTAATGGAGAACCTTTTAGAGCCTTGAGCGATAACAGCCTCCTGCAGCATGTGTGTTATTGTGTTTTTAGGACAAAAGACATTATTGTGTGTTGTTTTTTCTAGTCTAAAAACCTCAGTATTCAGGTTTAATTGCAGTGTTGGCACTTTGCAATAAATAAGTGGGTTTTGGGTTGCAGTTTGGCACTCGGTCTCTGAGAGGTTTGCCATCACTGGCCTAAGAGATGCCAGTGTGGGTGTTTTTATGAGGCAGGCAGCGGAACCACTGAGCTAAATTCCCAGCTCTGGGTGTTTTTAATACTAAAGTCATATCATAAGAATCTGTACATCCTGCAATGTAGAAAATACTGGGAAATTATTTGTGTTTTGGGAAAGAGAACCGCTGTTAGGATTGCTGAAGCTCCCATCCGCCCCTGCCCTGCCACTGCATGGACCACAACATCTGGTCTTTGACTCCCTCTGCTTCCTTCCTAGTAATGGCCGGGCTGTGCACTACAACGGCTCCAGTCTGCTGCAGTGGAAGAGTGTCCGCCTAGATGTGACTCTCTCTCCTGGTGAGTGCGGCCAGAGCTTTTTTACCTTGTGTGTTTCTGTTCATCTCAAACTTGGGCCTAAAAGAATTAAGGTTAAATAAATATAGCAACAAGAAACAGGTGATTTGTGTTTTAGTGAAAACCAGCCCTTGTCATTGCTGCTCCACAGTTAACACTACACCTTCCTTTGTGAGGCTGTCCCCCTCACAGCCTCATTCTGATAGCCCAGGAGACATGTGTGTTCTTATTCCCACTGTTGCGCGGTTGAACTTTAGGTGTTTACTTGACAGTAAGAGGTGAACTGTGTGGTTCCCTTCCTGTTCTCTGCTTTAGGTGATGTGGCAGGAATTGGCTGGGAGAGAACCGAGGGGACCCCGCCTCCTCCAGGGCAGCCGGCCAAGGGCCGTGTGTACTTCACGTACTGCGGGCAGCGCCTCTCTCCATACCTCGAAGATGTCTCTGGTGGGATGTGGCCTGTGGTTCACATTCAAAAGAAGGCAAGTTACCTGCTGGGAAAGGAGAGCACATTCTTAGTCATTTGTTCCTGTCAGGGAGGGAAAGTGGAAGGCACCCACGTGTGCTGTCGTAGGGGCCACGTGGCACACAGTGACGGAAGGGAGGGCAAAGTGAGTGTCAGCAAGGGAGCTCATTCTGTTGTGTTGACCCCACAGTCTTGGATTGGGTGATGTCCCCTCAGGAACATAGTGCTTAACTTCTCTGACCCTTTGGCCTCATCCCTGAAGAACAATGTAAGGAACACTACTGTCCTTTCACATGTCAGGGAAATGATTTTGCAGCTAGGTTGTGAGAGTGACCCTCTTAGATTGCTTAGTGTGCCAGAACTAGAAGGAGTCTCCACTAAAGACTCGCAGCTCACCCTGCTTCACCCAGCCTTCCCACCTGGAGTGTCTAAGGAGCATAATTACTGACTCCACACTGTCTGCCTGAGTTCATATTTCCACCCTGGTCTGCTCATACCTGAGCTCAAACACCCACAGACTAGAATATGTCTCAAAACCAATGTCTCTTTGCCATATGGAAGTGAATATGTCCAGGACTGAGCCAGGCTCTTCCCTGAACTCAGAGCTGCTGATCCTTCTCCTCCTCCAGAAATGGCAGTTCCTGCCTTCTGGTTGCTCGGCCAAAAACCTTCCTCCTTGACTCCTCCTTTTTCTGTTGCCCAACCCCCAGTATGTCGGCAAATGTTGTTTGTTCCTCCTTCACACTGCATCTAGAACCTGACCATTTAGCCCATTCCTCCCCTAACCACCTGGCCTGGCCACCATCATCCCTTGAGCAGCTTGTCACTCATTGTTCCCCAGCTCTTCTCAGCCCTTTTCTTGCCCTTTACACAACTTTCTATACAGCAGTCACAGTGATCTTTAAAAGTGTTAGGGGTTAGGGCTGAGGGTTAAGGTTAGGGCAAGGCTTAAAGTTAGCACATGTGAAACCCTAGGGTGGATCTCTAGCACTGCAAGAAATAAAATAAAATAAAAAAGAATTAGTTAGAATGTTGTTGCCCTATTCCAAACCAGTCAGTGGTTTCCTATGTTATAGGATATAAAAGCCCAAATCTTTGTAATCCTGTAAGACCCAGACCTGTACCATGTCTTTGATACCATCTTTCACCTTTTTATTTATTAAATGAATTAAAGATGCCAGAAATTTAAACAGCTTGCTCCATTCATTCATTCATTCATTAAACAAATATTTATCAGATGCGCGCCATATGTCAAGAACTATGTCAAGTTTTGGATATGGAACAGTGAGCAAAACAGACACGAACAATGTCTCCTCACAGGCTTATAATCAGTTGGAGGAATTGAGCATAGCTCAGCTAATCACCAAAATCTGTGTGTGTAATCACAGACTTAATAAATGCGGTGTGTAGGATCTTATTCTCTATGGAAGAAGGTTCCAAGCCAACCTGATCCTGTCCCTGTGCCCCTGAAGAAGTGATGGTCGAGCCAAGTCTGGAGTGTTAACTGCTCCCAACGGGGCAAAGTTGGAGGAAAGAACATTCCAGGTGGAGGAGCGGCACGTGCAAGGTTTCAGGCGGAAAGGAACAGGGTTGGAAGCGAGAGGTCCTGTGTCTGAGTTGCTAAGAGCCTGAGCACAGGGCAGGAGGAAGGGTGGCACTCTAGGCACAGATCAGGCACACCAGCCCCCACCTCGGAATGACCTTCTGATTTGACATGGAGTGAAGTCTAACTAGGGTGTTAAAGAAATAAATAAAATTAATCAAAGTCTTTTCAGATCTTTTATATGATGTCCTTTCCAGAACACAAAAACTCGAGCCAACTTTGGCTCCTGCCCATTTGCCTATGCCGAGGGACAGGCCCATCGCAATGCCGCGGACCTGTGCACTGACCTGGCAGAGGAGATCAGTGCCAACTTCGAGGCCCTGCCCTTTGCCATGGCATCGGACAGTGACAATGATGCTGGGACCAGCATTGCATCAGACCCAGGCACTCATGGACCACCGTGCCGGATTGCCGCTGTGGCCACTGCTCAGCAACGTAAGCTGCCTCTTCCTAGGGCCCCACTGCTTGCTGTTTGGGAACGTGGGTGCTGGGGCACCCTCATGCCCACTTGCCTGGGGTGTTCCCTCCACAGTCTGAGGCTGCAAGCTCAAGTGCCATGGGGCTGCAGGCTAAGTGGAAGAACCGGTTGGGGAGGAGGAGCCATGACAGCCAGGAAAGCTCATTTCTGCCCTCTTACAGGAATATTTGGTGCTAGCAGAATGGTGTCAAACAGCAAAAGCCCCCAAAAGTTTATGGAAATCTCTTCATTTTATGGTTTTACTCATTTTATAAAATTGCTTTAAAACTGAGCTGGGTATGGTGGCACACGTCTACAATCCCAGGACTCAGGAGGCTGAGGCAGGAAGATTGCTGCAAGGCCAAGGCCAGCCTGAACTACATAGGGAGACCCTGTCGAATAAATAAATGACATCATAGGATAATAAACTGCCACTGTAGAATCTAGGTAATGGGTATTTAGGTGTGCACTAAAAACATTCCTGATTATTTGAGAAATTTCAAATCAAATTTAGTAAAACTGAGCTCACCAAACTAAAGCTGCCTTCAGGCCATATTTGATACTGCTCTGCAAACTGTTTTAAGAGACTTTTTGGTTCTTTCTCATAGTAAAGAACCTTCCAAATTCTTCCCTGAGTTGAATGAATCACACCAAAAAAACCAAACTCTGAGGATTCATAGATGCTTAGTTGTTCCTTGGCTCTGTAATTTAAAATTCCTTGGCATACTAGGAGTCTTTCTGTCATACAAATTCAGGGAGTCCAGTTTGTCCAAGGGTAAGCTCATGATTTTCCCATCCTGCTCTTGTTTACATTTCTCTGTAGGGGGTGTATTTTTTTTTTTGGTACCGGGGTTTGAACTCAGGACCTTGCACTTGTGAGGCTGGCAGCAGAACCACCGAGCTAAATCCCCAGCCCCTTGTTTACATTTCTCTGTCTTGATGCTTTGTTACAGAGTATGATAGCGACACCTCCTGTCATTACAAAGTCGAGCTCAGCTATGAGAATTTCATCACCTCTGGCCCAGACCCTCACCCACCTCCCATTGCAGATGATGAAAGCGATGACGATGACGATGATGACATCCCACAGGTGAGACCCAAAGCCATGACTTAGGACTGGGGAGCACTCATTTACTTTTTTTTTTCGGTACTGGGGATTGAACTCAGGACCTTGCGCTTGCCAGGCAGGTGTGGCTCCACTGAACTACATCCCCAGCCCTAGGCAGCACTCATTTAGCTCCCTGGTGACAAGGGAAAACTTCAGGGAGTGATTCTGACATGAGTGTGCAAGCCAGCAGCTTTACTCTTCTGGGTGTGTCATTGTGTGTGAGCAGTCATCCTGCCATGTCCATCTTTCTAAGCCACCTATCAATAGCTGAGTCTGCCCAGCTCCATGGCCTAGTAGAGGTCCGGGTGTTGGAGAAATGAAGGACTTTGTTAGTAACTCCACAGCAAGTTTCAGAATAAAATGGACGTGGCTCTGTGACTTTTGAGGGCAAGGAAGAGCTTGCTCCTGTTGAAATGTTCCTGCTTGCATCTGAGGGGTGCACATCCCTGCACCTGGGCCACCATTACTGGCATTGGGGGACGGTGTTCGGGGGGAACTTGAGGGAGGGAAGGCGTGCTGCCTGCGCCACATACTCCTCTCCTCACGAGTTTCCTTCTTACAGGAGGACCACTATGCCCTGCTGGTGAAAGCCTGGGAGACCAAGGTCTTTCCCACCATCCGAAGGCGTTTCCGCAATGAGGCAGAGCGAAAATCGGGCCTGGACCAGATCAAAGGGGCTTTACAACTAGGTCTCGTACTTTTTGTTCTCAAGAGGAGCTCATTGCATGGCTTGGAGAGATGCGGGGTAGATGTAAACCAGGAGAGGCACTTCTCAAATGTTATGCCTGACCTGACACAGTGGTATTTTGGTATTTTCTCCCTGCTAGGGAGTTTGATGTCTTTTGCTCCCATTGCTGGGTTTTTGCTTGTCAATGTAACTCAATGTTTTGGGTTGGTGGGCTGCCAAATACAACTGGAATGGTTGTCATGGGAAGCTGTGTAGCCTGGTGACCAACAGTCACATCTGCAGTCACAGATGTGCTGTTTACCAGCTATGGGAGCTTGGGCTTTCCTCATCCTCAAAATGAAACTAATAGTGGCAACCACTTCATCTGCATATATGAAGTAAATGAGCTGATAACAGCTAAAGCTCCTAAGAGCAGTGCCTGACATATAGTGAGCATTCAGTTACTATACTTACTTCTAACTGTCCAAATGATGATGATGGTGGTCTTGAGGTTTTCCCCTTTGTAGAGCAGTGGCAAAGGCTGAAAGGAAGATAGGGAGGCAGGTTGTATTGTCCAGAGACCACTGCTGTAAGAATGGATTGCCCTCCCATCGTCAGGGCCCCCAGGAAGGCTAATGAAACCAGCCCTGGGCTCTGCAAGTTGGGTTCCTCCTCATTACAGGGGGATAATGGTTTTTGTCCTTTGCACTATTTCTTTTTAAAACATTGCAAAGATTATCATTTTGTAATCTCCAAATATTAGGCCACAGTTCTTGTTTATTCTGTCTGATGCTTCTTTCCATAACCATCTTTCTTTTTTTTGGTACCGGGTATCGAACTTGAGACCTTGCGCTTGCGAGGCAGGCGGCAGAACCACTGAGCTAAATCCCCGGCCTCCATAACCATCTTTCTGTAATTGTACTCCCTTTTAAACTGTGCTCAGAAAATTGCCACACCTTTTCATTACAGCAAGGCCAGGGAATAAAAGAACAGCAGATAAGTGTGATGGAGATCTGCCTGTTTAAAAGCAGGTACTATCAACCCCTGTTCTTTTGCCCTCAACTTCCTAAGCACTGTGAGGTCTAAGGCAGCAGAGGCAAATGGAAACGTTGGACCCCACCTCACTGTACTCCCCACAATGCTTTCTTTCCTCTTTTTTTGTTTTGTTTCTTTTTTGTTTTAGGTCTTCGGACACTTATTAACTTGGTTTATTAATTGTGGCCACTTTTGCTGTTGAATATAATAATGTATTCTCTCTCTCAGAAGAAAGAACAGAGAAAATCTTAGTAGAATTGATGTGGCTTACTTCTCTGTCTGTCTCAAACAAGCAAGAATTGTTTATTGTAGTAAAAATAGCTCACAACACATAAATCTATGAAGAAATAATATTACCCACCTTTTTTGTTACTCTCCATTTATCCTGTAGTCCCTTCGAATTAACCAAAATGAAATGACTACATAATGATGTACCACCATTTTTAACCATCTATATGGATAAACTCTGGTTATTTCCATTTTTTGCTGCTGTTATTCACCAACAGTGCTGGAATGAGTGTTCTTGTACCTTTGCACACTTGTGCTTGTGTTTCCATGGGAGAGATCTGAGAAAGTCCTAGAAGAAATGCATTTAGTGTTTAGAATTGGTAGAAACTGCATAACTACCTTCCCCCAAAGGGTACATCCCCCCTTAAACTGGGTGTGAAAAATCCTCTGTCATTTCATTCTAGATACCAGTCAGTATTGTAGGTGATCTCAAAATTGTGTACCCTGGGGACAGTTACCTGGCTTGTTGTGTTTTTAGGCATGGTGGACATTGCCCGACAGACAGTTGAGTTTCTCTATGAGGAGAATGGCGGCATCCCCAGAGACCTTTATCTTCCCACCATTGAGGACATTAAAGATGAAGCAAACAAGTTCACAATTGACAAAGTTCGAAAAGGTTTTGCTTTCTTCCTTATTACACCTATGAAATTTCTGATGAAAAGAGCAGTTGAATTTTCCCAGGCAGGAGCCATGAGGCTGGTGTCTCTCCCTACATGACCTCCTCACCCTAAGGGACTTGACCTCTTCCAGGCACCCCCATGTGAAGCCCACAAACACCACTAGGGGTTGGTGCAGAGACCAACTTTGGCATCTGGTGCTCGCTCCCATGTTCCCTTGCTCACTGGCCAAGGCAGGTCTGAGAGTAAAGGAAGGAAATGGGGGCTGGGTAGAGGGTTCCAGATGGGCCTCTGCTCAGTCCCAGCTTCTGAACTAACAAACCTCACAATCAAGGTTTACTGAGGCTCTTAGAGCTTTAATAGATTATATTCTTTGATTAAAAATCTATTGCAAGGGCCGGGGATTTAGCTCAGTGGTTTCGCTGCCTGCTGCATAAGCGCAAGGACTCGAATTCAATCCCCGGTACCAAAAAAAAAAAATCTATTGCAAGCTGAATGTGGCGGTGCACATCTGTAATCCCAGCACTTGGGAGGCTGAGGCAGGAGTTGAAGGCCAGCATGGGCTACATAGCGAGAACCTGTCTCAAAAAAACCCCCACAAAATTCCTATTGCTGGGCCTGGGGATTTAGCTCAGTGGTTCTGGCACCTGCCTCTCAAGTGCAAGGTCCCGAGTTCAATCCCTAGTGCCAAAAAAAAAAACCTGTTGCTTATTTCAAAGACATGAGAAAAAACAAAAGCACAAAAGAGAGTATAAAACTATGCCTCTTTTGATGACCTTCCTAAAAATACCAGAACATCATGGAGAGGGGCTATGACTCACATGCCTTTTGGGGGCCGGAGTGGTAGAGGGCATACTTAGCATATCTGAGGCCTCCTGGGTTTGATTCCCAGCACCATCACCAGCAACAGAATTCACCTTTTTAAAGTATACAATTCAGTAGTTTTTAGAATGTTCACAAAGTTGTGCAAACATCAAATTACTGCCTGTAATTCCTTAGCATTTTTATCTATCCCCCAAAAGAAATCCTATGTCCTTTCACTCCTCCTCCCTCACCCCAGCCTCTGGGAGCTGCTGCTCTGCCTTCTGTCTCTGGATTTACTTGTTCTGGACATTTCATGAGACGGATTCATATAATATGGGTCTTTTATATCTGGCTTTTTTTTTTAAACAAGGTTCATCCATCTTGTAACATATGTCAATACTTTATTACTTTTATGGCCAAATAATATTCCATTGTGTACCTATGCCCCATTTTTGCTTATCTGTTCATCCACTGACAGACATTTGAGTTGATTCCACTTTTCTGTTATGAGTAATGCTGCTATGAATGTTTGTGTACTAGTTTTTGTGTGGACATGTGTTTTCATTTCCCTTAGATATAGTATACCAGTATGTAGGAATGGAATTGCCAGGTCATATGCTAACTTTATGTTTCACTTTTGCGGGGGGGGGGGGGATCAAACTCAGGTCCTTGCACTTTCGAGGCAGCCGGTGGAACCACTGAGCTAAATCCCCGGCCCTATGTTTCACTTTTTGAGGAATGCCACAGTATTTTCCAAAGCCACTACAACATGTCACATTTCCACCAGCAAGGATGAGGGCTCTGATTACTGTACATCCCTGTTAGCACTCATACTTGTCTGTCCTTTTGTCATGGATGTGAAGTAGTTCACTGTGGCTTTCACATGTGTTTCCTAGTGATGAATGACTAATACTGAACATTCATGAGTTATCTTTTCATTTCTCTATGGAGAAATCTTTATTCAAATCCTTTGCCCATTTTTAAGTGTTTTATTTATCTTTTTATTTATTTGTGAATTGTCAGTGCCTAACAACATTTTGTCTTGTTACATTCCAGGGTGAGTTGTGTTCTTTTTGGTTATAACCAAACTGAAGATATTGTTAAATGCTGTAGAGCTAGTGTAGACTTTACAGTATAGGGTCCCAAGGTGAGATGGTGATTCCTCCTGAAGAAACTTCTCCTTCTACCTCCTCAGGTCTCACAGTAGTAACCCGTTCTCCAGACAGCAATAATGTAGCCAGCAGCACTGTTGGAACTGCTTTGCCAAAATTTGCCATCCGAGGGATGCTGAAAACCTTTGGTCTCCATGGAGTCGTCTTAGATGTCGATTCGGTAAGTGAACAGCCATTGAGATTAAGACACCCTTTTATGTATACAGAGGCCTTCATGCCCAGATGCCAAGTACTGAGGATGTGCCTCGGTGGTGGGCCTAGCACACATGAGGTTCTGGGTTCAATCCTCAGGGCCATAACAAAGAACAAAAGTGATTCTATTGGGTTTCTTTTCAAAATAGGGATGAAAAAAATTGAAAAAAATGCTATCATGTCGAATGGTTTCTGTGAAATTTCTCACATGTCCGGATGAGGATTGATGGTACATTGAAAGCCCTTAGCTCTCGGCACTGTCAGCTCCTCTGGCTACACCACCTGTCAGCTGTGTCCAGCTGGCCCTACATTGTCCCTGCCCAAGTTCCAAGGGGAAATTCTCCCGTGTCCTTGATGAATGGATGACCTGCTATTGCCAGGATTGTTACATAGGCATAAATCAAAGAAAGAGCCCTGTCTTTGGTCACATCATTTCATTAACTTCTTCAGCCTGTTTCCCCAGCTGTCAAATACGCATTGAATGCCATGAGCAGTTTTTGTCATTGTACAAAGCTCCCATGCAGAGCTCATAAGGATTTAGAGGGGTGTGGGCAGAGAAGCAGCACAAGGGAGGGAGAAGGCAAAGCCAAAGCTTTCCTTTGAAAGCAGGCTCCTAACTGGGTGTAGTGGTACACACCTGTAATTCCAGCACTCAGGAGGCTGAAAGCAGGAAGATCATCCTGAGTTCGAGGCCAGCTTGGACTACATAATGAGATCTTGTCTCAAAAAACCTAGATAGATAGAAAGATAGATAGATAGAAAGATAGATAGATAGATAGATAGATAGATAGATAGATAGATAGATAGATAAAAAGAAATCAGGCTTTTATATGATTCTAAGGCTGCAGGCACACTCTTGGATTTGAGACATTTTCCATGTAAGAAAAACTGATGAAATTATACAGAGATCATACCTAAGGGTTTGATGAAGAAGTGTCCATCATTATGTATATACAATCTTTGTTGTCTGTCTATCTAGGGTACGGATAATGTTAGGTACCCATTAATGCTTTGAAATTGACCTTTCAAAAATTTGTACCTTCAACTGTGTGTGGTGGTACATGCCTGTAATCCCAGCACTCTAAGAGACTGAGGCAAGAGGATTGAGCCCAGTTTGGGCAACTTAGTGATTTAGCAAGACCTTGTCTCAAAATAAAAAAATTAAAAGGGACTGAGGATGTAGCTTGGTACCAAGGGCCTTGGATTCAATCCCCAGTACTACCAAAATAAATTTATACATCTTCAGCTCACCATTTTACCAGAATTTAATTTTTTTAAAAGGGATTATTGACTGATAGTTCCCTGAGGTGAACTTTCAAACAGAAAATTCCAACAGTACTCCTGTTAATCTCCCACTGCCTTTTGTTACAAACTTCCAATTTTAGTTATCAGAAAATAACTACTAACAATATTTTGTAGCAATGGAAATTAATGAAAGTAAAAATTAGAAGCCTAGCAAAGGCATACGCCTGTAATTCCAGCACTGAGGGAGACTGAGGCAGGAGAATCCCAAATTTGAATCCTGTGTGGGCAACTTAGTGAGACCCTGTCTCAAAATAAAAAGCTGGGGATAGAACTCACTTCTAAATTACCCCTGAGTTTGATCCCTTGTACTGCAAAAAAAAAAAAAATTAGAAAAATAGAAATTTTGTTAAAGTAATCATTCTGCTATTTCTCAAGTAATTTGATTCAGTTTGTTTTAGTAATCCCTAAATAAAAACTCACTAGTGTGCTCAGTGATACCACCGCCTGCCTTGCAAGCACAAGGTCCTGAGTTTGATCCCTGGTACCAAAAAAAAAAAAAAACCTCACTAATGTTTAAATCTATAATATGTACGTATAAAGTTTAATTTTTATACCAATAAAATAAAGCCATTAGAAGATTCCTTGCTTCTAAAAATTATTAACATAAAAATAATGAATATAGCTTTACCTGACAATAATCTTTGTTGAAATATTACTGAAATATTGCACTATTCTCTTTAAATTGCTAACTCATCACTATATTGATGGAAAACTGAAACACTATCAGTACTGACTAGATGCTTTCAAACTTTTAGGCTTACTCATTGACTGGAAGCTAGTACTTATTACTCTAGTATAGTAATATATATGTTAACCTAGAGATGTGTACATATATACATGTTTGTATATACCTGTATGTGGATAAATAAATATATGTATATTTTGATTTTAAATTTTTTCTATTTTGATTGAGTTTTTTAAATTAACTGACTTTTAGCCTTTCTAGTGTGTGTTAATTTATAACTGAGAATTTTGGATGTAAAAAGATTAAAGTGTGTTATGTATGTAATGATGAATGTAATCATATGTAATCAACTCCCCATGATGAATGTAATCATACGTACTGCAGATGTACTACAAAAAATATATATATGAATATATTAAACATGGAGTTAGGGGTGTAGCTTAGCATTGCAGTCTTTGGCTAGCATACTCAAATGTAGCACTGTGAAGAAAAAAAATAAGGAAGGAAGTAAATTATTAAACATTTCATGATTATTTTTTTCTTTTGGCAGTACTGGGGATGGAACCCAAGGCCTCATACATGCTAGGCAAGGACTCTACCACTGAGTCATATCCCCAGCTCATGATTATTTTTAATGTCTTCTTATTTTGTTCTTTGCTGAAAAAAGTACTTAGCAAATTTATATAATATAAACTTGTCTTCTAACATATATTTCAATAATGTATTATAGGACGGGGAAGGTAGTCCAGTGGTAGAGCACATCTCTGGCATGTATGAGGCCCTGGGTTCCATACCCAGCACCACACAAAAAAAAGTACTATGACTTTATATATTCCCATTTAGTTCATTAATATTATCCATGAAATAGCAAGTAGATATAAATTAGAGCATATCTGTGTTAGTTACTTTTCTCATTGCTGAGACAAAATACCCTGTACCCAAAGTTAAAAGGGGAAAGGTTTATTTGGCTTGCAGTTCCTAAAGGCTTCAGTCCATAATCAGCTGGCTCCAAGGCAAGTGGTGTGGCATACAGGCATTGCAGAGGAGAAACAGTTCATGGTGGGAGGAAGCAAGCAAGAGACAACTACAGCTCCTTCTATCTCCTTTCTATATTTTATCCAGGCTGCTTAGGGTGGGTAGCACTCACACTCCTAAACCTAGTGCCTTTGAGCCTACTGTTGCACCATGAATCAATCCCAGCGTCACACACTCTAGATCCAGCTACCTCTAAAAAGGCCCCAGCCATGACCACATGAGGCTTTGGGGGAACATTTAGACACAAACCATAAAAATATCTAAAAGCCAGGCCTTAATATATACATGTGTAAGAGTAAACTTGGAAAGCAAAGTTGATGCTCAGAAAAACCAGCAGACACTTCCCTTTCCTGTTGTAGGTGAATGAACTGGTGCAGGTGGAAACATACCTCCGGAGTGAAGGTGTGCTGGTACGGTACTGGTACCCTATCGATATGCTGGAGAGGCCTCCAGCAGGCTACCGAAGAACAGCCACCAATGGGCTGGTCACATTGGATAATACCAACCTTCAGATTCACAGGTAAACTTGAGCCCTTCTTCCTGACAGGCTGCAGAGACCACTCACTGTTTTTCCACATGTTCACTTTATCTTTGACAAGAAAGCTTTTCCTTCAGAGGTAAGTCGGAGGGAGAGAAGATGGTTAGGAAAGCTAGCAGCAAAGTAACAGGACTTGAGAAGAAAAGTTGGGGGATCCGGAATCGCTTGGCCTATGCTGCATCCATGTGGATTGGGGAGGCTAGGGCAGCTAGAGATTTGAAAAGTGTAGGGAAAGTTCCACAGAGTAAAGCAAGTCAAGAAGAGACAGTGAAGAGATGGCAAGTCAGGAAGATGGCCAGGCACCATGTGGGCAGCCAGCCCTTTTCTCTGTTAAAGCTAAGCAGGTGTCCTGGAGTGCTGGCTCTGCTTTCTGCACTGGCAGGAAACAGAGGTGCCTTGGGCATGTGCTGCCCCCAGGGGATGAAGAACTGGAGATCTGGCAAAGTTTCCACCATGCACTATTAACAATTACCTGTGAATTATTCCTTTCGGTCCTAAAAAGCTTTGCAGCAGGTCAGAATACAATTATAAATGGAGTTCTCTAATAAAAGCCTCCATAAATTGTTGTTCACACAGGCCATCCACCAGCTGCCAGTTCCTCAGAGGCTGTCCATCTGGAGCCACATTAGAATGGCCTAGGCTTTGGGCTCCCTTTGGCTTCAGGGACACATAGCTACTGCACCACCCCGTTAGGTGGTCTTCAGTCTAAAGACCAAATAGCTCACGCTTGGTGACACTTAAGACACAGAGCAGGAAGCAAGGCATGCCACGGGGCAGCAGCATGAGGTTCTCCAGCAGGAGTCCTCACTGTCAGCCACATAGTTCAGGATAGGCTTCACCAGCAGGGTTCACATGGTGGCTGCACAGCCCTGTGTCCCAAAGCAGACCTGGTGTCTTGGGACAACTTCCCCAGCAGCTTCCCAGGATTCTGGGACCCGGGCACTGAGGCCTCCCTGTGAGAATGTTCTTTTCCTCAGTCCTCCCAGGCTAGATGCTGCCATTGCCGGTCAGGGTTCCTCTTCACTGTAAGCAATGCCTAGTAATGTGCTGACATTCTTTGTCAGGGTTTTGTTTGGTTCGGGGGTTTTTTTGTTATTTTTTGTGGTTCTGAGGATTGAATCCATGGAGTAATGAGCTACATCCCCAGCCCTCTTTTCATATTTTGAGTCAGGATCTTGCTAAGTTGCCCAGGCTGGCCTCAAACTTTGGATCCTCAGCCTCTTGAGGGTGGCTTCTTTGGCAGGTTTTTAGAACTGACCTCAAAGGAGGTTAACCAACAGCAGCTCTGTAGACAAGGAAAGGGTTTTGTGAACCTTTTAATCAAAATACTAGGCATCTCAGACTCAGAAAGAGTCTGGGTGTGGTGGCACACACCTTTAATTCCTGCACTTGGGAGGCTGAAGCAGGAGGATCACTGCAAGTTCGAGGCCAGCCTGGGATATATATATAGTGAGTTTAAGACCAGTCTGAACTACATAGTGAAACCTTGTCTCAAAACAGGAAAAAGAAGAAAGAGGGCCAGGGATTTAGCTCAGCAGTTTCACCGCCTGCTGCGCAAGCACAAGGACCTGAGTTCGATCCCCTGTACCAAAAAAAAAGAAAGAAAGGCAAATATCCCATGTTCTCCCTTATGTGTAGAATCTAGAGAAAGTAGAAGGGAGGCTGTTATTAGACTAGGAGACTGGAATAAGGTGAGGGGTAATTGGGGTGGATATGAGCAAAATACAGTATACACATTGAAAGTCAAACTGGGAGAGGGAAGGCATGGGGAATAATGAGGGATGAAAATGATCCAACTATGTTATGTGCATGTACAGATCTGCCAAAATGAAACCCATGAATCTGTATAACCAGTTAAAAAGGAGTGGAAAGAAATAATAGGCACCTAAAAGGTTGCATGTGAGGTGGAATCTGGCTTTCTACAGACCTCCTCCTCTGGCCCTTCCCTGTCTGGAAGGGGCTGCAGCCACTCTTTTCCTCTCGTCCCCTGGGACCTATCAGCAAGCTACATCCATCGTCCATATCCTGTGCATACAGTCTAGACCTCTGCCCTCACTTCTGCCCACGAGAGCCAGAGTCCCATGAGTGCTCCTTCCTCCATTCACCCCTTCCCATGCTTTCTGCCTCCCTTGGCTCACAGACTCCAGTGAGCCTCCAAGCCTGCCCACCCCTCCTCTGGCTACACTGGCCTCTGGCTGCTCCAGACACCAGTTCCGTTCCTCTTCAGGGCTCTGTTGTGGCCTTGAGCTGGTCGTGCAGATGGAGAACAGCCCCCTCTTCAGCCAGGTCTCACTGCCACACCCCAGGGCTTTATTCCCTTCTGTTGCTGAGTTGTGGCACTGGGTGACATGCCACTGAGGGAATGACATTTGGGTTGCCACCACTTTTTGGCTTTTAAGCACCAACACTGCTATGAACACACATTTTCTTTTTTTTCAAAGTGCTTTGTGAGTTGGGGAAAAAAAATCAAACACAACTAATGTGGTTTTGTTTAAAACACAAACGACTGCCGGGGATTTAGCTCAGTGGTTTCGCCACCTGCTATGCAAGCGCAAGGACCTGAGTTCAATCCCCAGTACCAATAAATAAATTAATTAATAAAACACAAATGACTCACTTGGGGCAGGCATGCAGGGCTGGCAGAGAAGCCTGAGATGTCCTCTCCTAGCCCATCAGCTTGGGCCAGAGCATCCCCGCTCAGCTCATCTGCTTTTCCCACAGAGAGCTACTACGGTGCGAGGCCTCGCTGGCCAGGCTCTACTGCCGCATGGCCCTGCTCAATATCTTCGCCCCCAAGCTGCCTCACCTGTTCACCCGCCTCTTCCACATCCCCGCCATCCGCGACATCACCCTGGAGCACCTACAGCTGCTGTCCAATCAGCTCCTCGCTCCTCCACTGCCAGGTGAGGCTCTGCTGCTGCCACCCTCCTCGCCCCAAAATCAGCAGTGGAGAAGAATGCACATCTGACCAGGCCCCGAGAAGTGGGTGAGCTCATTTCCATGAAGGGGAGGAGAGGCTGTCCCCTGAAATTGAAGATCTGGGGTTGTCCTGTAGTACTCTGTCACTCTTTGGCGATGGCAATATATTCCGCACTTTTGAATTAACTTGTTGAATATTCATGGAGCTTCCCAAATTAACTGCAGGTCAAGGAAACTTGACAGCTATGCTGCCACAGACATTCTATGTGGCCCTGGACAGCAGGATGTATCCCAGCTCACAGGCCTTCCAGACCCGACCCGGTGGACTTGGGAGGAACACTTTATGTCCTGGTCCGTGTGTGTCCGCTGAACCTGGGGCCTATGGGTCTGGGTGTCTGCTCCTCTGGGGAATACTAAGCGAGGAGTCTGTCCTCTCTTTTCCGCTGGCATCTCAGCCTCCAGCCAGCTCCCCTTGACCTCCCAGCAACTAAGATGGGAGCAAGAGGTGAGGGTGGGGAGGTGGAAGGGACTCTGAGCCCCACAGAATCTCAAGCAGTAGCCTTCCAGCTCACAACCCTGGTGCTCCCAGACAGCACGTGTATGCCTCATCTCCACCAGCCCATCCCAGGACTTGGACCCATGGGAGCACTTTGCCATGATGACCATGGACACTGCTTTGTAAACTCCACTCTAAGGCCTCTTGTAGTTCCTTGATCCAGCCCAGCCTGGCCCAAGTAACCAAATAGGTCAGGCTCTGGACCTTCCATCCAAACAGCCTCATTTTTATGTTTCATAGACTTGGATCTCCACTTAAAAAATTATTTTAGGGGCCAGGGATTTAGCTCAGTGGTTCCACTGCCTGCCTCACAAGCACAAAGTCCCGAGTTTGATCCCTGGTACCAAAAAAAAAAGAAATTATTTTAGGCCAATTGTGGCACTAAACACCTGTACTTCTAGCACTCAGGAGGCTAAGGCAGGAGGATTGCCATGAGTTCAAGACCAGCCTAGTCTATACAATGAGTGCAAGCCTACCCTGAACTACATAGCAAGATCCTGTCTCAAAAAAAAAGAATTTATTTTAGGCAACAGTTGTACTACTAAAAAAGCAGAACTTCAAAGGCCAGTAATCTCTTGAGTGCCACCCTTGAGGATCTGAGTAGTGATGTCTGTTACCCAAGACGTGATACATGCATGAGAAGCTGCCAAGGCCAGCTCATCTGGACGGCCACTTGTTGTTCATTCCTTGGGCTCTCACATCCACTGGGTACCACTGTCTGCATGGGTCCCTGTAAACGTCTGTTTGCCTCCCTGTCTGCAGATGGCACCATCAGCTCCAGCTCTATCCTCCTGGCACAGTCGCTGCAGCACTGCATCCACTCCCAGAACTGCTCAGCCACAGACCTCTTCTACCAGGGCAACTCCCAGATAGTGAGAGAGTGGCTTAACGTGGCCATCACCCGCTCCCTGCACCAGGGTGAGGACAGCCTCTTGGAGCTGACCAAGCAGATCTGCTCCTTCCTGCAGGTAATGGCCTTGGCCTGTGGCTCCCATTCTTAAGTAGAAGTCTTACTAGCTTGCTAAAAATTGCTCTCCTGTCTCCCTGCACCACCATCCCCTTGGCTTGCCTTTCCATAGAAGCTCTTCTGCTTTGTCTCATCCATGGCTTGCTTCCTCCCGGGGGGCCTTTTTTGTTTGAGTTCATTACAACATGTACTTTGACTGATTTCTTTTGCTTGGCGAGGCGGAAAATGAAGTACTCTCCCTTGTGTTTCTCTGGTGGCTTTCCTTACTTAATGTCTCTTTGTAGACCGCACCAGAACAGTTCCCCTCCGAAGAGTTCCCAATTTCCGAGTCCAAAGTCAACATGGATGTTAATTTCCCTGGGGCGGCTTTTGTCGTTGTATCTTGTAAAGAAAGTCAGTCTGGATTCCGCAAAGAGTAAGTTGCCCTTTCTCAAGATGATGATGGGAGAAGAGCTAAATGAATTCCAGTGATACTGGCAGAGGGAAATATCTCAAATTGTCTTTGTTCTTAAATACACACAATACTTAAAGCTAATCTGCAGTTCTCCCCATATTGCCCTGTGTGGGGACTTGGCCCTGTAAAGAGTGGCCTGCTTCTCATTCAGCTTCCTCTGCTGTGCGTGGCCAGCATCTGTACTAATGCCTCCCTCCCTCCCAGCTCCTCTCTGTACAAGGCACCATGGGCGCGCGTGCTTGTATACGGGCTCGGCCACAAAGTGAAGCGAACTGGCCAGCTGAACCTCATCGAGGCTGCCTGTTACCCTCGGGATGCATCCCCAGCCAACACAGGGCTGGCACCTCTGCCCACTGCTGACCAGTACCCTTCTGTGGTCCTCTCCACAGACAGGGTCCACATCAAACTGGGTGAGTCTTCCTCAGCTCCAGGAGATGCCAACAGCGGGCAGGCATACTGCATGGCCACCCTTTGGGAGATACAGGGGTTTTGTGCCTTGGTCGGTCCCCGCTGCCTAGGGCAGTAGGTTTGAAGGCCTGGCATAGGCTGCCCAGGCTACACTGGGGTCCCCCTCCTTTCACCAGCTGCATCGGCCCCCAGCTGTGTGTCAGAACAGAGCAGTCTCGGCCTCACTTCTTCCCGGGCTGTAACAATTCCAGGTCTTCTTCTCGAGTTCTCGGGTGTGTGATTCGTGGCCATCATGAAATGACTGCTCGCACCTCCCTGGGACCTTTGGTGATGCATCCAGGGTTTGGCTTTCCAGCAGGCTCCACCTCTGTAACCTGAAGCTGCCACCGCCTGTCCTCTTCGCAGACAGGGCCAGCAGACAGGAGAGCATCTCAGTCTCAGGCTTCCACAGTGCCTCCTTGGCATGCCTGATAAGAAAAGACTGACATATGTTTGCCAAGAACAATAATAAATTATATTTGCACTTTCAGACAGAAAAATGGGCCTTTCCTTTAGACACTGCATCTTTATGGAATGGGGGAAGGGGCTTTTTTTTTGGTACCAGGGATCGAACTCAGGACCTTGCGCTTGTGAGGTGGGCACAGCACCACTGAGCTATATCCCCGGCTGAAGGGACATTTCTTAAGTGATTTGGTCATTGCTAAACAACTTGATGGTCTCTTCTTATTTAAGTCTGTATTTTCATAGTCACTCATCTACACTAGTTGATTTTTAAACTTGACCTTAAAAACAGGATCTGATCTGGGTGTGGTGGTGCACTCTTGTAATCCCAGCACTTGGGAGGCTGAAGCAGGAGGCTCACCATGACTTCAAGGCTAGCCTGGGCTACATAGTAAGACTCTATTTTAAACAAACAAACAAACAAAAAAGATCTGGCTGAGGGTGTAGCCCAGTGATAGAGCATATGCCAGACCCTGGGTTCAATCTCCAGCACCTAAAAAAGCAGAGGCTGTATCTTACCTTTCCCTAGTAAACATTCTGCCGAAGTGCGTGTGAGCCAGTGTGCCCCTGCTGACTTGACCAACACCCCCTGGTGCTCCAGCTTGGGTCTGACCAGTGCTGCAGCAGGGCTGGGGTGGAGGGTAGGTGTGAGGACATCAGGTGTCAGGACTTCTTCCCTCTTACTAAAGGCTGCTTTGGCCAGATTTGGGCCACTGTCATAACGGAAGTTAATAAGAAAATCAAGGGCCGGGGATTTAGCTCAGTGGTTCTGCCGCCTGCTGCGCAAGCGCAAGGACCCGAGTTCGATCCCCAATACAAAAAAAAAAAAAGAAAATCAGAAACCCAGGCTGGGGATTTAGCTCAGTGGTGCCATGCCTGCCTGACAAATCCAAGGTCCTGAGTTCGATCCCTGGTACCACAAAAAAAAAACAATGTCAGGAGGCTGGGGCTATCAGTGATACCCAGTACCAAAAAAAAAAATAGTGGGAAAAAAATAACCAAGGTCCTGGTAGCCTTGTATCTTGGGGGTACCCTGCTTCTATGCTGTGACATCTTCATGGGATTACAGCCACACTAAAGGACTGATAGTTTCTTTCCCAAGCTGGGGAGGGTCCAGTGAAGCATCTTTTAAAGTGAGACTTAATTTCCATTCTGGATAATAATGCCAATTGGTATCTTTTTTTCTTCCCCTTGGTGAGATGTGGAGTTGCTAAGCTACCCAGGCTTGCCTCTAACTTGTGATCCTCCAGCCTCAGCCTCCAGCATAGCTGGGATTGCAAGTATGCGCCACTGCACCCAGCCTGCCAGTTGGTGTCTACCTAAAGGGGAGCTGTTTACCCACCTCTGTCCTGCAACTGCCCTCTGCCCCTTGCCACATGGAAGCTGGCCTTAGACCCTTTTGCATCTGCAGCTGCCTCTGACAGGAGGAACAGGGACTTACACTTCCTCCTGCCTCATGACAGTTGGACTTTCCAGCCCTAATTCTCCCCACGAACATTCCAGGTCCTCTCCTGCCTGGCTTACTTGGCCCAGGTGCCGCCAATGACCAGTTTGCTTCTGGGCTCTTCTAGGAGTGTCACCACCTCCCGGAGCTGTACTGGTGTTACATTCTCTGCCCCTGGAGTTCCCACTGGCCATGGCCTTCGCAGAGCAGCTGCTGTCCTGGAAGTCTGAGGATGGCGATGGAAAGTCAGAAGATGAACCCGACACCATTCCCACGTCGGTCCTCCTGCAGGTGGTGGAGCTGCTAGGTGAGGCCTCAAGAGCAGGGCCCAGGAGCACTGGCATGTGTGGTGGGTTGGGACTAGACGGTGGTGTGCACCCCAGGTCCCAAGTTGTGGCTTGCATAGTACAGGATGGCAATAACCGTGAACAGTTAACTTTGTCATACTTTATAAATATGTGTCATTGTGACTGAGAGTGAAGAGTGGCATGAAAGTGAACAACACAGCAAAAGCAAACCTTATGACTGCACAGCTCCTGAAAGGCTATGAAGGGTGCAGAACTCACACAATGGCAAACTTCAGTGTTGTGCATTTTCCTATACGTACCTTTACCTCTAACAAATTCTAAGTAAAGGGCTGGGGTGTAAATACAGGGCTCAGTGGTAAGGTGCTTACCTGGAAGGCACGAGGCCCTGGGTTCATTCCCCAGTGGACACACACACATGCACACACACACATCTAAGTAAATACTAAGCTTTGATATCATTAGGTATGCTCGTTCACATTTTTAGGGATGAAACATATTGATGCCTGCAACTTATTTTGTTTTATTATTATTATTTTTTGGTACTGGGGATTGAACTCAGGACCTTGTGCTTGTGAAGCAGGTGCGGCATCACTGAGCTAAATCCCAGCCCTCTGCAACTTATTTTTAAATTATCAAAACTTGGGCCAGGGAGGGCCAGGGATTTAGCTCAGTGGTTCTGCCGCCTGCCTTGCAAGCACAAGGACCTGAGTTCGATCCCCGGTACCAAAAAAAAAAAAACTTGGGCCAGGGATTTAGCTTAGTGGTGTTGCAGTTGCCTCGAAAGCGCAAGGTCCTGAGTTCAATCCCCGGTACCAAAAAAACAAAACAAAACTTAATATGAGTTTATGGATGAACAGAAGGATGGGTAGATGTGTAATAAAGCAAATATATCATCTGTAGCATCTAGGAGGTAAGCATATAGGTATTACTATATTACTATAATTTTTTCAACTTTTCCATAGTTTTGAATTTTTTCATAATAAAATATTAGCAGGGAAAAGAAGTTGCAAGCTCAGATCCCCTCAGGGATCAGATAACAAAGAAATAAAGGAGGAAAGAGGGGCCATACGCCTGTCAGGCAGCTCATTGCCACATGAGGTGCTACCAGAATTGTTATTTTTGTTTCAAGAAAAGGCAGAAGTCCAGATATTGATATGAATTTCCCAATTTCTAAATGTTGGCAACTAATTCAAATTCTTTAAAGCACACCAGGCAGTGCTTGTGAGGTCAGCAGGGAACCACTGTGGTGGGAACAAGATGTCTACGACAGTCTCAGCTCGTGGTCACCATGTGCAGTTTTGGTGAAGAACTCTTCCCAAAGCTGTCCTCTTGCATAAATGTGTAATGGTAGAATGAAGACAATGGAGGAGGTGATATGAGTGTTTCTAGCTTTGGCCTTTGACAGGCCCAGGCCAACCATTCTCAAACAGCATCTCTCCCGAGTGAGCAGGAAGCTCAGTCTCCTCCTTTGTGGGTCCTGGACCTAAACACAGGCCCTTTGTAGATCCCGAAGCCAGTAAGTCAGCCCAGCCATACCAGGCATGGAGGCTCCCCATCCAGTGACCTCTCCCTGCACAAGCCCCGGCTGCAGATGAGATGCGGTCTGCCTCATGCAGGCTGAGGACGTGGCTGGCTCCATGGCATGTGGGCCTTAGACGTTCATGACCTGGGATGACTTCTCACATACACAAGCTTTCCCCACTTCCAGGCAATAGGAATATGGGAGTATAAGGTACACACCTGGTACAGAGTGACCTGGGAACATCGTGTTCTCATTGGTTTTTCCTGGAGTTCTATCGTTTTCATGCACTTCTGTGTGATTTCTGCCATGTGCACAGATCATGCCCATCAGCATTTATTTAATTAATCATTTTTCAGTCCACTCCTTTCTCCCTTTTTAAACCTAACTTAAAGGAATCTTTGAACCACTACTGTAAATGGAAAATTAGTATGGCAACATAACTAGAATATAACTATAACATAAATACAAGGAGCTGGGCATGGTGGCACACACCTGTAATCCCAGCACTCAGAAGGCTGAGGCAGGAGGATCACCGCAAGTTTGAGGCCAGCCTGGGCTACATAGTGAGTTCAAGGTCAGCCTGAACTACATAGCGAGACTCTGTCTTAAAAAAAAAAAAGAAAGAAAGGAAAATAAATAGTTGCTGTAGAAAATTCGCTTGCCTATCAAAGGCTGTGGGTCTGTGGCCCACTTTTAAGAATAAATAGACTAGGGCTGGGGATTTAGCTCATTGGCACCACACTTACCTTGCAAACGCAAAGTCCTGAGTTTGATCCCCAGTACTGAAAAAAGAAAAGAATAAACCAGCCAAAAGTGAAGTCTCTTTTTTTTTTTAAGGTTTGGGGATTGAACCCAAGGCCTCACATGCTGGGCAGGCCTTCTTACCACTGAGCTACATACAGCCCTCGCCTGAAATAAACCTCTCTTGTTGACAAAGTTAGAACTAAAACAGCAGTTTAGCTGGCCACAGTGGTGCATGCCTATAACCCCAGCACTTTGGAGGCTGAGGCAAAAAGATCACAAGTTCAAGTCCTGCCTGGGCAATTTAGCATGACCCTGTTTCAAAATTTTAAAATTTTTTTAAGAAGTGCTAAAGATGTAGCTCAAAGTGAAGGGAATGGATTCAGTCCTCAGTACTTCGAATGAATGAATGAATGAATGACCAGTAAAAAGGAATCATTTTCTATGCTATTTGGTAGAAGGAGATTGTGCACCCAGTTGCAGCATCCTGTGCTTTGGGAGCACTGCTCTGATGACTGTCACCAAGTTGCTGGAGGCCTTTGGACACAGAAAGTGGTGCTGCTTGACCCGTGCTCCAGAGGCAGGGAGGCGCACTGTCTCGTGGCACAAGGCTGAAGGCCCTGGCTCTCCCTCTGGTAGCAACGACACTGGCTGCGGCCCTGCCTGCTTCTTCATCTCTAGGATTCAGCGAGTGACACAGTAACTGCTCACAGGGTTGTTCAGAGGTGGCGTTTAAGTGATTGTTGTTGTGTCCTGTCTGCCCCAGGAAACTTCCTGTGGACCACGGACATGGCAGCCTGCGTGAAGGAGCTTGTCTTCCATCTCCTGGCCGAGCTCCTGCGCACTGTGCACGCCCTGGAGCAGAGGAAGCACCCTGCTGGCCTGTCCTCCTCCATTGCCCTCCAGCTCAACCCGTGTCTGGCCATGCTGATGGCCTTGCAGTCAGAGCTGCACAAGCTGTACGATGAGGAGACCCAGAGCTGGGTCTCAGGCAGCACCTGCGGGGGCTCGGGCATGGCAGCAGCTGGCGACCAGGGCAGGTTCTCCACATATTTCCATGCTCTCATGGAAGGGTGTCTGGCCATTGCCGAAGTGACCCTGCCTACCAACGTGAGTGTCACAGCCAGTGGGGTGACCTCCACGACCACCCCAAATCTCAGTGACTCCTCCTCCTCCTCCTCGTCCTCCCCAGGACAAACCCCACAGAGCCCCAGCCTGCTGTCCAAGAGGAAGAAGGTCAAGATGAAGCGGGAGAAGGCCTCCTCCGCTGGGAAGCGCCACTCCTCCCGCGCAGTGGAGTCAGACTCTGCTGTGCTCAGCATCGGGGGCAGCAAGCCTGAGGACATGCTGTGGTTCCACCGAGCTCTCACTCTACTCATCATCCTCCGCCACCTTACCAGAAAGGATCTGCAGGGCCTGGGCGTGACAAACGACGCCATCGCTGATGCCTGCCAGGCCCTAGTGGGCCCCACTGCCCATAGCCGCCTGCTGGTGATCTCGGGCATCCCCACCCACCTGGATGAGGGCATTGTCAGAGGTGCTATCCGCAAGGCCTGCAACGCCCATGGCGGGGTCTTCAAAGACGAGATCTACATTCCCCTGCAGGAGGAAGACCCCAGGAAACCCAAGGACAAGGCTGAGGCTGGTGATGGGAAGGTGGAGCCCGAGAAGGCGCTGGGCTTCCCCGGCACGGACAGCCTGGATGGGAGCACGTCCAGCAGCCTGGCCCCTGCCATGAGCATCAGTGCCTCCGCCTCTACCAGCCAGGCCTCTGTGTGCAGCTCCCAGGGCATGTCGCAGACCGTCAGTGACCTCTCAGTGGACCCGCTGCCTGCGGGCCTTGAGTTGCCTATCCCTCCCGGCCTGCTGGAGCCGCACGTGGTGTCCAGCCAGGAGAGCCTGGACATTTCCCTGTGCAGCACAGGCAGCCTAGGCAGCTTGGGCAGCCTAGGGGAGCAGCTGGACAACGCAGAGACAGCCTCAGTGTCAGACGTGGGCTCCATGTACACAGTCACATCTCTGGACAACCAGGCCCTGGCAGCACGCCCCATCAAAGGCTTTGCCGTCGTGGAGGTAATGGCTCCCCACCTAGCAGCCACTCAAATCTTGACCAGTTTGAATCCCCCAAGGCTCCCAGCTATGTCCAAGAAGATCCCCGGGCAGCAGCTTGATGATTGTGGTGAGGGCAGTGCTGTCACCAGGGAAAAGCAGTACTCTTCTGCTGGTGCCTTCCAGCTCTGCCCTGCTGGCTGTCTGAGAGGCCTGAGGAGATTCTGGTACTGCCACTGGCAGGAGGGATCTGCACTGACCGTGTGAAAACAGTCGCACACTCAGCTCCCAGGTGTTCCGAGTTCCAGGTGGTGCACATGAGTCAGGCTCCACATCCAGGCTCCACTCCATGTATTTCTTGTGCCACCATGTTTAGAAATCTTATATCCAGGGCTAGGCATGGTGGCACATGCCTGTAATCCCAGCACTTGGGAGGCTGAGGCAGGAGGATTGCTGCAAGTTCAAGGTCAGCCTGGGCTACATAGTGAGACCCTGACTCAAAAAACAAAAAAAGAAAAATCTTACAACCAATGACTTCCTACACCTTTGCAAAGCAGAAGTTAGGCTCAAAAGTACAAACCGGGGCCTAGGCCTGTTACTCGGTGGTAAAGTGTGTGCTTAGTGTGCACAAGCTCCTGCGTTCTATCCTTAGCATGTGCATGGATGTGGGCACGCACGTGCACACACACACACACACACACTCAAAAGTAATTGTTCCCTTCTTGTTAGATATGTAGAACACCAGAGAGAGAACTTGCACTGCTCACTCGCAGTGTGGCCTGGAGTCACTTCTCTTACCCCACCAGCGTAAGCCCATAGGCCTGGCCTAGAGTGACAGAGGCCAGAGTGACCCCTGTTGGCCAGCAGGAGAGTTCCCAGGAGAGAGGGCTGGCCCAGGTGAAGGGAGGGCTCCCAGGCAAAGGCAGGCGGGGAGGCCATGCCTGTGGAGGGACCATCCATCACTCTTCAGATCTGACCCTTTTCTTTGTTCACACAGATAAGATCCCGAGCCAAAATTGAGAAAATCCGAGCAAGTTTATTTAACAATAATGATTTGATTGGTTTGTCAAGTTTGGATGGTGAAGATGAATTGATGGAAATGTCAACAGAAGAAATTCTGACTGTATCTGTAGTGAATCAGAGTTTGTTTGATACTCAAGGGAGCCCAGGGTTAGAAGATTATTTCAACGATAAGTCAATTAAAGGTGGGTTTGGAGTTTTTAAAAAATTAATAATAGATCCCTCTCAGGAACAGTTTTAGGGTTACAGAAAAAAACTGAATGAAGGGCTGGGGATTCGGCTCAGTGGTTCCGGTGCCTGCTGCGCAAGTGGAAGGATCGGAGTTGAACCGCGGCACCAAAAAAAAAAAGAAAAGAAAAAAAACCTGAATGAAATTCCACCCCCACCGCACCCTACTCTGAACCCCTTGCACGGAGGCCAAGAGCTGACTGCCTGTCCTCGTGCTGTGGGGGCCACAACCCCGCTGGAGCAGCAGCCCTGCACAGCCTTGGCAGCCCCGCCCACGGGGCGCTGCCCCAGCCCACTCCAGGCTCCCTGCAGGCTCGCTGGTGGCTGGCTTTCTAGGTCCTACCAGGCTGCCCTTGCTCAGGTGTGTGTATTTGGGTCTGCCCCGCGCAGCTAGAATGTGCCCAGGACATTGCTGGTCATTACATGGTCATGTGCTCAGGGAGAGCTCTTGGCTCACTTTTTTTTTTTTTTTTGGTACCGGCGATTGAACTCCAGACCTTGCGCTTGTGAGGCAGGTGGCGGCACCCTGAGCTAAATCCCTGGCCTTTGCCTCACTCTTTGAAAAACTGATTCTTCGTTAAAAGCAGTTCCAGTTCTCTCTTGCCAAAGTTCAACTTCCCATCCCTGTGTCATTCTGGCAGCTCTTCTGTCGGGGAATCCCTGTCTGGCTTCCCCACATCTGTCCATCCAGGACCAGGGCTTCCCAGATACCCACAGAGCTGAATCAAGCTTCGGGATCCCATCCACATCCAACTGCTCACCCCAGCTTTGCTTCACAAATGGCAGGAGTGTCTCTTTTTGTAATTAGCAACAGTTCTTTTTTGTCTTGACTTTGTTTCATATCAGCCTTTCTCAAAATGAATGAGCCATGTCCTTTTCTCAAAATTTTTAATATTAGAAATGTCGTAATATGTTTTCCAAGTACAAAAATATAATGTTTTAATTTGGTTTGGTTTGGGTTTTTTGTTTTGTGTTTTGAGGTCTCACTGTGTAGTTCAGGCTGGCCTTGAACTCAGTATGTAGCCCAGGCTGGCCTCAAACTCACAGCGATCCTCCTGCCTCAGCCTCCTGAGTGCTGGGATTACAGGTGTGCGCCACCACACCAGGCTCAGGTTTTGTTGTTTCAAATTATTATCTTGTCATGAAATTTGGAAATATTCCCTCAGAGCTGGGATCAGGGGAAGGTAAATGAGGTCTTGGGCACAAAATGTAATGGGGCCCTGAAAACCTGCCATTAAGATCAATAATATTTTGGGGAAGCTGGGTGTGGTGGCAGTGGAGCTCATGCCTCACCCTTTAAAACTCATTCTGGGTGAAGAAACAGTTCTGACTCTCTCTTCCCAAAGTCTTAAAAACACTTGTTGGCTGTATGTCCCTTTGCTCCTTTGGGATATCCGCCACATTCACATTTAAGTCAAGATGGGCTAGGGCCGGGGATTTAGCTCAGTGGTTTCACTGCCTACTACGCAAGCACAAGGACCCGAGTTCGATCCCCGGTACCAAAAAAAAAAAATATATATATATATGGGCTAAGCTGCTGTCGGGCCAAGCGGGCAATGGCTCAAAGCAGCCGGGTTTGCTTTCTACCATATGGAAGAGCCCAGAGTGAGCACTGCACTGCAGCAGCATGCTCTTCCGGGGTGCTTGTCATTTGTAGGCAGCCAGGACAGGGACAGGGACGAGTGCACAGGATAGCAGCCTGGCCCAGAGGTTGATCACATCCCACGGGGAGAACGTGCTCACAGGTTACACTTTAACTCAAGGAAGGTGGGACAAGTAACTAGGGCATGTGCCTGGGTGCCCAAAGGGAAATGGCTGAACCTCATCTCTACTAAATGTTCATTATCCACTTGCAAAGCTGGATGGTTTCTAGCCAGGCGTGCTGGCGCATGTCTATAACCCCAGCACTCTCGAGGCTGAAGCAGGATTGAGAGTTTGAGACCACCTCGGGTTACACGGTGAGCTCTAGGCAACATGAACTACACAGGAAGACCCTGTGGCCCCCAAAAAGGTTTCTGAAAAATAAATAAAGTGCCTGAAAGGTGTGTCCTGACATACCTCATTCAGAGCAGAATTGTTTTGCCCCCCTTGCATTCTGTAACAGGAGAGAAGCTCGTGCCTGGGGCCAGAGAGGTCCTGACAGAGATATTCAAGAGCTGCGCCCACTCAGAGCAGACGCTGAGCCTGACACCAGCGAAGCCCATCAGAGTCTCCGACATCTACCTTAGCAAGGAGCAGATCAACTCCCAGACCCCAGGCAACCTCCTCCACCTCTTCTTCACCAATGTCCGGCCTCCAAAGAAGGTGTTGGAGGACCAGCTCACGCAGGTGGCCACCCCGTCCCTGCCATGCCCGCACCGGGCCTTGGGTGCCCCTGGGGCTGTGTCTGAGAAACCTCCCACCCTGTGCCCCACAGATCCTGAGGAAATACGGCGTGCCAAAGCCCAAGTGTGACAAGAGCAAGTACAGCAAAGCCGGGAAGGAGCAGCACCCCGTGAAGGTGGTGAGCACCAAGCGGCCCATCACCAAGCCGCCTGCCAAGGACAAGGCCGTGCTCAACAGCGTCAGGTGCAGGCCCCGAGAGCTCGGGAACACGTGCCAGCTGGGGGCGGATGCGGGTGGCCTCGGAGCAGTGCCTGAGAGACCGGGCATCCTGGCTGTCTTCTGGTCTGCTGTCCCCTCGACCCTGAGCCTTGTCAGCGGCCAGTCAGCATCTCAGCACCCTCAGTGCAGTAAAACCCACACCCGAAGACCACTCTGCATTCCAAAAACTTCTCAAATGTAGAGCTTTTCTGAAATCATACCTCTTCTAGCCACACAAGTGATGCCTTCTAGAAAGCTTAGAAAATGCATATATCACAGAGGACAAGATTGATGGGGGCTGGGGTCTACCTAGCTGGACTAGAGCCTGTGCCTAGCATGCATGAGGCCCTGGGTTCCATCCCTGGAGCCCAAAATATGTTCCCACATATAGCGATCACTTTTAACACTTAGCACATAACATTCATTTATGCACATGCACTGTACTAGTGTATGGATGCTGGGCCCCGCACACAGCGCTCATGCCTTGCTCTTCCTGTTTCACACTGCTCCCAAGGTCATTCCAGATCAGCACAAAAAGAATGTCCTCATCCTCTTTTCTAAGAGCTGTACAACATTCCATGTGCAAATTTGTAGATATATTGAATAGAATTTTGTTTAGAAACAGGTTTATGACTCACACATCCTCACAGTTGAAACTGGTAGCAAGTCTTGCCCAGTACAGTGCCGAGGAATTGTGTGAATGGCCGGCACAGTAGCTGTCCTTTCACTGGGTCATTGTGCAGAAAGGGCACATTGCAGCCAGCCACCCATCTGCCACTGAACCACTCCAGAGCTCTTCAGATGTCATGTGACTGGTCAAGGAACTGAACTTGTGATTGTATTTAATTTTAGTAGAGTTAACTAATAAGTAGCTACATCTGACTAGTGGCCCTAAAATATGTAGGAAGAATTTTGGAAAGCATTCCAAGATTTGTCACTCATAGGGCCAGGGATTTAGCTCGCCGCCTGCCTCAAAAGTGAAAGGTCCTGAGTTCAATCCCCGGTACCCAAAAAATAAATAAATAAATAAAGATTTGTCACTCATAGCCAGGCATGGTGGTGCACACCTATAGTCCCAGCACTTGGGAAGCTGAGGCAGGAGGATCACTGAGTTTAAGGCCAGCCTGGACTAAAGAATAAGTCTTTGTCTCAAAAAACAAAAACAAGAATTGTCACATCTTACAGCGTTGATTTATCTTTGTACCTTGCTCAGGACCCTCTCCTTGCTCCTCCACTCAGCCACATGAGGACCGCGAGCCTGCAGTGGGTGGGCCAAGGGTGTGTACTAACACTGATCTGTGCAAGGCTCTCCTCTCCCTGTCAGGCAGTGGGCTGTGCGGGCTTCTAATTCCAGTGCTTTGGTCTATAGCAGGACTGCCTTAAGTGAGAAGAAGCCAACTGTGAAACCAAAGTCACCAGAAAAGGGCAAACCAGAGGAAAAGGACCCAGAAAAGTCACCCACCAAAAAACAAGAAGGTAAATGAGCTGCTTGGGTGTGGTATGGGCTGGACACCCGGCCTCCCCGGAGATGCAGCCGGCTCTCAGTGAGCACAGACTCTGGCCCGGCACAGCCTGTCAGCCCCGCTCTGGCTCTGCGCTCTCTGGGTTCTAGGGAGATGCTGGGAAACATTCCCGGCTGCTGCCAGAGATCCTCTCTGATGACCACCAGCCTAAGGAGGTAAAAATAGCAGCTGTGGATACTGCACCCAGGACAAGGACCAGGTAGAAATACAGATCAGGAGAGCTGCTCAGGCCACTCTTTTAGAAGGGCTGGCTGGAGTGAGCATTCTGCTGGGGGCGCGGAGCATTGGCCTCCTAAAGCCCAGTCAGTCCAGGAAAAAGCTGTTCTCATCAGGAAAATCGCTTCTCCATCAAATCTTTCTGGACTTAGAGAAGGAGGGACGGTGGGGAACCACTGCAGGGGCAGGTGCCTGGCCTGCGATGGGTTATGTGTGCACCTTGGGCACTGGGAAAGCAGACCCAGAGAGCAGGAGGCGGGAAGGGAGGCTCACAGCGAGGACGCTGTGGGGCACGCGCAGTGTGTGGTTCTCCCCACGTTCCTGACACTGTGAACATCCTTTCATCAGTCCCTGAGGAAAAGTATCTGACCTTGGAAGGATTTCACAAATTTGTTATCGACCGAGCCAAGCAAGACATCCGTAGCGTCTGGCGAGCCATTTTATCCTGCGGTTATGATCTTCATTTTGAGAGGTAAGAGCATTGCCATCTTTCAGCAGCTAGAGCTGCTTCCACACGTCTTCCCGAGTCATGGCGCCTCTGAGCTCTTTCCTGGTTTTCATACTTATTTGTTTTTCTAACCCATTTGAAAAAACCCTGTTCTTTCCCTCCACCTCCTGACATGGGGACTGTACTAGTCAGCCCCAGTGGCTGTCACAGAATACCACATGTGTGGTGGCTCAAGCCGCATTCTGGAGGCTACAAGTCTGAGATGCAGGTGCAGGCCTCTCCCGAGGCCTCTCTTCTTGCTTACAGGCGGTTGGAATAGGGCTGTTTACCCTGATCACCTCTGTAAAGGCTCCATCCCCAAATACAGTCACACCGGGGGCAGCACTTCGACACAGGAACTTGGCAGGGTAGGGACCCTTCTCAGACTGGCTTCCTTCCAAGTCTCCATTGCCCCTCCCCGCTGCAGGCAGGGCCACAGCGAGGTGCTGCCCACCTGTCTCCACGGCTTCCCCTTGCTGCCTGCAAGTGAGTCCCAAGCAGGTGACATACGTGCCGACAAAGAAGGTCACCTGCCTCCAGCTTCTCACATGGGCCTTAGCCCTGCTCCCAACAGGGCAGGGCTGCCTGAAGCAGGCGTTTCAAAAGCTTGGTTTTCAGAGTAGAAAAATAGTTCACTGCCTCATGCCATCATTTTGCACCTTTGTTGAAGTCTCAAAGTCAGCCCCTAGGTGGGCCTTGACATCACGTTGGCAGGGACTAGTTTTCTAGAAATCAGTAAGGGTTTTGTTGAAAGGTAGTCACCATGGGCCGGCTGCCTGTGTGAGGAGAGGTGGCCACTCACACCCTGCTCCCGAGGTAGCCCCTCCTGGAGTGAGGGGTCAGGCCATGGGGCCCCAGAAGGCCATGGGCTCTGGAACTAGAGACACTCGGGCGCCTGCCCGCCCTTCTGGGTTAGCAGCTTACTGGTTGTGGAAGGAGGACACATGCTGGCTGAAGGCGATGTACGGTGTACACAGACATACACGATGTATGTCCAGCGATGATGGCCGCTTAATGCTCTGGAAACATTTTTCTGGAGGTGGATGTTTTCAGTCATGTCAGAAGCAGCAGACACAGGGCTCTGCACTCTGCCTTCCTGCTTCCCACATCACCATTCCTATGACAGTCTTCCCCTTAGGCTCCGGGGTGCAGATAGTTCGGCAGATCCCTGACTGATGGGCACTTAGATTGTGCCTGGTGTTCTGTAGTCACACAGCCCTGCAGCGAAGCCCTCACAAGCTCACCTCAGGCCCTCTGAGTGACCAGCTCCGCAGGGAGATACTTCAAGGGGCCTACTGGGCCAGGGTACCAGTGTGTGTCACACCAGCGGCTGACACTATCCAGGCACACGCTGGGTGTTGTGCCATGAGCTTTGAATTCTTGTGGCAACATGGAGGGGCTGATGCCATCATGAGCTCATCTTACGGTACAGAAACCTAGGCTCAGACAGTATGTGTGGCCTCAATTTCCCCCAGGCCCCCAGCCTCCCTTCACTGTAACACAGGAGGGGGGAGGCTAGTGCACACATTACACCCAGCATGCTCAGCGTGCTTAGTTCCAAAGCTTTGCCATGAGGAGCAGTCTCAGGACGGAGAAAGCCTGGACGGCAAGGCCACCTTCTGAAGGTGGTGGGGTGGGGTGAGGCGCTGTGGCAGCAATGCTGTCACACTGGCTGGCCCTTCCCCTCCCTGCCCCGCCCCAGGTGTGCCTGCATCGATGTCCGACATGCACAGAAGGCCTCCAGGAAGTGGACCCTGGAGATGGACGTAGCACTCGTGCAGTACATCAACCGGCTGTGCCGCCACCTCGCCATCACACCGGCACGGCTGCACCCGCATGAGGTGTATCTGGACCCCTCGGACACCGCCGACCCCAGAGTGGCCTGTCTCTCCAGTACGTGCTTTCCCAAGGCTGCCTCTGCCCACTGCCCCGTGGAGCCATGGCCCATGATAGGCAATGTTTAGAAGGCCAGATGCCACCCTTTGCTAGCCAGTGTGTAAGGAGGAGGGAGCTAATAGCAGAGGAGAGACAGGAAGCTGTAACTGAGGCCGAATTAGTCTCAAGCCTGTTTATACTCTAAACAAAGCCATGCCCCAGACATAGAAACTCCACGCCTTCACCATGCCCAGCCCCACCTTGAGCCCCGTACTGTGGTCAGGCTACTGTGGGAACGACAAGGGACAGATCCCTGACAGCCTGCGGCCAGGCCGAGGGAGCAGCACATCCTTATTAAAAGTTAGGTAGGGCTGGGGATTTAGCTCAGTGGTTTCGCTGCCTGCTGCGCAAGCGCAAGGACCTGAGTTCTATCCCCGATACCAAAAAAAACAAGTTAGGCATGACACAAGTAATAAAACATGCACGTCCCACACACTCCTAACTTCACCTAGAAAGTCAGCCCTGTCAGAGACCCTGAAAAGTGCCACATGTGGGGACACCACAAGCTTTGGCCTACCTGGCAGCAGGTGCAGGCCCAGCTCTTCTAGATGCCGAGGAAGTGGAGGTGGAAGGACTTGTCCTGACTTCTGTCTCTCACAATGGGAAAGGACACAGACATGAGGATGAACAGTGAGAGGCAGGGTGCCAGGTGGTTTCCTGGTTTTGATCTTCCCTGTGAGGGGCTCTGGGTAAAAGATGCACAGGGCTCTGCACTACTTTTGCAGCTTCCAGGATCTATCATTTCCAAACAAACATTTCTAAAAAAAAAAGTGTGTAGGACTGGGGAGGTAGCTCAATGGTAGAGCTCTGGCCTAGCAGGTATGAGGTCCTGGGTTCCATCCTCAGCTCTGCAGAATGGTGATGGTGGTGGTGGTAGTGATGATGGTGGTGGTAGTGATGATGATGGTGATGATGCAGCCCACAGGCCTAGTGTGGCACTAGGGAAGGCTGGGGCCTTGGCTTCCCAGGGCCTCGCCCTTCCCTTTTGCTTGACAATCTCAGACACACAGGGGCCCCTCACTCCGGGATAAAATCCGCTCTGGGAGCCCTGGCTCCACTGCAGCCACCCTCCCCAGGGATAAGGACCTCTGAGCTTCCTGCAAATGGGGTGCAGCCAGGCTTGGCTGGGTCCTGCCTGACCACCCCGTCCCCGCAGACGTGCCCATCGAGAGCCTGCGCCTGCGCTTCGCCCTGCTCCAGTCCCTCAACACCACGCTGGAGACCTTCTTCCTGCCCCTGGTGGAGCTGCGCCAGACACCCATGTACGCTCACAGCATCGCAGCCCTGCTGAAGGAGGCCAAAGGTCAGTGCCTGGCCTGGCAGGAAGAGGGGAGACCCCTGCCAAGGTCGTGCCAGTGAGCAGGCCTCCCCTGCAGCACCAGGACCCTGAGAGAAACCAGTTAGGAACGTATCTTGTGCTGTGAAACGACTAAACTTATTTGTAAAGTTTCCAAAGTATTTAGAAGCATAAGAAGTTAAAGGTGGGTCTGCATGTCTGCCCCACGCCCTGGAAGTAACTGGGCTCACGGATGAGCTATCCCCTTTCCATATGTCAGTGCGCATGCGCACATGCAGCCTTCAGTCTTCTTTTTTTCAGTCAAAACTGGGTATGAGTTTGGACCTTTGTTTGGCACCTCTCACCTGTCTGGTGGTGTCTGCGAGCTGAGTGTTGCCTGGCGTGACAGTGACAGGGCCAGAGTGCTTAGATTTGGATAGGTGCTAACAGATGGCCCCTCGGAGTCAGGACTGCTTTCATTTGCCCCGAGCAGCCCTGACTGGAGCAAACCAGAGGGACAGAGTGGCCTCTGCTGACCCAAGGTGACTGGAAGGGAAGGACAGCGGCCGCATCCACCCTCTCCATGTTCTCTGCAGGGCTGATCTTTTATGACACGAAGGTGACCGTGATGAATCGAGTACTGAACGCCACCGTGCAGAGGACAGCTGACCATGCAGCTCCCGAGATCACTTTGGACCCACTGGAAATTGTGGGAGGTGGGGTGGCCCCGGAGGCCAAAAGTCCCAAACTAGCAGGGCCTTAGGGTTCCCCAAGCACAGCCGAGGCTGTAGAAGGGAGTCCTGGGCTGCTGCGGTAGTGCTCACGTGTCCCGTGGGTGACATCTGGAGCTCGGCCTTCCAGGGCAGGAGCAGAAAGTGCTTGGCCCTTGGGGCCGCGCCTGGTGCAGGAGGGTGCAGGGTCCTGAACCGCACCACGCCTGCTAAACCCCATCTTCTGACCAGGAGAGGTGGGCATGGGGTGGTGATCAGGAGCTGCGCTGCAGGGCCGTGAAGAGGAGCAGGGGGAACCTGTGTGCTGAGGTGCAAGAGCTTGGAAGATGGCAGAACTGAGGGGAGACAGCGGGGCCAGAGCATATGAGAGTGGGCCAGGCTGGGCCTGCGTCCATCCCGAAGAGAAAGGGCAGGGGTGACCCGCTCCTCTCACTTCCAGGGGAAATCAGAGCTTCTGAAAACTCCTACTTCTGCCAGGCTGCCAGGCAGCTGGCCTCTGTGCCATCCTCCCAGCTCTGCGTCAAGTTGGCCAGTGGCGGCGACCCCACCTACGCCTTCAACATCCGCTTCACCGGGGAAGAGGTGCACGGCACAAGTAAGCCGCCCCCTGGGAGGGAGTGGGGCTTCGCTGCGAAGGCTCCCGGGGGACTTCGAGAGCCCCTGATGTTGGGTAAAGGCCCCTCCTCGTCACCTGCCACCTGCCTGGCAGCATCCAGTGCCTAGTCGTGAGCAACCAGGGCATCCAGACTAGCACCACCCACTCTCACTGTCCGTACAGTCCCTGCACTGGCCTGGGGACTGTGCCCTGCTCAGAGCCACCCTTCTCGCTGGTGGCCAGCAGAGGAACCCTTGGCTTTTTTCTTCAGTCAGAACCCGAGTGCCCCAGACGAGGATGCCACTGGTGCCATTGCCCTCTGCAGACGCCCCTGGTGCCATGTGGGCATGTTTAGCCCAGACAGGAACTGCCCCCTGCTCTGCCCCACTTCACCTCTGGTCTGCTTCGTGGGGACAGTGTTGGCAGCAGCAGCCTCCCAGGCAGGACAAAGCACCTTCTGGGCAGACACAGGCCTTGCCAGCTGCAGCTGAATCACCCAGAACACACCAGACCCTCAGCCCCGAGGTCCACACCTTTGTTGCTCAGAGCACCGAAGGCTCGGGCTGAGCCCTGGGCCTGCACGACTTCCTGACCCTGGGTCGATGACAAGGCAGCTCACAGGGAGGCTGGGGGCCAGCAACAAAGGAGGCACTCTGCAAGAAAACCAGACTTTGGCTGCGGCAGCTGCAGAGGGGTCAGAAACCAGCAGGCAGGCTGCTGGGAGAGGTGTCCCCACCCGGGACTAGGGTCAGCACCATGAGGTTCCTGCCGTTTGAGACCGAGGGTGACTAAGCCTCAACAAAGTGCTGTCCCTTGGGTCACCCAAGTAGTAAGCAGGGCAGGACTTGACCTCAGTCTCCGGGTCCTAGGCCAGTTTTTTTTCTGCCGTGCCATAGCTCCAGGTGGTTAGCAAACCGGTTGCCCTTCCCAGTCCCAGGGGCCAGATGGGGAGGGAGTATGCCACCTGGGTACCTCCATGTGCAATAGTCCCAATGCTGATGAACCCATCTGTCCTGCAGGTGGCTCTTTCCGCCACTTCCTGTGGCAAGTGTGTAAAGAGCTGCAGAGCTCCTCGCTGTCGCTGCTGCTGCTGTGCCCCAGCTCAGCTGTCAACAAGAATAAGGTGAGGCCAGGGCAGTGGCTTGGGCATGCCCTAGCGGCCCTCGCCCTTCCCCAGAGCTTTCAGTCTGCGCGGGCACATCCCCAGGGTGCTTCCTTTCTGCCGGCCATTCGCCCCGGGACACGCACTTACAGCCACCCTGGCCTCCACTCGCAGGGCAAGTACATCCTGACGCCCAGCCCCATCACCTACGGCGAGGAGCAGCTGCTGCACTTCCTGGGCCAGCTGCTGGGCATCGCCATGCGGGCAGACGTCCCTCTGCCCCTGGACCTCCTGCCCTCCTTCTGGAAGACTCTGGTGGGGGAGCCCCTTGACCCTGACCAGGACCTAGAGGAGGCAGACATTCTCACCTTCAACTACATCAAGAAATTTGAGAGTGTAAGTGAAGCCACGTGTGTTCCAGGGGCACCAGGGCCACTTCACTCAGGCTCATGCAGACTGAGCCACCAAGGAGCAGCATCGGGTCCTCTGGGAAGGCATGTCTGAGGGGGACAAAAGCTCCTGGTGTTTCTCCCTGCTGACAGAAATGGGAAGAGCAGAGGTAGGGAGAAGCCACCACAGGCAGGGTGGTCCACCTGTCAGAACTCTAGCATGGGACTGTCGGGATGGCCTGGAGGTCTTGGGAATAGAATTCTTTCTCCCTGTCCTTGTGCATGCTGGGAGACGTGCAGTGTCGGGCCAGCACCCTCCTGGAGGAAGGGGCAGTTGGTGCCCAGGCTGTTGGCTCAGGTCCCCCATTCATTCTGCAGAATCACTGTGGCCCTACAGGGGCAGCCCTGGGCCTGCTGACCCAGGGAGCTTCCAGACGGCTCCCCACTCTGGGTGACAGTGACGTGGCTGGCCCAGGCCTTTCCCACTGGCTGGAAGCACAGCCACCAGGGAGCCCAGGTCTGTCCAGCTCTGGAGCCTGAGTTTCTGAGCACCCCACACCCGCCGCAGCCTAGAAAATGAACTGTCTGGTCAGAGAGCAAGCAGCCTCAGGGCCAGCTCTCCTGCAAGGCCACCCCCACGGGGCCCCAGGTGAAGGAGGTGTCAGCTGATTCTGCCCCAATGGGCCACTGTGGCACCTCATCACCAGGGTGCCTCAAGCTGTCCCCTTGGCTAAGGGGACGCTGGCGGGCACCAGCATAAGAGCGCATCACAGCGGGATCCCAGGTGTCAGGCTGCTCCTGAGTGGAAACGGAGGTGAAGCAGGGCTCATGAGTCCCAGGTGCTGCTCTGAGGAGTGCGGCTCTCAGGGTGGCAGCAGGGGCTAGGACAGGTGGAGGTGCAAGATGGTGTCCAGGCTCTGACTGAAGGACAGCAAGGCCACAGAGGGTGCACTCTCAGCTGCTGGCACTAGGTGCTGCCACCGTGAAGGCTCCGGCTGAGGATGGGGCCAGGCCCTAACCCTCACCCCCACTGTCACTGTCCTGAGCTGCAGGGTTGCTGTCCTTAGGCCAGACCCTGCCATCTCCCCAGCAGCCCAGGACATACACTCTGTTCTGATGTGCCAGATGGAGAAGAGGAGTCGCCTGTACACCTCCCACAAATAGAATGAATCAAGGCTCTCTGGTGGCAGGTGACAGAATCCCATTTAAAAGCATTGTTTTAGAAAAGTAATGCACACACCTATAATCCCTGCACTCAGGACTGGAGGCTGAGACAGGAGGATCACTGTGAGTTCAGGGCCAGCCTGAGCTACACAGTGAGTTTAAGACCGACTTGAACTATATAGCGAGACCCTGTCTCAAAAAGCCAAAAAAAGAAAAAAGAAAACATAGATATAGGTGTGGCCCCCAGGCAAGGCTGAATGCCGTCCCACAGATCAGTGAGGAGACGGAGCTGGAGGCCCTGTGCGCTGAGATCGCCTCCCAGCACCTGGCCATCGAGAGCCCTGAGGGGCCCAACAAGCCCTGCTGCAGGTTCACGTACCTGACCATGACGGGCGAGGAGGTGGAGCTGTGCAGCCGTGGCCGGCACATCCCTGTAGCGTGAGTGCTGCGGGGGAACAGGAGGGACTCGAGCCGCGGCTTTCACCAGGGGAGGGACATGGGGCGGCCCGGTGGGTACCAGGAAAGGTGGCTTCAGCTACAGGCCTTTCTTGAGGCAACAGCAGTGCTGGGGGAGGGGAGGTAGCCTTCAGTTGTCCCTCGCCTGGCCCCTGTCCTGGCAGGTGGGAAAACAAGGACATCTATGCGGCGGCCATCCGGAGCCTGCGGCTGAGGGAGCTGCAGAACACGGAGTGTGTGACAGCCGTGCGGGCCGGCCTGGGCTCCATCATCCCCCTGCAGCTGCTCACCACGCTCAGCCCGCTGGAGATGGAGCTGCGCACCTGCGGCCTCCCGTGCATCAACCTCGAGTTCCTGAAGGTAGGCAGCACCCAGCCCACCCGGGCCCCAAGGGCCGGCACCACAGCAGCCTCGCTCAGCACAGGTCCTCACCATGGCCCTGGCACTGCCCTGTGCTCTCGGCCTCCACACCGCAGCCTCCCTAGACAAGCCCAGCCTGCAGATCCAGGGCTGGGCCTCATTGCTGGCCCTGCTGGGCTCACACGGGCCTCTCCTCTCCAGGCCCACACCATGTACCAGGTGGGGCTCATGGAGACGGACCAGCACATCGAGTTCTTCTGGGGCGCCCTAGAGACGTTCACCCAGGAGGAGCTGTGCAAGTTCATCAAGTTCGCCTGCAACCAGGAGCGCATCCCATTTACCTGCCCCTGCAAAGATGGGGGCCTTGACACGGCCCACGTGCCCCCGTACCCCATGAAGATCGCCCCCCCAGATGGCACAGCAGGTACTGGCCTCTGCAGGCACTGCATGAGGGAGATCAAAGAACAGGAACCTACACCAAACCCAGTACAAATGAGGGGTCGGGGGTTGGGGATTTAGTTCAGTGGCACCACACCTGCCTCCCAAGCACAAGGTCCTGAGTTTGATCCCGGGGTGGGGGGGAGCACTGGGCTGGATGGGGACCAGAGGACGGTGGCACCCTGGTAATCCAGGCCTGAAGTCACATATCTTCCAGTAATTTAAGAGGTGAAATCTGTAATTTTTTAAATCTATTTAAAAAAAATTTTTTTGATGTACCAAGGAGGCCTTGGACCTGCTAGGCACGTGTTCTGCCACTGAGCCACATCCTCAGCCCTTAAGCACCTATCTTTAAATGTAGAAAAAGAAAACTTTGCTAACCAAACAAACCTGTCTGCAGCCAGACTCCTAAGCCCCTGCCCGTCCCACAGCTCTGCCACCCCGCGGCTGCAGGCCCTGACCTCTTAACACTAGCCCGGGCCATTTCACAGGTTCCCCAGACTCTCGCTACATCCGCGTGGAGACCTGCATGTTCATGATCAAGCTTCCCCAGTATTCCTCCCTGGAGATCATGCTGGAGAGACTTCGCTGTGCCATCCACTACCGGGAGGACCCCCTGAGTGGCTGACAGGAGAGCCTGAGAGCTAGGCTGTCACCGAGGCACCTGTTCTGCTGGCCTGGGAAGCCGGCCACCGTGGGCACATCCCTCCAGCGCTCTGAGGGAGGAGTCGGCAACATTTGCTTTTCCCAACTTTGTCCGCGTCCCAGGGTCCCCTGGAAGACTTACCCTTTTGTATTTGTATGTTTTGTGATGGGCTGGTTCTTTTGCTGCCTGTTTGTGGTATATTTGTAGGATAGTTTTGTTCCCAGTTTGTGTCTCATTTGATCTTGGACAGTGTCCCTCATAGGTACCAGATTCTGACACCACCAGCCCCCAGCTGGCTCATCGAACCACCAGGGCCACATAACGTCAGCCCTGCCCCCCGTCCTCGAGCTGGTGTTTCTCCTGGGGGCAGCTCCTGCCAGGCTCCTCCCTGAAGTGGCTGGGCCAGTGCCCAAACTTGTGCAGGACATGCAGGAGCTTTCGCTGTCCATCTCCCTGAGGACTTGCCCACGGGGCGACCCTGCCCCTCCCGCAGACAGCCCTCTCTACTGCCCGCATCCTCTGGGCCCCTAGTCCGAGTGTCCCCAAGGACGGGGTCACTCCTGGCCTTAGTCCATGGAGAGAGGCTGGCTGTGTCCCAGCGGCCAGAGAGGGTGGAGCTGGAGGCACTGTGCTCGGTGAGGCCTTCTCTAAAGCGGATGGAGAGGAAAGCACAGGACCCAGGCCCACCCACTCGTGTGCTCAGCAGGGCCTTTCCTCCCACGCTGTGTGAGAGGAGGGGGGCTGCTCCACGGCCATGTAACAAAGCGGCTGAGTGCTCTGCTCCGAGGCTCAGAGCGTCCCGTCCACGGAGACCCCAGGGCCCCTCGGCCCCCGCCTGGCCCCCCGTGACTCTCGTGCCCCCAGTTACATGTGTGTGCCAGGGTTGAGCCACCTCCAGGCTCACCCACTGCCCAGTACATTTGTGTCCCAAATGAGTCCTTGTCCAGTGGTACTTTGTTGAAGAGCAGCACATGCCATCTTGTTGGACACTGTCGTTTCGGGCCTTGCCAGTTCCCCCGAACTGCGGCGCTGTATTTACCGTACACTTTGCACACGTAAGTCCTGAGTGACACTGTCCGCAAGGCTGAGTGGGAGAACGCGCTCCTCCTGCAGCCTGGCCACCTTGGTATGTGGCCGTTAGTCAGAGCGCAGCCGTCTCCCCGTACGCTTAGGAAATGCACTGAGGACCGCTGCAGAGGTTCCCAGACCTGAGAGCGAGACAGACCTAGGTTGATGGTCACCATCCGTCACGTGGTGCTGGAGTCACCTGCAGGCAAGCGCCAGAAGCAAGTCCCCTCCTCTGAAAGGAAGATGGTCACGGCTGCTTCCCCGGGGCCACAGCCCCCTTGATGGGGGTCACGTCAGGACTGTGTTCCTGAAAACCAGGATCCTCTGATTCCTTTTGTGCATAATGAAAGAGCCTTTGAATTCACTGTAAGTGGTTTTCCTCCCTGTATCCTTAAATTCCTGGTTCCCGAAAACCCTCAACCTGTGAATGGACTTGGGATTCTGTGGGCCACCTCCCCGAGGGGTTCATGAAGCTTTGGTGGGCCATCATGTGATAGCGACAGCTGTGAGTGAGATGCGGTATCTGCTGCTAGCTCAGCTGCTCCTCCCAGAGAGCACAGCAAGGTCCAGACAGATCCAAACTTGGCCCTAAAAAGTGTGTGCTGTAAAGTTACTTGATGTATATTTATTATAATTATTTATGGTTGCATTTAACAGACTTTTCATTCAATCTGATGCTATTTACACCATGTTGTGTAAAGAAAGCTCACTACAGGACAAAAGTCACACCAATAAATAACCTTCATCTAATTCCAACTGACCCTCCAAGTGTGTGATCATCTGCCCCTGCTGAGAAGCCCAAAGGCTGACCCTGGATGACTCTGACACTTGAGTGCCGCCAAGTGGCTGGGAATTAAAATGTTTCTAATTATCACCATCTCTGCACTTGATGTGGTTCTTGCTCCCTAAGCTCATCTGTCTGGCCTGGCCCGGCCCTGCCCAGCTGGGCCCAGCCCCACGTCCCTCCTCCAGGAGTGGCTGTGTGGGGCACAGGCAGGAAAGAGGGAAGGGTGGGGAAGCCTGCTGTCTATACTGGGAGGACCAACTCGGTTCTCCCTGCCATGATTACCTCTCCTGCTCAGCTGCAATCCGCACGTGACCACTTCCTACTCATTCTCTCCTTTTTACCCATGAATCTAATAAAGGCTGCGGTGTCCTGAATGTCTTGTGAGGGACAGCAGCTGCACATCCTCCTGCCGGCTGCTCACAGGTGGCAAGAGGGGCCACAGGTGCAAGAAGCCCACAGCTCGGAGACATCGCAGTTGGGAGCCACACACACAGCTTGTGGCAATGTATCCTACAGCTGCCATCATCTACCACATTCCTGACACCAGCAACTCCATTCCTAGTACAAACCCAACAGAAACATCTACCCATGAGCCACGTGAGCAGAGCTACCCACAGCTCAACAAAGTGCGCCACAGAACAGGATGACAAACAGCCACTACTGCTGCACATGCCAACACTGTCATCGAAGATGCCAGACCACTGAGACAGGCTGGGCACTGGCATGGTAGGGCAGAGGGCCGGCTGCCTCGGGGCGAGACTGACTGGGAGGAAGCAGGAAGGCTGCTGTGTCTTAGTAATGTTTCCCGACCTGGGTGGTGGTGACAGGTGTGTTCACACTGAGCTGCACACTTCCATGCACATATTACTCTGTTCAGAAGACTTAAGTACACCATGAGGAAATCAGTAACATGTTCTATCTTTATGGAGCCAAATCTAATTTTAATCCACAGTTTCTGAGTGAAGACTGCGGATGGAAAAACAATGTAAGCAGCACATGGTGGCACACTTGTAATTCCAGCATTCTGGGAAGCTGAGGCAGGAGGATCATAAGTCGGAGCCTAGTCTAGGCAACTTACCTGGTGAGACCCTGTCTCAAAAAGACCTGGAAATGTAGCTGAGTGTGAAGGCCCTGTTCAATCACTAGTGGAACTAAAAAACCTAGTCAAAAATATACCGTAATAGGAAGCAAGGTTATTTGCAACCTCTTTAAATTAAAAAAAAATTTAAAGGGAACAATCTGAGGCCCCACGTGCCAAGAAAAAAGGAATAGAAGTTCATTTTAGAAGCCATTAAAATTTAAGATCAGAATTTATATTATGGAGAAAAACCTGACAAGCTCACAATTCCATCCTCCAGACCCTTGGGGAGGGGAAGATGAGACTGAAAATGGGGACAAAATTAGTCTACAGCACCAGAACACCCCAGCCCCACTCCAGGTGTGCACAGCAGACCTTTCTCCGAACTAAGCCTGAGAAGACTTGCGGGTGCTGACGAGGACAAAACGCGCCAGCTCACTGCCCTCCACACACAGCCAAGAAGCATCAATGGGCTGAGGGAGTGTCTGCAGCAGAAAATGCCGAAACTCCCGGGAATTGAAAATGCAGAGAAGATATCCAAAACACCACTATGCCACAGAAGTACAAGAAAAAGTATTACTGGGGAATGGTGGCACATACCTGCAATCTCAGCATGCTGGGAGGCTGAGGCAAGAGGGTCACAAGTCCAAGCTCAGCCTGGCCAAATGTGGTAACTTAGCTGTCTCAAAAAATAAAAAGGATTGGGGATATAGCTCATTGTGAAGGTGCTGGGTTCAATCCCTAGGAATGAAAAAAAAAGAAAAAGAAAAAACAAGAGAGAAAGAGTATTTTAAAGGCACCCACCAGGCATGGTTGCAAACACCTGTGATCCCAGCACTCGGGAGGCTGAGGCAGGAGAATCCTGAGTTTGAGGGCAGCCTGAACTACATAGGGAGACCCTGTCTCAATCAATCAACTAATCAATCAATAGCACCCCTCTTAACTCCAGCCCAGGCAACTGCATGACTTAGTGAGACCCTGTTTCAAAAAAGTAAAAAGGGCTTGGGATATAGCTCAGTGCAAATGCCTCTTGTCACTGGGAGGAATGCAAACGTGAAGACAGTGGATCAACATTAAGCTATCAAAAGGAAAAAGGCTATCAACTTAGAGCTCTGTATTTAACAAAAATACTTTTCAAACACTGTGCAGAGGAGAGGCAAATCTGCTGGACAAATGAGACTTGTTGGTGGGGTATGGTTAACAGGTACTGACCTTTTCTTTTGAATAAAAATTCAGGAAGTAGAAGTGATGGCTGCATGCTGGTGAATAATGTACTTAGTGTCACTGTAGTCTAAACCCTAAAATGACTAAAATGTTAGATTTCATATTTTATGTATTTTACCCCAATTTTTAAAAAGTGACAGCCAGGCACAACAGTGAACTCCTATAGTCCCAGGCAGAAGGATTGCTTGAGTGGGTGGGCAATTAAAACAGAAAAAAAAGACATTAAAAACCAGAAACCAGGCCGGGGATGTAGCTCAGTGGCACCGAGTCTGCCTGGTAAGTGCAAGGTCCTGAGTTCGATCCCCAGTACCAAAAAAAAACCCCCAAAAATAAAAACTGATCACTAGCTCACCTGTACTACAATAAAACTACGGAAGTCCTTCAAGCAGAATGAAAAGTATACTAGATGGATGATCTGGAAACATGGCAGAGTACCAGAAGAAACTACAAGCAGTCAACTCTTAGGAAGGGATTTTAGGAGAAAACAATTTTATCTTTAACTTTATAGCTGTATTTGACTTAGTTATATATAATACTTAAAAAAAAATTTTTTTTGGTACCAGGGATCAAACTCAGGACCTTGTGCTGGCAAGGCAGGCAGCGGCGCCACTGAGCTACATCCCCAGCCCTAAAAATATTACTTTTAAAAGTATATCCATTTCAAAACATTAGAAATCATATTTTACTAAGAAATGTAAAACCAACCAGCCCCGTGTTATTCACCAGCAACTACTCCAACACAGGGAGACAGGAGTTGCACTACTAACTTGCAGGACTCACTATATCCCAAGACAGTGACAGGTGATGGGACTGTTCTCTGGCAGATGGGAGAAGACTGTCACCACTGCCCTGGTCCTCGTCCTACCACCTCTAAGTCCCACAGTCCCTCTGGCTGCTTCCAGCTGAGGCAGGAAGGCCTCCCTGAGCTAAGTGTCCAGTGTCCCCTGACACACGAGGAACCTGGAACCCCATACTATATCCCTTTTCTGGTCTAGCGTCTCAGGATAATTCCTTGCAGAGTTGCGGCCCAAGAAGTAGGGGAACTCTTGCCATCCCCAACAGGGCATTGGGACAAGTGAGCTGCAAATGACATCGGGTCCTAGATGGCGCTGTGGAAAGTGCAAGCCACTTGGGGGAAGAGACGGCCTGCTGTGCCTGACTACTCTCAGGATTAAGACGTCTGGAGACTCTCCATTCGCTGGAGCTGCACAAGCCTCAGTTTCCTCAGAAGTCCAATGGAAACAAGGGTGCTATGCTCAAATGTCCCATGCACCGCAGGCTGGAGCTTCGAGGGCACAGGCACCCTGCAGAAGGCCCTGCTTACCTCCCAACCCAGGCTACTCCTGCCTCTGCTGGCTTCCCTGGGGTCTCCACAGAGAGCTCAGAGAAGGAAGCACAAAACTTAGCTGGACTCCAAGTACAAATTTTATTTCTATTACAAGGAGGTTGATAATAATTATAATAGTAAAATAAAAAGAAGGGAAAGAGGCTCCGCACATTTGGCTATCAGAGGAAGCTCGGGGCTGCGGCCCAGCACGGCCCAGCAGGGACAGGCAGCCCTTACCCTCTCCACAGCGGACAGTGAGGACAAAGGGGCCACAATTCCTACCAAGAGCAGAGAGTGATGCCAAACGACAAGGAAGCAGCTTCAAACACACCCCCAGTCCACACATCCTGGGTCAACTTGTCTGCAAAGGCCTCCTTCCTAGCAGTGCCACCAGCCCGAGCACTTTCACAGAGCTGTTCCACCCACGGGAGGCCCACAGTCTGAAGCAGGCAGGGCAGTGACAGGTCACCCAGACGCCCCACTGAGTGGCCCGCCCCACAGGGAAGTCAATCACTTCACTGGTCGCTGCAGAATTCCAGAACTCTCCTCTCCTTCCACCAGAACCACAAAGCACCAAGAAGCAGTGGTGATGGTATTTCAGAAGGTAGAGCCCCAGTGGGCGGAGAGGCCAGAACTTCTGTAATCACTGCTGCCCAAAGTGGCAGCTAAGGCTGAAACGTGGCTCCCAACCGACTCCCTGCTAACCCTCCCTCAAACCCCAAACTCTCACAACACAATCTCAAAAGACACAGAATGGCCATAACCTAGAAAAAGTTAAAAATGTGGAAAATCTCCCTGCCCAAAGTGCCAGGGAGGTGGGGCCTGACCCATGGCAAGTGCTGCTATGCATAGAAGGTAGGGACCCAGGTGAGGGGTCTCCATAGACACCATTACTCCTCCTCTTCCTCCTCTGCATCCCCAGCTCCCTGCTGCTTCGGGGGCTTGGCCTATTGAAGAACAAAAAACAGAAGTTTCACACAGAAGAAAAAGAACAGTACTCATTCCCTAGAGCCCTGAAGATGTCCAGCCAGAACCAGCACATCCCAGTAACCCCGAGGACCATGAGCCACCCCAGCCATGTGTGAGCATTGTGGGCTCAAGCCCAGGTTACCTTTGCAGTTCTGCTGTGGTAGTCAGTGGCTGCAGGGGTGGCTCGGGAGCTCCTGGCACCTTCGCTCCTACCACTGAAAGAAAGGATGAAAACTGAGAACCCCTTGAGCAAAGGTCCAAAACCTCAGAGGGGATGAAATGCGGCTTTACCAAGGCACACACAGCCCTCCACTAGCAGACAAAACAAAAAACCCATGGACAGCAAAAGAATTCTTTGCAAACAGTGACAATACAGGCAAAATCCAAACTCTTCTACATGGGCTGGGATGTAGCTCAGTGCAAGAACAGGTGCCTTGCATGCATGAAGCCCTGGGTTCTAGCCCCCTTCCCATGGGCCTCAGCCTCATCCAGGCTAAGCTAGTGGGACCAGACCATGTATCCACACTCTCCTCAGGACCCCAAGCTCCATTTCCAAGCCGACTCTCACCTAGCTCCGTATCTCCCTGCAGGTCCCCGGGGGAAAGAGGGCATGAGGTTTTCCGGATACAGGCTGCGCACAGAGTCAATCACTGGAGAAGACCCAGCAGCCAGGGCCCCATTCCGGCTGCTTAGGTTCTGCCCCCGGATATCCTGGCTGTCTGAGTTGTTGAGCTTCAGCACATGAGGAGGGCTGGGCTGGTACCCAGGTCTGGGGGCAGAGGTGGATTTTGACAGTCGGTTACAGCTGGTTGTCATATTATTAATGGGTCTGCTGGGGGGCAGAGGGTAGGTAGGTCCTTTAGCTGCTTCCTGCTTGATAGCATCCATGTAATCAGAAGACAGGTCTCCTGGAAAGAGAAAACAGTAACAGCTTTAGGGAAAAATTTGCTCTTGCTATTAGTGCTGGATTCAGGGAAGGAAGGGACAAAAAAGTTCTGGACACAAGACAACTATAGTACTCACTCCAAAATTAAGCTACTGGTGGCCATAACCCCAGAGAGAATTGAGAACACTTTGTCTCCACTGTACATTAATTACCTGAGTCCTCAAATACAGCCTCCTAATTGTTCAGCAACAGTGTGCAAGTGAACCTTGAAATAGTTTCTAGTTGCCTTTGTAATTTTTTAAAACAGTATACTTGTCTAGTCATGATGCTCATTAATAATAATAAAGTGCACAGAAGAAGGCCGACAGCATATAACCACTGACTATAAGTGTGTCACACTGTTGCCCTTAAAGCCATTACCACCTAAATCTACACTCAGCAGCTCAGTCTAATGTGAGACCTCAAGCAGGCTGCAGGAGTTCCCAGAGACCCTAGTATGCTTGGTAACCTGAGATGCAGGGCCCCCACTGGTGTAGGTGAGCAAGGGGAAAGTGGACTGCAGCCCTGGCTCATACCCTGGTGTCTGACACGCCTCCTGGGCAGCTCTGGGGAGGTCTCGTGAGGCTGGGAATCCTGTCGAGGAATCTCCCCCATCATGTGGTTGGCTGTGGCTGGACGTTGGTCACACTGGTCCTAAACAAGAAAAACTAGAATCAATACCTCAGAACCGAGAGTGGTGAAAGGAAAGGGAAGAAAAGCAAATGGGTTGATCACAGCCCATCTGGAAGGAGACTCTGACAATCACCAAGAAAGCCCTGGGGACCCCTGGAATGGAGAAGCCAAGCACCTGAGGCACTGGCAGAAGCCCTCTCTGATCTGGCCAGAGAGGAAGGAAGGGCTGGCCCCGGACGCCCAGTAAAGCACATCTGCATTCTGACCACAGTAGGTCTGTGCTGGCTTGTTCCACAGCCTCCTCCTCCTCCTTGCAGGCAAACAGCAGTTATTGGTCTACTTGATCCAAAAGCAAAAGTGTTTAAGGAAATGAAATGTATGGATATTCTAACATCAATGAAGGAACTTGTATCTTTTTTTTTTTTTTTTGGTACCAGGGATCGAACTCGGAACCTTGCGCTTTCGAGGCAGGTGCCAGAACCACTGAGCTAAATCCCTGGCTGAAACTTGTATCTTTAGTAGCTCCTCATAACAAGATTAGGCAGAAAGTGTATTTTCCACTAAGAGATGAGAACCCAACATTGGAAAAGCTGAAAAACTCCTTCAGACTGTCTAGTCCAACTGTCTCATTTATAGTTCTCCCCAGGAAGAGGAAACAGAATCTACCCAAGGCTAATCAGAGGGCAAAGGCCGAAGTGGACCTCCAGGTCTCCTAAAATCCAAGTGTCAAATGACACCACATGGTAAGAATCTGCCTGGGCAAAAACAGAATGCATCAGTGGCCTCAGGGAAACTCTCATCTAAACCCATCTGGCAAGGCCTCTGCACCTGCTCAAATGGGAGTCCTGGCTCTTGGATCCTTAACTACTGACATGGTGGTGTCAGATGCTAGAAGGCAGAGCAAGTCTCAGGCCTGAAGCACTGTGTACCTCAAGTAGTTGGTTTGGGCCAAGGATTTAGCTCAGTGGTTTCGCCGCCTGCTGCGCAAGCGCAAGGACCCGAGTTCGATCCCCGGTACCAAAAAAAAAAAAAAAAATCAAGGAGTTGGTTCTCAGGACAAGGCATGGCCACAAGCCATGTGTGTGGACTCCCAGTCAGCAACCTAAAAGCTAAAATAGCACTCTTGGCTTGGGAAGCCTCAATTTCACTCACAGATCAGCACGGAGGGGCCAGGTAGATGACTCCTCCATGGGACCTTACCTGATGATGGAATAGCACCTCTTCTTCCAGCTGCACCCCACAGAATTCACATGGGATGATGACACTGTCTTCCACAGGGGGTGAGTCACTCAGGCCCATCAAAGAGTCCAACTGATTACTTGTAGCCCGCTCCAGAAAGCTCTGGAAGATGACATCAGGATCCTCCACCCGCCTCAGGGGAGTACTGAGCAATGGTAAGGCACGTGAAGGGTTACAGCTTGTCTGTTTAAAAAAATGTTTTAAAAAAATCAGACATTAAGGAAAAAAACTACATTCCTAAAACATTTCCCACAAGCATGATTTTTTTTGGAGAGGATTTTTCTGTTTGTTTTGTTGGTACCAGGGATTGAACTCAGGACCCTGCACTTGCAAGGCAGGCGTGGCACCACTGAGCTAAATCCTCGGCCCAAGAGGATCTTGCCATGTAGATCTGGCAAGCTGGTCTCAAACTCATGATACTCCTGCCTCAGCTTTCTGAGTGCTGAAATTATACAGGCATGCACCACCACATCAGGCAACAAAACTTTCCTAATACTTAATACTGTTGTGTAGAGAGACTGAAAGAGAATAAAGTAAATAGAACATTCACTTTACTTTTAAACATTTCTGTTATTTTAATTTTTTCCTGCTTATGTGATTATTGTGTTTTTTTTTTTTGAACAGGGTCTCATTATGTAGTCCAGGCTGGCCTTGAATTCACTATGTAGCCCAGGATAGCCTTGAATTTGCACCAATCCTCCTGCCTTAGCCTCCCATGTGCTGGTATTACAGGTGTGCACCACCACGCCTGGCCATGATTATTCTTTTTAAAAGAGTCAAGATTCTTCCTCAACCCAGGACTGCAAAAAAATAAAAGCCTTCCTACTGCCACCCAGTAAAAGAGGGGCCCAAATCCAAATATTCTTCATTATCTTTGTTAAATATTCTTATATGGCTCCCAAAACAAAAATTAGAGGTATTTGAATAGCACATCATTCCATTTATGGGAAAAAGGTATGTTCCACCATCTAAAGCACAAGGACTACTTAGTAGTCTTAGAAATGCCAGATGAGGGCCAGGGATTTAGCTCAGTGGTTCCCGTGCCTGCCTTGCAAGCGCAAGGTCCCGAGTTCGATTCTCAGTAACAAAAAAAAAAAAAAGATTCATTCTGGTGGTCCCTTATTTGGGCCGGGGATTTAGCTCAGTGGTTTGGCCACTTGCCTTGCAAGCACAAGGACCTGAGTTCGATCCCCGGTACCAAAAAAAAAAAGAAAGAAAGAAATGCCAGATGAAGCTAGGTATGGTAGCATAAGGCTGTAATCCTAGCACTTGGGAGGCTGCAGCAGGAGGATCGTCATGAGTTTGAGGCCAGTCTGACATGAGGTCTAGTGAGTTCAAGACCAGTTTGAATCACATAGAAAAACCTTCCCAGTCCCAAAAAAAAGACAAGGCCAAACCAAAAAGGACAGATCAAAGACTGAAGGGAACAAGTGGTTCCTTCCACTAGGTAAATCTTCAAACATATAACTATCCTCTAATCATTCAAAAACTATCTGATACCTTCCATATTCCAGGTACTGAGAGATTTAGAAACTAAGAAAAACCAGAACCTACCCCCAAGAACTCAGCCCAAGGAGGTGGACTACCAGGGGATCAGGAGACCAACTCCCAGGGTGACAGGCCATTAGAGAAGCGGCACACAGGTGGAACCCTGACCTAACCTTCAGAGGTCCCTGAGGACAATTTCCTGAAAGTCAACCCCAAGCCCAGCCAAGGGTCAGGGGTCTGTGTAGATGGGTGTGTTGAGCAAGTACTGGTAGAAGGCCATACCCTTCCAGGCAGAGAAAGTAATAGGCAGAAAAGATTGTTAAACCTTCCAGGGACCTAGAAGGATTTCAATACAGCTCTAATAATTCAAAGTATGGCATGAGATGAGACCAGATTAAAAAATGGTCAATAGAGGGCCAGGGATTTAGCTCAGTGGCACTGCACCTGCTTCACAAGCATAAGGTCCTAAGTTTGATCCCCGGTACCAAAAAGAAAAAAAAAATTGCTCAAGACCTCATATTGCCCCAAATACCACATATGGCCTATTCACATTCCTGAAGCCCATAGTTGCTGGCCATTGTGCTCACTTCAGCAGCACAGATACACAATTGCTGGGCATAGTGGCGCACACCTGTAATCCCAGCTCTTGGAAGGCTGAGGCAGGAGGATTCCCTTGAGTTCCAGGCCAGCCTGGACTACAAAGCAGGACCCTGTCACAAAAAAAAAAACAAGGGCCGGAGATTTAGCTCAGTGGCACTGAGCCTGCCTCACAAGCGCAAAGTTCTGAGTTGGATCCCCAGTACTGGAAAAAAAAAAAAAAAACAAACCAAAAAGCAAAAAGCCCACAGTTAATTCTCAACACACCTGATGGTCAATCAGCAGTTCCTCTGGGTAGAGTTCCTCACAAAACTCACAAGGCAACATGGTCTCATCAGCTGTACCTAGGTAGTAGGTCACATGGTCAGACTCAAAAGGAACCAAAACAACTTGTTTCAACCTTTTATTCCCCTTCTGGAGTTTTATAGAACAGTTTGATTTTGGAGCCAGGCATGGTGGCACACATCTATAATCCCAGCACTCTAGGAGACTGACACAGGAGGATCACAAGTTTGAGCCCACCCTGGCCAATTTAACTTAGCAAGACCCTGTCTCAAAATAAAAAAACAAATTAAAGGGCTGGGGATTTAGTTCAGTGGTTCCACTGCCTGCCTCGAAAGCACAAGGTCCTGACTTCGATCCCTGGTACAAAAAAAAAAAAAAAAGACCAGGCGTAGTGGCACCTATCTGTCCGTAACCCCAGCACTCAGGAGGCTGACATAGGAGGATTGCCATGAGTTTGAGGCCAGCCTGGACTACACAGTGAGTTCAAGGCCAGCCTAAACTACATAGCAAGACCCTGTTTCAGAAAAGGAAAAAAAAGGATAGAAATAAGAAAATTCACCAACTTATTATAACCTGACTCAGGCAAAAAACATTAATGAATACCAAAATGGCTAGATAAGACTGCGCAAATATTCCATACCCCAACAACCTCAAAATACTCCACAACAAGCTATTACAAAGAGAAAAACTACCTATATAATAGGGACATCTGAAAGACACTCTTATTCACACCTCAGTAAATAATGAGACAAGCTTCTGTGTCAAGAAAGACAAAGAACCACCAATAAGCATTCTTGACAAAACTATAATCCGAATCTAAACACAAGAAAACAATCAGATAAATCTAAATTGAAGAAAAAATATTTTGCAAAAAACTAATCTGGACTCTTTTTAAAGTACCAATGTTCTAAAAGATAAAGATTAAAAACAAAACAACTCTAAAGGACTTAATATTGAAGTAGAGAATTTACATTAAATTTCCTGAGAGGTACATTTATTGTGTTTACACAGAAAAATACTCTTGAGAGACACATGAGAGGGTGTTTGAGGGGAGGGGGGAAAATGGGAAAAAAGAGAATTGATGAAGTTTTTGTTTTTTTTTTTTGTATCAGGGATCGAACTCGGGTCCTTTCACTTGCATAACAGGCAGCAAAACCACTGAGCTAAATCCCCGGCCCAGTGAAGTATTTAAGTATAAAATGTCCTATGACTTACTCTCAAATAGCTCAGGGAAAATGCCATAGAAAGGTAAATGTGGTATTAAATTGGTGAGCATAGACTTAGATATGTGAATCTGCACTCCACTGTTCTTTTTTTCAGATAAGCTCTCACTATCTTGCCCAGCTGACCTCGGACCTGCCATCCCCACCTCAGGTTCCTGAGCAGTTGGGATTAAAGACAAGCACCACCTTGGCTGACTCTACTCTGACAATATTTGAAAATAAATTGGGAAGCTGGAGATTTAGCTCAGGGGTGCTACGGCCTGCCTCGAAAGCACAAGGTCCCGAGTTCGATCCCCAGTACCAAAAAAAAAACAAACAAAAAAAACAAAGGAAAATAGGTTGGAAAAAAAAGAAAGCAAACAAACCAAAACTAATTAAGCAAATTCTATCTCATTAAAATCTTTCATGTTCGTGCAAGTTGTATAAAGTAGGACTAACAAAAATCACAGAGACAGAAGCTAGTGCAGAATAAGCAAACCTACCCTTTATGTCACTCAGAGAACTGGGGCCACCGTGAGACTGCTCTGCCTCACGCACAGCCCTCCAGAAGTCCTGCTGTTCTGCCACACTGGAGGCCTGGCCCTCATTCTGCAGACTTAGGGCCAGCATGAAGTCCAAGTTTGCAGTATCTTCGCCACCCTCTGAGGGGGGCTTTCGGCCTCTGCTCCTTTCCTGCCTTTCTTGTTCTTCAACTGGAAAAAGAAAAATCAGCACTCAAAACACATTAGAGATATTGCCATTCCTCAACTCAAGTCCATGCCTAGCAAAGGTCAAGGTTTAAAATGTACCTCACTCCACTCTGAGCAGTTGACCTCATTCTCATAGGTCTCTGAACATTGTCTGCTAAGAGACCAGGCTCCATTACTATTACTATTTTAATAATATGTTATTAAAAGCAGTATTACTAAGTATAACAATAAGTCCAGCACCATGCCATTTTTCAAGCATGGAGTCAGACCATCTGAATTCAAATATCAACTGTACCATTTACCTACCCTCCTACCATTGTTAGGAGAATTAAATGAGTTAAGGGCCGGGGATTTAGCTCAGGGGTTTCGCTGCCTGCCTCACAAGCGCAAGGTCCCGAGTTTGATCCCTGGTACCAAAAAAACCCAAAGAATTAAATGAGTTAATACATGTAAAGCACTCTGCAAATGCCTGACGTTCATAAGCTGAGAGTCAGCTACCTTTTCTTTGTTTGTTGAGACAGGGTCTCGCTATGTAGTTCTAGCTGGTCTTAAAACTATGTAGCCCAGGCTGGCTCAAACTCAGAACGATCTTCCTGCCTCAGCCTTCCAAGTACTGGGATTACAGGTGTGCACCTCCACACCTGGCAAAAATCAGCTACTTACAATACTGTCATCATTATTATCAACTCTAACTGCAATTCAATAGTAAAATGGTTCTATTATTCCCATTTCATAGAAAATTAGGTATTCTTTCCAACACTAACTTGCTACAGTCAGGTTTTAATAATCAACGTCTATTTGGCTCCAAATCCCTGTTCCCAATTGCCTTGGGACTTTTTAAGAACAGAGTCTCACGACGTAGTTCAGGCTGTCCATGAACTCACTATATATACATCTTAGGCTGGTTTCTAACATGCAATCCTCCTGCCTCAGCTTCCCAAGAGCATGTGCCAACACACTTGGCTGCCCCGGAATTTTGATACTATTTTGTTTCCTAATTCCAAGCACAACTCACACATAGGACTAGAGATTTAGCTCAGTGGTTCTGTCACCTGCTTTGCAAGTGCAAGGTCCTGAGTTTGATCCCCGGTACCAAAAAAAAGAACAAAAACAACTCACACAGATTATTCTGAACTGGAAAATGGGCTGCAATGTTCCTTTGGCTGGTAGTCCTATTGTGGAAAAGGTCTGATTCAAAGTCTCTCAGGGGCCTTCGGGGCAGCCTTGTGGGTGGGTCCAGAGCTTCAATTTGTCTGAGGAGCTGGGATGCAATCCAAATTCCATCTTGACCCCAAGACTCATCATATGCATTAGGAAGTATGGCACCTTCATTCCTCTTTTCCTCCTCCCCTCTACCACAAACTTCAGGGTGAGTCTTTAGATCCTTCACAAGGACATTGCGCCCACAGTTGCTACACAGCTCTGTGCGGGCACCACAATAATCTTCATGTTCCTTCAGTTTGAGAACAGAAAGTTCCAAATCACAGTGCTGGCAGAGAGCAAGCCGCAGAGGACACTCAGTCTCCTACAACACAAGAGTAATGAGGCAGTTAATACACACATCTAGGAGAAACTGGGTTTGTCTGGGTTTTTTTGAGGGGTAGGGGGCTGCAGAGAGGGTTGGTTGTTTTTTTGTTTTGTTTTGTTTTTTTGGTACCAGGGATTGAACTCAGGTCCTTGCACTTGCGAGGCAGGCGGTGGAACCACCGAGCTAAATCCCCAGCCCGAGGGGTGGTTTTTTGAGACAGAGTCTTGCTATGTAGTTCAGGCTGGCTTGGAACTCACTATGTAGCCCAGGCTGGCCTCGAACCTATGATCCTCCTGCCTCAGCCTCCTGAGTGCTGGGACTACAGGTGTGCGCCACCACACCCAGCTGGAAACACGATAAAGTTACAAAGAAGGTCTAGGTAGATGGGGAACAAGGGTGAAAGCAGGTGATTTTTACTTGTATTCTTCTGTATCTTTATTTTGGTCATGACATTTGTCCAGACAGGGATCAAACCCAGGGCCTTGCACATGCTAGGTTAAATGCTCTGCCACCTGGCTAAACCCCAGCCACTCCTTTTGTCCTACAAAATTACATACATGGATTTGCACAATGCACTGAGTTCAATCCCCAGCACCATTAAAAAATATATTATAAGGGCCAGGAATCCAGCTCAGGAGCACTGTAGCCATGTGCCACCACACTCAGCCAAATCAGATTTTTTTTAAAAAAGGTTTTTACAAGAATAGTACCACTGGGCTGGGGATTTAGCTCAGTGGTTTCGCCACCTGCTGCGCAAGCACAAGGACCTGAGTTCAATCCCCAGTACCAAAAGAAAAAAAAAAAGGAATAGTACCCACTGATTTAAATTACTCAAGAGCGAAGGAACAAAGAAGAATTGCCATTCTATACCATACATATAGTAAGCACTGTGTTAACAACCCTAAAAAATGCTAGGAACTTGTAACAGCCAATAAAGTAAAAAGTATTAAAGAAAAACAGCAATTTTTTAAACTCTAGAAAGAATCGGATCTAAAATTGTTATAGCCTGGCTTGTAGGAATGTTAGGGGACATTCTGTATTTGTACATTTATAATAACTGGTATATTGCCATGGGACTCCCAGAAATAGATGAGAGAGAAGCTAGGAGAGGGGACAGTTGATTGGAGGTTGTTCTACAGAGCAGGCAGATGCTGGAGCCAGAGAAATATTCATTGTTATTAATGTGACCTCAATCATACCTAAGTCAGTGAGGCTTAGTAAAATATCAAATACTTAGAGGAGAAATGAAAGTAGAATCCCAACATATTTATGAGATGTTTTTCTCTAGGTTGTGAGTTTTTCTACATTAAATATAAGTTACCTTTTATAATTAAGGATAACTATAAATGAATAAAATTAACTTTTTGGGGGCACAGAGAACAAAATGCACCAATCTGAAAAAGATACCTTGATGACTTTTTCCATATAGTATACAGATTCCTAGATGACCACTATCTAAGTCAGTTTTTTTTTTGGGTACTGGGGATCAAACTCAGGACCTTGCACTTGCAAGGCAGGCACCCAAACCACTGAGCTAAATCCCCGGCCCAATCTAAGTCAGTTTTAACTGGTGAATTAAAACACACTTATGCAATTTTGGCCAGTTTTATCTTAACTAGTGACCACTTGATACATTTTTTTCTCACCAAAGGCTAAGAAATTTCTTCAGGCATAACCACCATGCTATCAAAGTGATCAAAAACTCGTAATGAAATTACATGGGCTGGGGATTTAGCTCAGTGGTTTCGTCGCCTGCTGCACAAGTGCAAGGACCCAAGTTCGATCCCTGGTACCAAAAAAAAAAAGAAATTAGAACATGTAAGGCAAGGTGTGTGCTGATGAGGTTGCCCCATACAGGCAACCCGGGGCTTGGTTTGTTCTCGGTAAGGCTACCAACAGCTAAACCCTTGTAGAAATGACAGACTTGGTTCCCAAGGGAAAGAATCTGAGGCCTGAGCATGGAGTATGAGAGCCAGGCAGCGAAATCTGGTAGCAGTTGAAGCTTCAAATAGGCTCTGAGAGGTGGTATGCATGTGAGCTGTGAGGAACAAAGCTCTGCGTGTAGTTCTGTAATCTCAATAGGACTGGCCTTGGCATCCTCCTGGTAGCTCACTCATCCTCCTAGTGCAAGACTAACCTCATGCTTCTTTAACTGCATCTTCTCAAACTTCTTGTTACATTTGCAAGTCACCTAGGATAGGAAGTGAGAATCAATAAAGTGGTTGTGACACTATGCTCATTTGTTATTGCACAATAACAAGTAAAATACATTTAATGAACAATGGCAAGTAAGCGTATTTATGAACATTTATAGAACTGGCAGTTCACCTGACAGTGTTCTGTAGCTGTGTGAATCTCCATCTCTGATTTGGGAAATGGTTCCTTGCAGATAGGACATATACCAATGTTCCTTTGACAATGGATCTCATGGATGGTAAAGTTACACACCGGAATTTCTTTTTTGCTACAGAAATAGACCAGAGAAAACACAAGCATTACTAACTGACCTATGCTTTTTCTTACACAATGATGTCACACAGAAATCAGTCCTGTTTAATCTTTAGTGTCCATTATCTTTCTTTAATGAATTACTGTCTACAAACTTATGATTGTTATCACTGCTACTTTTCAAGAACTAAATTCTAACCAGAGTGTGGTGGTGTACGCCTGTAATACGTGCACTCAGGAGACTGAGGCAGGAGGGTCGCCTCGAGTTTGAGGTGAGCCTAGACTACACAGTGAGTCAAGGCCAGCCTGAACTATGTGGCAAGACAGTGTCTCAAAAACTAAAAAAAATTAAAACTATTTAAACTTGCAAAAGGTACATTTACCCTCACATTAAAGGCACATACACTATTCAAAGACTTTACTTTTTATTCATTTGGATACCACTGGAAAACTCCAACTGCAATCTAACTAAGAATGTACCAATTAGTATGTTGCCTAGAATATTCAGAAAAATAAAATACTGAATGAGACCAATACCGTAATACAACAACAGCAAAACATTTTTAGATGGGATCTATGTGGCTGAGGCTGGTCCCAGACTTATGGCTTATCTGATCCTCCCACCTCAGCCTCCTGAGTAACTGAGACTAGAGATGCATGTCACCATGGCCAGCAGTAAGACTTCAGTGTCCTATTTTGCCTCAAAGCCAACACTACAAGAACCCTCTCCCACACTAAGATATGAATAGCTTATTTCTCCTTTTACAGCTTTAATTTTAATACAAAATCTAAGAAACATTTGGAAGGAAGATGAATGATACACCTCCAGCTATGGTAGTTCTCTCAGTATAAAAGCCCAAAATACCAGAGAAATACAAATTCAGTTTCCTCCAGGGACAAGATTATCAAGCTTTGGGTCCCAAGGCACTCTCATAACATGACTGGATGGTGAAAAGAATAATTATGAGAGAAGAAAATGTAGATGAATAAAGGGAATTCACCAAAAGACCCGACACATTTAACTTTTCATTATTTCTCCCAAATTCCTACTTTTCTAAGAAAACTATTGATTTTAAATTAATTTAAATTTTTTTAAAACTATAAAATATATAGTGGAAAGAGCTGTACCAAAAATTACCATTTTTTTTAACCTGCCCCCTCCTCGGTACTGGGATTGAACACTAAACCTAGCATCTTCACACTGAGCTATAACCTCAGTTCATTTTGGTTTTTTGTTTTGCTTTTTGAGTCAGGGTCTCCCTATGCAGTCCTGACTGGCCTTTAACTCACTGTATAGCCCAGGCTGGCCTCGAACTCACAGTGAACCTCCTGCCTCCCAAGTGCTGAGATTACAGGCATGCACCACCACGCCCAGCAGCCTTTTTTTTCCTATTTATTTACTTATTTTGGGGGGTACCAGGTATCGAAAACAGGACCTTATACTTGAGAGGCCGCTGCTTGAGGCAGGCAGCGAGGCAGGCGGCGTAACCACTGAGCTAAATCCCCAGCCCTGCCTTTTTTTTTTTTTAATTTTGAGACAAGGTCTCAATAAATTCCCTAGGCAGAATTTGAACTCCTGACCTTCCTGCCACAATCTCCAGAGTGCTGGAATTATAGACATGTGCCACTGTGCCCAGCGTAAATTATCAACTTAAATTTTTGGTGGGTACAGGGGATTGAACTCAGGACCTTGCGCTTGCGAGGCAGGCAGCAGAACCACTGAGCTAAATCCCCAGCCCTTGTTTTTAATTTTTTTATTTTTTTTATTTTTTGGGGGGGGAGCAGGGATCGAACTCGGGTCCTTCCACTTGCAGGACAGGCCACAGAACCACTGAGCTAAATCCCTGGCCTTGTTTTTTATTTTTTGAGACAGGATTTCTTTATGCAGTTCAGGCTGGCCTTGAACTCACTACATAGCCCAGGTTGTCCTTGAACTCATGGCAATTCTCCTGCCTCTGCTTCCCAAGTGCTGGAATTACAGGCTTGTGCCACTACTCCTGGCCTTAAACTTATTTTAAAGAATAAAATCAGTAAATCGTAACTACTGAAGATATTATGAAACTAGTACTCTACTGATACTAGTACTAGAAACTATTACATTACTAGTCTTAATATAATATGCTTAAAAACAACCTGAAAATGTGTTTCTGGGACTACAAAATTATACACTGTTGAACTAGGGCTGGGGACGAGTTTGATCCCTGGCACCAAAAAAAAAAAAAAAATACACGGTTGAACTTAGTAACCCAGTCATGGGATTATGCATGAATAATTTCATTATAGCATCACAAAATTGTAAAACAGTCAAATCTTAAAAATGTCTAAACAAACCAGGTGTGGTAAATACGCCTGCAATTCAAGCCCTCTGGGAAGCTGAGCCAGAAGGATCCAGAGTTTGAGGCCAGCCTAGGCTGTAAAATTTAAGGCTAAAAAAAAAATTTAAGGCTAGCCTAGAACATAGCAAGACCCTATCTCCAAAGAAGCTGGGCATGGTGGCACACTCCTGTAATCCCAGCACTTGGAGGCTAAGTAGGAGGATTGAGTTCAAGGCCAACCTGGGCTACATAGTGAGTTCAAGGCTATCCTGAACTGCATAAAGACGACACAAAAAAACAAGTAAGAAGTTATAAATGGTACACAAAATGAAAGCAGTGCTATATCAAGATCAAGTCACAAATGCTATGAAAAATTAAAGCCAGTTATTACTACTTAAGAGTGTGTAGCCGGGGATTTAGCTCAGTGGTTCTGCCGCCTGCCTCACAACCACAAGGTCCCCAAGTTTGATCCCTGGTACCAGAAAAAAAAAAAAAAGTGTGTAGACCCTGGGTTCCTTTTTCATCATTTTAGCAATCATTTTCTTTTAAGTGGGAAAAAAATTGAGAAAACAAATCTCTATTTTTTATTTTACAGGGCTGTTCAGAATAACCTGTTAACATGAGTATTCTATGCATGGCAGACCACTAAAACTTTAGAACTAAAAGAAAATGTATTAAGGACCACATGAACATAATACGAAGAACCAAAAGCAGCTGTCAGGTTAAAACCACAGAACATTTCCTATTCTACATTTCCAACTCTTGGGAAACCTTAAAAGAAAAAGATGAGGTATTTGTAACAATTACATAAAGCAGCTGTCTGCTGAGTATTTTTCTTTCCAAATTTTATTACCAAGATATCCCCACCAAATATTTCCACCTGGTAAAATACCAATAAACCTGCTTCCTACCAACAGAAAAAAGAGAAGATGGTTTCAGTGAGACAAATGATAATATAGTTCCATACACCAATAATACTGCTAACACTCCCAAGGAAGGGCTAAGCTAAGAGGTAAAATTTCATTTTAGATAGAAATGATGTAAAGGTAACTCAAGGCTTCCAGAGAAATCTCCAGTAGCCAAACACTAAACACAAACAGCTAGAAATCTACTCTTGAACATAATATACGCCAAAATAAAAAGTATAAGCCTGCCAGGCATGGTAGCACACACTTGTGATCCCAGCACTCAGGAGCCTGAGGCAGGAGGATTGAGGTGAGTATGAGGCTAGCCTGGACTATACAATGAGTTCAAGGCCAGCCTGGACTACACAGCAAGACCCTGTCTCAAAAAAAAAAATTTAAATTCCATGTAGGGAAAGAATATTATGACCAGCAGTTGCTCTAATTATATCCTAATTCTGCTGAAAGTTAGGCTGTGCAGAAAGAAAAAGGCAACAGCAATAATTTTTTAAAAAGAGAGAAATAAATAAGAGAAAAATTTGATGCAAACCTTTCAATAATCTGCATCAAATTATTTTCTTTATTCAACATCTCTCCTTATACCATAATTTGGTAAATTAAACATAGGCTATCAAGATCTCCTTTGCTTTTTCCTTTAGCTTTCAGTAGAAGCACTTGTGTATCACCAAATGTCAGGATTAACTGTTGAGAAATCCCCAAGGGGGGGACCAACTGATTAACTGGATGCCTGGGTTTCATTTCAGCAAGAATAAGTTTCTCTTTATCATTTATGTGGATTAAAAACCCCCAAATAAAGGGCTGGGGATTTAGCTCAGTGGCACTGCACCTGCCTTGCAAGCACAAGGTCCTGAGTTTGATCCCATACAAAAACAAAACAAACAAACAAATAAACAAAAAAAAACTACTGGATAGAAAGTTTGACAGTCAAGACTATGTCCAACCCTCACAGATAGCTTTGGAATCATGAAATAATGATTAACTTGACTGCCTTAAGAGCTCAATGAGACTCATGTCTCTCCCCCTTTTTTTCTTTTTTGGTTTTTTGTGACAGGGTCTCACTATGTAGTCCAGGCTGGTCTCAAACTCAGCAATCCTCCTGACTCAGCCTCTAGGCATGTGCCACCACACGGCTCCTATTTTAAGCAGGAAAATTTTATAAAAAAGAGCTAAAACTGAGCTGCTCTGGTTGAATAGCTGTCACTAGATGCAGAACCAAGCTCACTAAACCTTGCTCTGAATCAACATCAAACAGCCCCTGGAGCCACTCTGGGTAATGTGGCATCATACTTTGGAAAACACTGATACAATCCAAATATTCATTACATATTTCTTATCTGTTTAATAATATGTTCAGACATACAAAAATAAATTCCCTTTATGTAGATAAGTGAGATTCTAGGGGCTGGGAAGCTCAGTGGTACAGCATTTGCCTAGAATGTTCAGTGTCCTAGATTTTTTAAAAAATGGCTTCCAAGCAGTTGAATGACTAAAAGTCTTTTGGGTTTTTTTGGTAGTTCAGCTGGAGGTTGAACTCAGGGCCTTCACTCTGAGCTACATTCCCAATCCTTTTTTTTGTTTTGTTTTGTTTTTTGAGACAATGTCTCACTTTGTAGTCTACTCTGGCCTAGAACTCATGATCCTCCTGGCTCAGCCTCCAAAGTGCTGTGATTATAGGTATGTGCCACCCTGGCTGGCATTAAAAGTCATTAAAGGGGTCGGGGATTTAGCTCAGTGGTTTTGCTTCCTGCTGCACAAGTGCAAGGACCCGAGTTTGATCTCCAGTACCAAAAAAAAAGTCATTAAAGACAGAAACCAGGGCCAGGGATTTAGCTCAGTGGTTCTGGTGCCTGCCTCGAAAGCGCAAGGTCCGGAGTTCAATCCCCAGTACCAAAAAAAAAGAAAGACAGAAACCAGAGCCCTGACTGCCAGCCTCATGGCATCATTCTAGTCACTTTTCTATTCTACCTCAACCAACCATCTTGTTAAATTACTAAAGTAGGCAATTTACCCAAAATTTTTTCTCAAAAATTTTTAAAGACATTTACTTGAATATATTATATATGTCCATTTTTAATCTATCAAGAAATAAAACAACCCTACAGAAACTTGTTTGTGCTCATTTTAGTAATATTTCTTAGATTTAATCTCTTACCAGTTGTCACACAGTCGTGTATCCTGGTCATCTAGAAATTCAGCCATCTTTAGCTCTTCCTGAAAATTACAAAGCAAGAAGTATGAACTTTCTGTTTCATTTCTGCTTTAAGGATGACACACAAAGTAAGTAAAAAGCTGGGCCGGGGATTTAGCTCAGTGGCGCCACACCTGCCTCGAAAGCACAAGGTCCTGAATTCAATCCCCAGTACCAAAAAAAAAGTAAAAAGCTACTATACAGAAAATATGAGAGGGATGGAGGGGTTGAAGGGAGGGGAATGGGGAAAAAATAAGAACCAAGAGAGATTATGTAAAGGTGCAAATTTCCAATGATGAATGTCATTATATTGTATACCTAAAATGTACCAATA